TCGGGGCATACTGGAGCGAACGAAAAAACATTTTCAATGTTAAAATAACACCACCTTTAATTTGATGGTTTTGTGTTTCTGTCGGTGATTAAGGTTCGGGGGCTTTGCGGAGTAGGGGACTCATAATCATAATCAAAAATCATTTATTCAGTCTAGGCTGTTATAAGCAATTGTGAAGGCCAAGAAGCTACGCCATCGGTTCGCAACACTACGGCGGCAGATCTTGTAGGTACTGAGAAGAACCGGCAAGAAACTCAGCAAGGGCTGTTTTTTTCTCCCTGATTTATCATTTACAGAGTCGTCACGTTGAAAAATGACTTCAGAGATGATTCATGAAGTCACCTTTCATAACATAATGTGAAATTATACATTAATTGTTCACCTGCATTTCGATTGCTGTGTATAAATACAAACAGAGTTATTTTTGATTGGGCCACCGGATCAGAAAACCAGCTACGACCTACTACTCTCAGAATAAAATGCGTCAAATTACGACACAACACAATTATATGCGTCAAAAGTTTTCCAATTAATTGCCTATATCTAATTGATTATTCATAAAATGTCACCTGTTGTATTTTTCAATGTTTCCTTCCGAATGCTCTCAAATCTAATTATTATTATCCGATGAACTAATCAAGACTACTTATCGTGATTTTCGCTCTCTTGTTTTGCAGTACTTAATGAGTTTTTTTAGGGTTCCGTAGATAGATAGATAAAACTCTATTCGCACCAACATGCACACATACAAAATTGAAGACAAATTTTACAATTATATAAATGCTTTATAATCAATGCAACAAATTATATTAATACAACTATACTATGATATTTTCGTGTGCAGCAGCGATGCGAATGGGCGAAAACTCAGCGTAACATTTACTCAGAGAGTAGGGGAAACCACCCAATCATTGGCACTGGTCCTATTATTGGCACTTTTGAGTTTAATTCGAAAAAACAAGGAGACAATAGATTATTCAAGGTCGTTACATATTAAAAAGAAAAACCTAGTATTTTTTGGAAATTTAAAAATTGGCAGCATTATTCCTATGATCTATTGTTTCCTGTTTTTTTCGAACTAAACTCAAAAGTGCCAATGATTGGGTAGTTTCCCCTAAATCGCTCATTTTCAGTTCTGACCCATATCGATGAGGTCACGCAATTAAATGTCAGATTAAAATTCATAGGTATATACTGTACCACAAGCACGAACAATTAGCGAGAAATTACTCGTATCGTAATGTCAAAATTTCTATGGAAGAAGCCAGTTTGTCCTTACATCCGGTAGAGGCGCTGTTTATTTTTCATAGAAACTTTATGGATGAAGTTACAAATACGGGATCTGACTAAGGAGATTGCTCAGCTTCCATACATGTTTGGCCTAAAGACCAATAATCATGAAAAATTGTTTCCTAGATTCGAAATTATATATAAATTACTGTAGAAACGAATATTATTGACGGACACCCCTGACAACTTCTATAAACCATATACACTGAATGATTTTGAGGTTATGTTTGCAAATAGGTACATAGGTATTAAAATAATAAAAAATGGGTGCGTGTACTTATGTAGGCGCGTGAGAAGTTATCCTTCTTTGGCATCGTTTAAAATTAGTTTTTAATTGCATGCAAATAATTAATTACAATAATTTAATAAAAAGTCTGGAAAAGGACACAGTCAAAAAGTTCAGTTTTAATTTGAAAAAATAAATAAATAATCAAAATATTCAATTAAAATCGCTACTGAATATAATTTATTAGAATATATGTGATTTGCACTTGTATGAAACTCAAACACGTATTCCGAATATACAAACTAGAAACATGTGGATAAATATTATAAATATGAATGAATACCTATAACTGTTACTTTATTACAAAAAATAAAGATGTGATTTTTGGTTCTACTACACCAATGGTCAAGAGATGGCGCTGTAGTCTCCTGAATCGCGCTTTGGTTCCGATGTTCCAGATTAATAAATACTTTTGATAGGCCCTCACAATGCAGTCGTTAGCACCCACTAAATAGAGATTCTATTTCTATTTTGTTGGTAGATTTCCTTAATGTGCGGTAAACACAAAAGTAACGCATGAAGTTGGTCGCTAAAGCTAAAGCGACCAACTTCATGCTGTTAAAATTTTGTGTTACAGTGATGCGCGCGCATCTTAAAATTTCACTCTCATCATTTTTTCATAACGCGCCTAAAGAAGTATAACTTCAAAAAACAAATAAGTTATATAGTAAATTGGGGAAATCAAGCCAAGTACCGAAATTACGTATTAGATTCAGGTATATAGAGCAGGTAGATTAACAGATAGTTGCCTGTTTTCCTGTTTATAAAGTGAATGCACAAGAGTAACATTTGAAATCAGGTATCATCTATGCATTTCCGGTTATAATAAGGTACTCTGTGACAGAAACTTTGTGATGATCAGTGATCATGGTGAATGAGTCACAGATTAGAGAGAATTATTAAACTCTCGTTAATTTAGTTAGATAAGCTTCATTATTTTTGTTATGTTTATATTATAACCATATTTTAGATTTTTAGTGTATTACACCTTATAATATGTTATGGAGGTGTTTCGCGAAAAATGTATGGCAATAGACTTTATGAGGTCTTAGCACGTTTGCATGTAGTGAAAATGATAATATAGTTGTGGATATTAATACCACAGTGTAATAAAAACGAAGTTATATTTTATCGATCTTTACAAAATTGATTTGTTTTGATGTTATATAAACAACTTCGATCACACCCATAGCCATTAAAAATGATCCGTATGTTTTCCAAACCGATAAAATTAAAAGTCCCTTTTCCGTTGTCCGTTAAAATCTAATGACTGTAAAATAAAGTATAAATTACGCCAAGAATTACCGTATATGTCAATATTTTTTTGTACATTTGGGCCAACTTGAGCAATCTCCTTTCGAGCTTGGTGTCCGTCCTGTCTGCTGCCTGGACCACGAGGAGTTTTTTCTAATAAAATTTCTACCCTCATAAAACAAAGATATAGCATGTTGAAGTATTAAATAGTGTGTCAAAGCTCGGCTACACTTTTGGTTGTAGAGACATCTTCTAATATATAAAATTCTCGTGTCGCGGTGTTTGTGTTTAAACTCCTCCGAAACGGCTTTTCCGATTTTCATGAAATTTTGTGTGCATATTGGGTAGGTCTGAGAATCGGACAACATTTATTCTTCATCCCCCTAAATGTTAAGGGTAATCCACCCCTATTTTTTGTTTCAATTTTAGATATTTTTTTTTTTATTTTTTTATGATACATCATACAAAAATTCTTACAACCCTAAATTTTCACCTTTGTACCACCAACCCCTATTTTTTTATGGCGGTACGAAGTTCGCTGGGTCAGCTAGTAATATCTTCTATACTTATAATAAATCTGTAGAGAGGTCAATTCTGTACATGAAATATATTTTCAAAATAACTATCAGGGGGTGATTAGTGATCGATACTGATGCCAAAAATGCAATCAGTAAAATTTTTGTCTGTCTGTCTGTCTGTGTGTATGTTCCTTATAGAAACAAAAACTACTCGACGGATTTTAACGAAACTTGGTACAATTATTCTTCATATTCCTGGGCAGGTTATAGTATACTTTTCATCACGCTACAGTCAATAGGAGCAGAGTAGTGAAGGGAAATGTTGGGAAAACGGGAGAAGTTACTCCATTTTTTTAGCTTCCGTTGCGTGTGCAGCCTTAATGGTTAAAGTTACATAGAAATCATGTATGACGGAAATATTCTACATAGAATTGTCTAAAAAATATCCTGCAACAGCATATGTCTATCTTTTATGGTTGACTCACAATAAAACGTGTAACCCCTGATAGCTTAGCAGTTCGGAGCATTCTGATTATATTTGTTTACTCTTACGTTTACAATAGTCTCACTCATCCCTAATTTAAAAAAGGTAACATTATTACCTATTCAATAAAAAAAGAATCATAGAAATCGGTATAGAAACACCAAACTTATACATGAAATAAGCCATCGCGCCGTCGCACGTGAATACTGAATCATGCTATAAGGATTATTTTTGTGTAACGGTTGCCGCGCTCGACACGGGTCGCGGCAGCGGTAGGTATAAGAAGAATGGCATTGTGTATAATACAGGCCTGAGAACAATAACTATAGTCTACACTTCAGCTCTACACCGAAGCGAAGCGAGGGCGGGCCACTAGTTATAAATAGATTGTTTAAATGACTTAGGTTGATACCTATTACCTGTCGTCGCTTGATAGCGAGAAAGGAATTTTGAATATTCCACCTTGAATTGGGTGATATAGGGAATTAAAGACTATGGGAATACGAGTTTGGCTAGCTTGACAGCTTTGAAACTTGGCTTATTAGATAAACTGAACAGAAACTTTAGAAAAAGTGCATCAACACATTTTTTTCAAATTCAATCTCTACGACGAGATATATATGGATAGCAATTTATCTATTCAATATATTTTCAGCAAAGTTCTAATATGTTTTTACTAGCTGCGCCCCGCGGTTTTGCCCGCTAAGTTCCCGGTCCCTTGGGAATTCCGGGAGAAAAAGATATTCAACCTGTAAGCCTAAAAGAAACCAACCATAAATAAAATAACTAAACATATGCGGGAAATAGGTCACTTTTGGATAATTTCCCATACAAACTTTGACACGAAATATGGTAATTTTCTGAAGGTAGTTGTAAAAATTGTATGAAGGTTATAATAGGGTATGTAGGTAAAATTTGCAGGCAATAGATCGAAGGGATAAATAAGATTTTACGAACAATCATTTTTTTGCAAATTTTACGCTTATTAGGCTGAATTTGAGAAAGTCTCATCTTGTTACTTGTCTAGGTAATAATAGGAACCTACTGTCCAAATTTCATCATTCTAGGTCCAGCCGTTTCGGCTGTGCGTTGATGAGTCAGTCAGTCTGTCAGTGTATCCTTGTCTCACTTTAAGTAATAGTAAAGATGAGTTAAAAAAAACAAACATTTTTAAGTAATACTTGTTTATTAAAATGTACAGAGTTTCGGTCATTTTGTACAGATAGCCGTTTAGCTTACAGAATATTACAACATATAATTAATACACATAAGTACTAAAGTCCTTTGAAAATTGTGCAAGGCAGCTTGAATACAGAAAAAAACAACGCATTGTTTGTAGACGAAGAAACTGCCAATTCGTGCAAACGATATTAAACTTTAATGCCTTTGGATTAGAACCTTTTGGGTTTGACAATAAATGGTAGGTACATCCGATGTAGGTAGGTATAATAAAACTACCTGCGTATTCATAGAAGTATAAGAATAGAGTAGGCAAGATAATATAGACTGTACTACAAGTAGAAGTGTCCCTCTAATAGAAAGAGAAAGAAGATGAGAGACCGCTAGCTTTCTCTCTCTAATCGCGCATGCGCATTAATAAATAATAATAAATAAATATTTCCAACACTCACACCAATTAGCCTAGCCCCAAAGTAAGCACTATAAGGCTTGTAATTATAGGATACTAGGGTAACGGATAGAATACATATACTTTACATATATAAGTATATTTATATAGAAATGCATAGTAAACATCCATGACTGGAGTACAAATGCTCGTGTTCATCACACAAACATCTGCCCCCACCGGGATTCGAACCCGGGACCTCTCGAGTCGGCGACGCCATGAAACCCGGCGTACAAACCACTCGGCCACGGAGGTCGTCGCATTGGCAACCGTAAGCCTCTATTTCGATATGATGCCATTGGATGCCATGCGTCACAAGAGAAAGAGAGATAGCTAGCCGTTTCTCATCTTCTTTCTCTTTCTACTAGACGGACACTTTTAGAGCCGCCTTCCCCACTCTATTCTTATACCTCAATGGTGCCAATTCTGGCGTGATTCTCTAAACTTAAAACTAAATTTAACATCAATCTTTCCTTTTCATTCTGTATAGAGAATGAGAAGGATATACTGTTGTCAAATTTAATTTTAGGTTTAGAGAATCATGCTAGAATCGACACCTATGTGTGTTTTCGTGTTCGCCAAAATAGTCGAATACAGTGCGACCAAGTCCTTGTGTCAATTAAATGACATTGACAGGAGGGCGCTGCTGTTGAAATGAAATAAAATCTGTGTTATTAGTACGTCAAAATCTCGTCACTCGGAGGGACGGTATAATTTGCAATAATGGCGCGATACCATTAGCCCGAAAACGAGTGCCAATAGAATTCGGGTAAGCTACTAAGTGCAAATGAACGGAGTCGACGCCCCTATCCGGGTAGTTGTCGCTTATTTACGCGACACCGTCTTCCACAGGGCCGGATTTAGAGGTGTGGAGGCCCTGGGGCAATGAAGTGGGGAGAACCCTACTAAATCTAGGCAGGGCCACTTACAATTCGCCCTCTGTCACTAACCAGAGGGGGTCTGGTTAGTGACCCAATGACATTTTTTTTAATATCTCTGTTGTTGTTGTCTTTTGGGGAGGCCCCTGGGCCACTGCCCCGCATGTCCTGCCCTAAATCCCGCCCTGAGTTCGAATTAGAAAGTTTTTTTTCCGAAGTCTCTATTGTGGGGGCCCCCCGTTTGTGGAGGCCCCGCGGCTTTCGCCCCGGTTGCCCTCCCCTAAATCCGGCAGTGGTCTTCCAGCCCGTTTTCTAGTGTAAATATTGCTTCGGGTGCCCGAATTCGAGTAATGTCTTTCGTGCACCCGGATACGGGCTAGCCACCAAATGGAATTGCGGCATAACTCGAAAAGGGTACTAAGAAATATAAAAAAAGGCTTATTAAAACCTACTTAAAAAAATAAAAAGGCTTATTGATACCTTCATTAATGAGTTTCAATTCCGGCCACGGGCCCCAAGTTATTTGTCGCACTGTATCACTTACCAACACTATCGATACAAAATAATGAGCAAGAATATCGTTTTTGTTTATATTCTCCCTTTTGAGGGAAAGCAAAGGGAACAATGCCCATACAGCCTAGTTTTTAGTTATATTAATCTTCTTTTTCTTACATTAGAATGTCGGTGTGAAGCAGTCTAATGTTTCTTGGAGTGTTTGGCACGAAATGTATCGAGTTGACTTTGTCGATAAGCTTCTGTGGGGTAGTTAATACTACAATAAAGTTCTCACGTCCACTTGACCGGAATAGCGTATATTTTAAAGATAATACTAATTCTTCAGTTGCGCTGACGGTTGTAATACAAAATCACACCAATTTTATTTCACAAAATAACCAAAATGAACGAATTTAAGAATAATTAAAATAAGAAGCCAATCGCCCTCGATAAAATCCCGCCAAAAACTTCAAGAATGTCGATTTTTAACTACTTTGACAGTTTGTTCAATCGACTTTATATTGAAATAGATAGTGTTCTCAAACCTGAATATATAATATAAAATTATGTATAATTAGGTTTACATAAGTTTCGTTTTGGTTTTTTTAATAAAAACCGACAGCATTCTAAAGGTAGTTCCTGCTTGGTAAGTATTTTTCTAAAATCGCCCGCCGTTTTGTGTGAGTAATGTTCAATATGGCGGACTCATTGAATCTGTGTGCAATTTCACAATACGTTTCGTCTTTCGAACAATATTGCTTAAAACAAATACATAAGTACATACAATAAAAACATTCGAAATCAGTCTAATAGTTCCACTTAAAACTAATAAAATACGAAATACTTATTTTAAAATGTCAAATTGAAGCCGCCATTTTGTGAACGGAAGCTCAGTCTTATTTGAGATCTTCTTATAGAATTGAACACATTGCTTGCAACGAAAACTCACAATAATATCTTTTGATTCTATTTTTGCTAAGTGAAAGTTGGAGTGGGTGGCCGTTCGCTGAGTATGGTAACACCAAGCGTCTATAGCTCGATGTTACCATAATTTAGTGCAGTGCAGTTGCGTACTCTTATTTTCATTGATCACGAAAGGGAATGTCGGTCGTTGATTTTACACAGATACCGGCCATATCAAGGCAACAACTACAAATTTTCAGTACTCACATTAAAGTATGATTGTTAAAGTGCCATTAAAGAAGTTCCCTAAAACGCAACGCTGCAAAATGGCGACTTCAAATCAAAACACAACACTGACGCTGCAGTAGGTATTCAGTCAGACTGACTGCACTCTGACTGCAAACATACAAGTACAACCAACACCACATCGAGCACTAACAAACTTTGCCTATCTTGATTTTAAAAATGTACTCTACTCATAATGATTTTGCATATGTTTATTTTAACTTTATTGCCACAATTACAAAATGGACAAAAGGCGGACTTAACGCTAAAAGCATTATCTGCCAGTCAACCTTTAAGAGTACAGAAAGACACGAATGCGGCTTTAGTAAAGAAGTAATTAACTATACTTATGTTTTAACATACCTTCTCTTAATTTCGATTAGGTATTTGAAGTCCGAAGAAATTTCAGGTCATATACGTGTAGCAGTTTAATACTGATAAATATATATCGAAATATAAAAGCTCGTGTCACGATGTCTGCCCTAAATAACTTCGAAATAACCGTATTGGTTGAAACTATATTTACTAAAGAAAAATTTACTACAATACATTTCCACGCGGACCAGGCAGCAGACGGGGCTCGAACCCGCACCCTTCGCTATCCGGGCGAATGCACTGACCATTATGCTACCGCGGCCCTGATGGCCGTGTCGAATTCTCTCTAGTGTTTCTTGAGCTGCAAAACATAGCTATAATTACTGTTAGTTTCCGTTTTAATTATAAAATTGGTTCAATTTCAAAAAAGACATACGATTTTTTATGTATTCTTTTAAACTGCCAGGCCCATTTATAAAGAACCTCGCCTTGAAACTAACAAAACTTAAACGATCTAAAAAACTATAGGTCTTATATCAGTCGCCCCTAAGTGCCTCACTTGCAATCTAGTCAGCAACAATAGTATTTCATATGTTTCTCTATTGAGGTTCTAACTAAAAGAGTAAAACTCTTAGTACCAAATGACGCTCCTTGCAGCATAACCTTACCTTCACGGTTGCTTCTCAAGTATTTCTTTTTATATGCTAAAAGTCAAGAACAATATTTAAATAGTTATTATTTTTATTTTTTTTAAGCATGTAACTGTTTGACGCGGCCGTCAGGGCCGCGGTAGCATAATTGGTTAGTGCATTGGCCTGGATAGCGATGGGTGCGGGTTCGAGTCCCGTCTGCTGCCTGGTCCGCGTAAAACTTTTTCTAGTTACATCTTCTTTAGATTTAAACAAGATTTAAAGTCAATAAGTGGAAGCCAGTTTTGTCAATAATGACGTGGCGTTGATTGTACTCAAGTTGACTTTTCGATAAATTTTACTAGATTTTTAACGAAAACGCAGTCTTAATGCAGTCAGTACATCCAAATATCTTGGTTGTAAGGAATCACTTGAGCATTGGAAGAGAGCGATGGAAGAATGCGAGATAAAAATTAAATCTTCTTTGAATCATTAAAGATATAGGGTGATCAAAATATTACGTGCCAGAACTGCATCGTAAGTTAAGTATTGCAATTTGTAAACTTGACATCAGTCTGTCCTTATCACTCCTTATAAAGCATGATAAGGACAGACTCTTGTCAAGTTGACGAATAGCTAACACGAATAGACAAGTGAAGTGTCAGCATAATGATTAAATCAACGGGGCATTTTTCTAAATCACCTTTTTCGTATTTGCGAATCGGTAAACTTTTCTATTGATTTGTTTAAATCTATCTCAAATAACATATGTATTTTCAAAGATATAAATAGTTAAGTTGAACAGAAATTACTTTAAAAATATTATGCAGTTCGGGCGCGTTGTTTTGTTACAATAAAATATTATCGTAATCAGTAAAACAATGTTACGAAATCTACTTTCGAGTTTTTGGTGTTCATTAAAATTTTCAGTTTCGAGACCGTAAAATACAATAATTAATTCACATTGAAAATTCTTCTTATCCTAATAATAAAATGGAAAGATATTCGTTGCCCGAAAATTTTGAAAAATTACAGTCACAATATTAAAAATACACATACATACTTAAATAGGTATTTCGAAAAAAAATTACAAAATTTTCTTATTAATACAGCTTATTTTTCAAATGCAATGCCGATCTCACAATTACTTACATAAACATGACTGAGAATCATTTGACCATCACAAATAACTTATCTCCAGTAAGAATTAATAGAAAAAACAACATTAAATAAACTATAAGGTCGTGTATTGTACAACGAGGCAAAACAGAGAAGTTGGAGTGAAATGTCGCTATACTGCAAATAGTGCTGTCTCACTCTATCATGTCAAAATTTAGTTCTTCTATTTAAACGAAATCCTCGTTAATGTTGTTAAGCAATTTAGTTATATCTAAAGGAAATTTTACAAGAAAAAAATCCACTCGGACCAGGCAGCAGACGGGTCTCGAACCCGCAGCCATCGCTATCCGGGCGAATGCACTGACCATAATGCTAACACGGCCCTGACGGTCATTTCGAATTTTCTCTAGCCCAAAACTATTTTTTTAATGATGCCAAAGAGTACATATGTACACGCATCCATTTTTATTTGTCTATGGGAGTGTACGCTCAAACACCATAGCATTACTTATATGGTTTCGTTCTTGTTCTGTAACTAAATCCAAATTCTTGCCAGAGATAAGACTATCGCCATAAAAACGACAAACTTTAATTTATTCTCGCGTCGTTTTCTAGCCGCAGACTCGAATATGTCCCAAAAACTACGCTCGTTTGATCTCGCAAGATTCATTTAATTATCAATTGTTAAAAACAAAACTTTTATTTACATCGAATGATCTGTATTGGAAAACGCAGTATTATTATTTATAAATATTAAAATTCAAAAAGAACTGATTGCAGGTATAGAGATGAACCTCAATCATACAAATAAATATTTAAATAAATTAAATAATAATTTTGTGGTATTTTTTTAAGAAAAATTATTAAAATATACAACTTCAAACACTTCTTCAGTCATGCGTTTTTACTGTTTAAAATAGTAACCCGACCGAAACAAAAACAAAAAGAAGTACTCGACTTTAAATAAAAATATTTTTATATGAATTTTGCACATTTAATAAAAGACATAATATCTCTATATCGACCCTAGAGAAGATAAAAAATATGTATAATTTAAAACACCAATCAAAGTGAGATTATACAAAATATTTACAATCGTGCGTACATACCATCGAAAACGATGAAAGTTATCAATTTGTTAGGCTAAAGACCGCGAATATACAGGGTGTGTAATAAATTAAGTGCCACAACTTTATAATAAAATACAGATCAAAATATGTTCAGTTCTCGTCAACGAATACTCACGAACGAGATAAAATTATTTTGTAGCAATGGATGACAAGATTGTAATTGCTTTTACAACTGTAATTAGACAAAAATCCCTTTACCAAATACCAAACAATTATTAATACAGTTTTGGCACGCAATTTATATAACACCATATACATATATAAAGTTGCATTTTAAACTAAACTGCGTTTGCAGCGCAGTCGCGATTATTGAGCGTGAATGAATGAATGAATGAATGAAAATAAACGTCATTCATTCATTGAGCGTGACAAAGACACATCGTAGTAGTGACATCTGTACAAACGTGGGAATATCAAAAGTACTTACTTACAATGTACACAGCTCCACCTGGTGGGGGAGTATGCTTAATACTAACGTATAAGAAGTGGTCGGCCGAAAGAAGGGTATGTGTTATACTGTGTTGGACTCTCGAATATGAACCTTATGTTGTAGGTGGTAAAGGAGCTTTTTGCGCCAAACAGCGTACATTATAAAATATTAATTAAGAGTTGGTTTAATGGCAGCTTGAAGTGCATAATATTGAATTGAATGACGCCATCGAATTTAGCTAAAGTATTTTATTTACCTTAATAAAACCAAATGTTGCCAACTTCAAAAATCACCACTTCAGCACTAGCACAGTCTCTAGCTTAAAAATTGACATTAAATATTAGTTTTAATTTAAATCATAATATTAATCATATCATAGAATTGAATGTTCGTCTTAATATCAATTTCACTGATTTTTCAAACACCCCGTATATCGGCCGTACCACCCTGTACACTATTATATAGGAGATTACCTATCCGACCACTATTATGACTAGTTCTTTACATATACTTTATATACAAATGTCTGTCTGTCAATTGTAAACTAGTTGATGCGTGTGACTCCGGTTATATATGTAACGAATTCAATACAGTCAATGTATATTGTTTGGTTTAAATAAATAAATATAAACTACATAAGATACTAAAGAAGCAAGTGAAGCCAAACGTGGCAATTATCACATTATAATTCGTTAGAAAAGAAAATACAAGTTTGAACCTTAAACTAAAAGCTATAAAGACAAGAATGCGTCTGAATCGCTGATCAAGAAATTTACAGCAAGACCCGCGTAATGTTCAACGCATGTCTCTTAATTCAAAGTAATAAAGGCGGTTTTGAGCCAACACATAGGCATTGTAGAACCTGTTAATAAATATGCGTTCATAATAGTGAGATTATAAACTGTCGAACATCAAAGTACATAATATAACGCAAAGCGGAAATTAAATGCGAATAATGAAGGGACTTGCAACGGTAAATTTGTTTATTAAAAATATTAACAATATAAATAAATGGTATATTTTTATACCAAAATGTAAATAGAAGCAAATCTGCCAAAATGCAGTGACAGTTTACAATTTATCCACAGTTTACAATATCACTAGGCAGTATACAAACTAACGTTGAGTACACAGTTACAGAGTGACTTTGAAGCTTTTGCTGTAAGAAAATAATTAAATTTCCCATACACTTTTAGAACAAAACATTACGCGTATATCTATACATTTAAATTCAAATTGTGTTACAATTTACAAGTATCTCAAAAATGAGATTTAATTATTAAACAATAAATTATGGCAACCTTAAATCGTTCAAATTGTTATTATAATTATTAAATAGGTAAGTATTTATTAATTAATCTAACATTACAATAAGTAATAGGTGCTTATTAAATGTTACCTTTTGTATAATACAAGGAATTCATGTAAAAATCACGTAATTTACAAAAGTAAGTATAGTTAAGAGATACATAAATACACAGTCGTTTAATTGGAAGTTTCAATTTGTGGAATCTTCTTTTCGCTGACATGGCAACATTTTCTTTCTACAGTTTCACAATACCAGATGGTAGATATTTATACTCCATTAATATTTAAAAGTTCGTTGAAGTGGTGAAAATATCACTTTTTGACATTTACATACATGCAACACCAAGCTAGGTTCGCCTTTAAGTGTTGATAACCGAAAGACTATAATTGCGTGTACATTGTCTTACATTGGAAAAAAATAAACGCCATACGATTTCCAAGTTCGGCGTACGAACTGTGCACGGGATTTTCAACTCAATGCTAAAATAGCTTGAAGAGCTATAATCCCGTGTAACTGGCTAGCGGTGGTATTGTCATTAGAATGTTCTTTCATTAACTGTGCACGGGATTTTCAACTCAATGCTATAATAGCTTGAAGGGCTATATTCTCATGTAAGTGGCTAGCGGTGGCATTGTTATTAAGTGTAAGATGAATGTTCTTTCATTAATTGTGCACGGGATTTTCAACTCAATGTCAAATAGCTTGAAGGGATATATTCCCGTGTAACTGGCTTTCATCAGTTCTTTCATTAAAAGGCATTTCGCTTCCTGAAGAAATGTTTTATAACTCCTAAGATCTGTGCACAGGATTCTCGCCTCAATTCTGTGTACATTTAAAATCTATATTCCCGTGGTGGTGGCTAGCAATGGAACTGTTGTTGAGTGATTGCTGACAGATCTTTCATGAGTCCTTCTAAGTTCTGCATTTCTCGGTGCAGTCGTTCGGTCGACCGCGACGGGGTCAGGGGTTCAAGTTCCGTCGGACAGTGAGCTACGCTGCCACCTAGGGAGTAAATAAATTAATGAATTTCATGTGTAAATTATTTATGTAGTATTTCGCTTCGGTGTAAAGCTGAAGTGTAGACTATAGTTTTTGTTCTCAGGCTTGTATTATATATAATGACATTCATCTATGATTCTTCTTATACCTGCATGCAAAGTCTCAGCCCAATCGGTTTAGAATTGACAAAGTTTCATACAAACTATAGTATTTTTATGTAGTCTATTGTGACATTATAAAGAGGAAATATTTGTATTTATGTAACGAATTAACCAGAAAAACAAAATCTACATTATTCTTGTCCCCGTAGCATGAACACCGCAATTTACATTACATCACGTTTTTATCGCGTCTAACTGTCAAACTTAATAGTAATTTGACAATTGGGCGTGATAAAAACGTGTTATCCGAGCAGAGTGACATAGGCTTTGTTTTATTGCCTTTAAGTAAAGTTCAGTACAGTTTAACACAATAGAATACAGCCTATGACATTCAGAAATAATGTGGCATTCTAATTGTGAACTATTTTTTGAAATCGGTCCACTAGTCTTTGGGTTTAATCCTTATAAACATGCAAATCTCTTCCTAAAATCTTACTAATATAATACATGTGATAGTTTGTATATTTGTTACTCAATTATCATCAGCCTATTTATGTCCCCACTACTGGGGCACATGCCTTCCCTATGGATGAAATAGGGAGACTGGGCCATGACCCACAACGCGGGCCCAGTGGGGATTGGTGGGTACTAACGACTACAGATGCAGCCGGGACCAACGGCTTAACGTGCCTTCCGAAGCACGGAGGAGCTCGAGATACAAAACTTTTGGTCACCCATCCAATGACCGACTACTACGAAAGTTGCTTAACTTCAACGATCGCAGCTGAAAGCTCTAACCACCTGCGCCAACGAGCTCCCCTTGCTTACTCAATCACGCTAAAACTACTGAACGGATTTGAATGAAATTCGGTACGTATATAGGTCATGACCTAGATCGAGACATAGGATACTTTATATCACGGAAACATGACAGGTTCCTGACGAATTCTCAAAAAAGTAAAGTTAACGCAGACGAAGGCACGTGCGTCCGCTAGTTAAGTATAAAGCAATAATTTAACTTCAAAGAAAATCTTCATTAACTACTTACCTAGCTGCAGTCTATTGGGTATGTGTCCAGGGGAAGAACTCGCGCTCTTCTTGTAGGGGGAGGTGTCTCTCCCCGAGCCCGCTGCAATAACAAAATGTATATTAAACCATGATGATAATATCTACAAAACACAGAAAGAGGTTAGAAGAATGATCATAGACCGTTTATACGGGGACTGATGTCGCCGGCTCGCCCCCACTACACTTCCATCTAATAGATAGTAGCCAATCAAACGGCACGAGATCAAACAATCGGACCAACCAGCGCTCACACCCCTGAACAACGACGCAATCGGAACCAAGTTTTGGTCAAGTTGTGAGCATTTGCTCACACATAACTGTGGCGCGCCTGCCCCACCCACAAGGCCATTCTGATCCCTTTCTGTGTTCTATGCCCTGCACCATATGAAAAGTCGCCTTTGCATCTTCACCTGACAATAAATGTTTATGGAGTCAAGTATTAAATTTTCCGGCCGCATCAGTTATCTTAACTAGATAACAAATGAAATGAAATAAAAAGTCATTTATTCAGTCTAGGCTGTTACAAGCACTTGTGAAGGTCAAGAAGCTACGCCATCGGTTCGCAAAACTACGGCGGGAGACCTTGTACTGAGAAGAACCGGCAAGAAACTCAGCAAGGGCTATTTTTTTCTCCCTGTATTGTTATATACAGAGTCGTCAAGTTGAAAAATGACTTCAGAGATACGTCTGAAGTCACCTTCCATTACATCATTTAGAATATAAACATATAGTTACAATATTTTTTATGGTTAGATAGGTACAATATTACTGTGATGAAAAATGAGTAATACCCATTAAATAACAAATTACAAGAAACACTATGTCCATGCATTACGATCATTTAGATAATCATCAACTTTATAATAGCCCTTATTCATAACAGTATCTATCGTTTGATCTGAGATTTAAATTTAGTCAGTGGAAGCTCAATCAGATCTAGAGGAACTTTATTAAACAATCCAATACTACAACCCAAAAATGAACCTCTTGATTTTTGGAGCTTGTTCTTACGCGCGTGTAAATGCGACAGAAAAATATCTCTAGCTAGCGATGCCAGGCGTCCGTATAAAGCCGGACATAGTTAGGGTTTTTGATTGCGTGTCCGGCCAAAATAATCGATGTCCGGCTTATGTTAGGTTAAGAGAGCAATGAAGCAATCGGAACCAAGTTTGGTCAAGTTATGAGCATTTGCTTACACCCAACTGTGGCGCTCCAGCCCCGCCCACAAGGCCCTTCTCTGTAGTAGCATAATTGTGTTAAGCGCCATCTATTGAAACTCATAAGAACTAGTACATAAAGAAAAAGTTGACGGCTCAATGTAGCGTGCTTTTCTTATTACTTTTAAACGTAATGATGGTGACACAAATCGCCGTCAGGGGGCGTCATGGTTGATGAGAGATTGTGCTAGAAGGGGGGGTTATTTCTTGAATAGTAGCGGTGGGTCGTTCTCAAAATTTCTGACAACGAAACGCAACAGTTTTTTCTTAAACGAAAACTAGGACTAAACGACACGCGACGGTCGAACGAATGTAACGCAACGAAACTGAACTAAATGAAATCTTGTGAACGTTCGTTTCGTTGCTGCGAACGAGACGACGAAACATCGAAATAAATGTTGTGCTATACGATAATCGACTTTAAATGTTCAAGAATAAAGATTATATTATTGTAAAATCAAAGCTTAATTATCATAGAACGAAACGGCGTCATATCATTGCGTTCTATTATAGACTGTATTTGTTTCGTTACAAAGTACATATTGGCGTGCAGACAATCCGAGGACTAGTTCGACGAAGACTGTTTTGATCCGAAACGTAAAACGGTTCTATCGTCGCGGAACACAAAACGGTCCTTGAAACCGGTTCGTCTTGAGAACGCTCACACCTATTGAATAGGCAACGAGGAGGAACATCGAATTTTGAGCTCGCTTGAAAGTAATTAAAGAAGAGAATAGGAAATAAAAGGTGACTAAGTCAACACCAAAGGAAGACGATGTCGCAGTTGTTAAGGATAATTTAATAGAAAATCCCATATCTGGGTTCATAGGCGTAGTGGTTAACTATAGTCTTCACTAGCAAACCAGTGAACCAAATGTTCACCAAAACCTGATTTAAAAAAAAAAGTATTTAATTAATTGAGAACTTCAGCGATTTTGTGTGGTTTCGTTTGAAATTCGTGATTTCTCGAAAACCGGAAGTGCTACGTTACTCAAATCCGGTTTGTAGTCTTATCAGACTATTCTTAACTTATAACTTAAATATTCTCTTTATCTATCTCTTACGGTTTGGCCGCTGAAACAGCACCACAGACGGACGGACGGACGGACTTGTCTAATAGATAAGAGATACAGTCTTCATACTTAAATGTGATGAATCATTCCACATGAATTAACCAAAAATTAGTTGGTTTCATTTCTTACAACAAAATGGCGACGTCATGATACCACGCGGTAGTGAATAAACTTAACAAGGCTTAAGAAAATATAACTAGAAAAAAATCCACGCGGACCAGGCAGCAGATGGGACTCGAACCCGCACCCTTTGCAATCCGGCATCAAGCAGTTACATGCTTTAAAAAAATTAAAATTATAACAATTATTGCTATTTCTTCTTTCAAATGTTTAATACTTGTAAAAGTATTCATTTGACGTTGTGGGTTACCTACTGATAATGCGAAGAGATGGCGCTGCCTTGCAGCTTAAGAATGGCTAGAAGAATTTTGACGCGGTCCGTGAGGGCCGTGGTAGCATAATTGGTCAGTGCATTCGCCCGGATTGCGAAGGGTGCGGGTTCGAGTCCCGTCTGCTGCCTGGTCCGCGTGGATTTTTTTCTAGTTATATTTTCTTTAGATTTAAACATCAAGCAGTTACATGCTTTAAAAAAAAAAAAATTTAACAAGGCTTGATGAACAGTGTGGACTCCTAATCTTCGAATAACAAGATAATAAGAAGCTGTCATCATCGCAACTAATCTTCTCAGCTATCCAGTTCAACATATTTCATCAAAAAACAAAAACTTAGTTTGTCAACGTCGTACAATAAGATAAAAAGAATCTCTTATCTATTAGACAAGTCCGTCTGTCTGTGGTGCTGTTTCAGCGGCCAAACCGTAAGAGATAGATAAAGAGAATATTTAAGTTATAAGTTAAGAATAGTCTGATAAGACTACAAACCGGATTTGAGTAACGTAGCACTTCCGGTTTTCGAGAAATCAGGTTTTGGTGAACATTTGGTTCACTGGTTTGCTAGTCTCTTATCTATTAGACAAGTCCGTCTGTCTGTGGTGCTGTTTCAGCGGCCAAACCGTTAGAGATAGATAAAGAGAATACTTCAGTTATAAGTTAAAAATAGTCTGATAAGACGACAAACCGGATTTGAGTAACGTAGCACTCCCGGTTTTCGAGAAATCAGGTTTTGGTGAACATTTGGTTCACTGGTTTGCTAGTATGTATTTAGTTTAATAACGTTGGAAATTGAATGTTAACGGCACTACTACGAATAAACCCAGTATGAGGTAAAATAAAGTTGTTTCAATCATTTCACAGCAAAAACTACACCCTGAAATATTAAAGTCTTTTGTTCTCAGATTTTGTTATTCGGTGAGTAACATTATCAACTTAAAAATATGTTACACTGTGTTCTGTGGTGATATGTCTCGTATGCTGTTTCACTGGTGTTCAATTGCATAGCCATTCTTGACACTATTACTATTAACAAGTACAGTAAAATATTTTATAACACATTTGCTCTCGTAAAGCGTCTCTTATTGCACCAATTGCAATATCATAATCTATCACATTACACACGCGTGCGGTAATGTAAAGTAAAACGCACGGCTTATTATGTTCCGTCTAGAAACGAACGATACTTTTTTAAATCTTAGCAAAGAGTTTTTATGTCAGATAAGGTAGCCAACATTTCTTCATTCTTAATAAAATTAACTTTGGGAGATAAAATATAATATATAAAAATTTAATTCGTGAATTTGATTCATTTTGACAATAAATTACAACCATGTATCGATAACAAATTCACAAAAATATTAATTTACTTTATTAGTTACACTGACTGTTTTTTGTTCCTTTGCCTAAAAAAATGGGTGCGTGTACTTATGTAGGCGCGTGAGAAGTTATCCTTCTTTGGCATCGTTTAAAATTAGTTTTTAATTGCATGCAAATAATTAATTACAATAAATTAATAAAAAGTCTGGAAAAGGACACAGTCAATAAAGTTCAGTTTCAATTTGAAAAAATAAATAAATAATCAAAATATTCAATTAAAATCGCTACTGAATATAATTTATTAGAACATATGTGATTTGCACTTGTATGAAACTCAAACATGTATTCCGAATATACAAACTAGAAACATGTGGATAAATATTATAAATATGAATACCTATAACTGTTACTTTATTACAAAAAACAAAGATGTGGTTTTTGGTTCTACTACACCAATGGTCAAGAGATGGCGCTGTAGTCTCCTGAATCGCGCTTTGGTTCCGTTGTTCCAGATTAATAAATACTTTTGATAGGCCTTCACAATGCAGTCGTTAGCACCCACTAAATAGAGATTCTATTTCTATTTTGTTGGTATATTTTCTTAATGTGCGGTAAACACAAAAGTAACGCATGAAGTTGGTCGCTAAAGCGACCAACTTCATTATGTTAAAATTTTGTGTTACAGTGATGCGCGCGCATCTTAAAATTTCACTCTCATCATTTTTTCATAACGCGCCTAAAGAAGTATATCTTCAAAAAGCGTTGATGCGCGCGCATCGCTAATCTGTGAAAAAGTTATTTCTTTTTCTTTTCGCTGTATTGTTTTTATTTGAAAATATTGTCAAGTAGTAACGAATTTATTAATTTGACACCGCCAGAAGTCAAAAAAGGCTACGCTAAGCCTCTTACCCGAAACATCCACGGATAGATACTTACAGTCAAGCGTATCAAAATTTCAACTTATGGAAAACAAACAAAGGTACAAATTCATTTTCAGAAAGTACGTACCGTAGGTAGTATTATTTCCTCGCAAATGTGTTATAAAACGTCGTATGACATACGTGCGGTTTGATAATTACAGCCTAAAATATCGCCTCGGCTGTAATTCTCAACTTACCGCACTTTTATCATAATGTACTATTTCAACATATTTGCTCAATAAATGCGTTTAAGAAGGTTGAACACATTTTTCCAGTCTTCAAATCTTCAATTATATTTTCACCAAATGATGTCATATGGAACACACTGTTGACACTCTCAAGTACCTTTACCTAACTAAAGCAATGAAGCAAAAAAAAACTAACAAGAAAATGGCGCCACGTGCATGTAGTGGAAATTAGAACTACATCTTTGGTCTCTTTCTTGTTTCTTGTATTAAAATGAAACAAAGGAATAGATTAAAAGCATTCCCAAGGACGTTCGACCAAAATTAAAAAAAAAACGTAATGAATACACACGACTCCGTGTACGGGAGCGTGTGGTAAAACATTTAACCGCACGCTCAGTTGGATGGCTCGTAATTTTGAACTTTCAAACAATGTATACATCTTCTGTAATTACATATTTTGAGCAAGTGTGTTGAAAAATATCACAGTCTATATCTAATTGATGATATACCACTCACCCCTGGAGTGCGCGGGCGTGGAGTGATCGGACCCGTTGTCCAGGAACCCCTCCTATAATGTATGATATACCACTCACCCCTGGAGTGCGCGGGCGTGGAGTGATCGGACCCGTTGTCCAGGAACCCCTCCTATAATGTATGATATACCACTCACCCCTGGAGTGCGCGGGCGTGGAGTGATCGGACCCGTTGTCCAGGAACCCCTCCTATAATGTATGATATACCACTCACCCCTGGAGTGCGCGGGCGTGGAGTGATCGGACCCGTTGTCCAGGAACCCCTCCTATAATGTATGATATACCACTCACCCCTGGAGTGCGCGGGCGTGGAGTGATCGGACCCGTTGTCCAGGAACCCCTCCTATAATGTATGATATACCACTCACCCCTGGAGTGCGCGGGCGTGGAGTGATCGGACCCGTTGTCCAGGAACCCCTCCTATAATGTATGATATACCACTCACCCCTGGAGTGCGCGGGCGTGGAGTGATCGGACCCGTTGTCCAGGAACCCCTCCTATAATGTATGATATACCACTCACCCCTGGAGTGCGCGGGCGTGGAGTGATCGGACCCGTTGTCCAGGAACCCCTCCTATAATGTATGATATACCACTCACCCCTGGAGTGCGCGGGCGTGGAGTGATCGGACCCGTTGTCCAGGAACCCCTCCTATAATGTATGATATACCACTCACCCCTGGAGTGCGCGGGCGTGGAGTGATCGGACCCGTTGTCCAGGAACCCCTCCTATAATGTATGATATACCACTCACCCCTGGAGTGCGCGGGCGTGGAGTGATCGGACCCGTTGTCCAGGAACCCCCTCCTCAGGGACCCCGCTCCCCCCCCCTCCCACGGGGGGGACACCCGCCCCCACCCCGCTACCCGCGCCCGCTACTGTGGCGTCGCTGCTAAGCGAGTCGCGGCTGTAGTTTAGGGAGAAAATTGCAATGAAATTTGTGTTTTGACAATTTATAAGTACGCAGTCCTCGTATTTACGGCATGTTAGGTTCTCAAAAAACGCGACGTAAGTCGAAGGACGTAAGTCGAGACATCGCAACGGACGTTGACCTCGCAACAAGTGAATTCTCCTATGCCGGAAATCGAAACAATTGACGTATGCTTGAGGAATAGTGTCAAAAGATTGTTCGACAATCAATCACATCAATCGGGCCGACCTAGCATTTTAAGTTTTTGGCCTATATGGTTTTGGCGGCGGACCTAAAAATAAATTTTATATTGAGAAAAAAGTTTTTACGCAGTTATGAAGCTGATTTATTAATCTTTATCAAGTGTTTTAAAAAATATATGTATTGTTATCGGTCAGGCAAACTTAATTTTATTTGTGCTACTGACCGTTGAAACTTATAACACTAAGCGGGCCTATAGATGTGTCTGGGAGTGTATTTATAAAAGTAGTCATTTTCGGAGACATTAAGATGAGATAACATTCGAATAAGGCAAAACGTGACTTTGAAGGATATTCAAATTATTTGACGTCTACAGCAAATGAATCTTGAAATAATTCTCATTAATTATCAGTTAGTAAATAACTCGTTATTAAGTTATAAAGCTAAATTTATTAAATGAAACTTAGTTTATCTACAATAAACTCAGAGATATTATAAACGAAAACTAAGACTTTGCTTCATAACGATTTAAAAAAATGTCTAACTTTTTTACAGTACTTTTTAATCGTATTTTTCCAAAAAATTAATCATGTATGTGTTATAAGTTCAAATAAGTAAATAAATTAAATAAAAACACGAAAACTCATCACACAAAATTAAATCTATTTTATGTATTATTCAAGAAATTTAGCATATCTTTTATTAATATAGAAATCAACGCCAGCTCTTGACAACAATCTGTCCTTTAGTATGATAAAGACAACTTTTCTTTTTATAGCAAGGTAGGCAAATGACTCTACCCCACCTGATGTTAAGTGGTGATAAAGTCCAAACGCGAAGATAGCTGGTACAGCAGTCATAAACTGCTACACCAACCATCCTCACCTTGCCGGCCTGCAAAAATGCTTCTTCACGCCTCTCTTAAAGGACCCAAGGTCTGTCAAAACATGCTGTCAAAATGAGAAATAGAAAAAACTTAATAGTCGCGTGTTGATTAATACGGTTTAGTATACAATAATACTGACTGCGTGTAGTGCCCCAGTGGTTCGTAGGCCACATATTGTCCTCTCTCTCTGGCGGCGCACGCGTAGATGTCCCCGCCCGGCCCCACGCCCACGGGGGGGCCTGTCCCACCGCCCAGTGCCCCGCACGCAGGGCCCAGGGGGCACGAGCCTGACCCACCTGGTAGAACAATAGTGTTGCAATAAAAACCACCGAAATACACGAACATGTAATTTTTTTTCCACATTTGCTCCTGATGGTAGGCGATTACCTTATACTCTTATAAACGTCAACGCTATGCCATCGGTTCCTTAATCTACGGAGGGGACCCATTTAAAAAAATACATTTTCTTTAGCTAAATAGGGTATTTGACAAGTTTTAGAAAACGATCTCACGTTATTGACTAATGTTTATGGAGTCCGTAAAAAGTGGATATTCAACCAAATCAAAAACTCCATTTTTAAAGTTGCCGCGGAAACGTTTCTCTGGACAACGTCTCACTAGTGTGTGACGTCACACGACTGTTATTAAAACGTCAAACAATACAATGTAATGTCACTTTAACCGGAAGTTTACTTGCGTGTGACGTCATTTCAGGCTCCGCCAATCCCAAGCGTTTTTGGTCACGTGACAATAGATAAGAAAACTATCTTTTTCGTGGGTTTTTAGTAAAATTATGAATATTTTTTTCTGTAAAAATAGTGAAAACCCCTGCCAATATTCATTCTAAATACAGATGCTAACAATTGGCACTTTATTTTTAATACTGTCAAATACCCTATTCCTTGTTGTAGCAGGCGATTTAAAACCAAACTGAGAAGACAGTTCTACTTATTACACAAAATAAAATGATGTCTTTTTTTCAGTAAAATATCCTACCTCAATATTTAATATACTATCCCTCCATGTGACAAACCCGGGGAACGCCCTGTATATTATTGTATTTATGTCTGAGGTATATTGTTTCATGTACCGATTTGTGTCACTGAATAAAACATTTTCTTTCTTTCTATATGTGTTGTGTTGTGTTGTGTTTGACGACCTCCGTGGCCGAGTGGTTTGTACGCCGGGTGTCATGGTGTCGCGTCCCCGGTTCGAATCCCGGTGGAGGCAGATGTTTGTGTGATGAACACGAGCATTTGTACTCCAGTCAGGGATGTTTTATATGTTTATATATATATATGCACAGTATATGTATTCTATCCGTTACCATAGTATCCCATAACTTTGGGGCTAGGCTAATTGGTGTGAGTGTTGGAAATATTTATTTATTGTTGACTCACATGGCGGCGGCGGTGGGTGGTGATGATGCAGAGACGCCAGCGACGCCTGAGGGGACCCCAGCGGACCCACGCTCGAAAGAAGAGGCGTGCTCTATAGAACGAGACATACAATACGGTATTTGACATGTTTCAGAAAACGACCTCACGTTATTTACTATAATGTTTGTAGAGTCCACAAAAAGTGGACATTCATCATTCAGTAAAAAAACAAAAATCGAAAATTCAATTTTCCAGTTGCCACGAAAACGTCTCTTTGGCATTATGGCGTCGCGGTCGAGGAGTCAGTCGTCGTCACTGGTGTGTGACGTCACACGACCGTGATTAAAACTAGCGTGTGACGTCATTTTCGATCACGTGATCATAGAACAAAATATAATTTCAACTTATGATCGTGTTTCAGACAACATAAATTGCAGTCGTTAGCACACACAAATAAATTGTAAGGCCACGGCCTAGTCTAACAGTGGGGCATATTAATAGATGGCGAGGCAGGCCTTATGATATTTTATTGGGCAAGCACAGCAAACAACAGTATTGCCCGGCGCCAAAAAATCTTTGGTCCAAAAATTTAAATTATAATTATAAAGACTAAATAAAAGGGAGACAATTAAAAATAAGAACAGGTGCTGGGATCTAAAACAAATATATAAAAAAAATGATGTGGTGTCGTGGGACACCAGGTGGGAGCGAAGTTCCTTCGGCTAATGTAGAATCGACACAAATTGCAAACTCGCTTGTGTATGCGACTGTCGCGCCTGCGCACGTCTCATTTAACGGTTTTATTCCACGCACTTTTGTCCACGGATTTTTTCTTACGGTTTTACTATCACATTTTTTTCAGTTCGGTCGCGCAGCAAAATCCCTATCCCCTCCAAGCCTGCTGTAAGGAACTTCGTCGCGCCTGCGCACGTCTCATTTAACGGTTTTATTCCACGCACTTTTTTCCACGGCTTTTTCTTACGGTTTTACTATCACATTTTCACATTTTTTTCAGTTCGGTCAGCTAGTGTTCGTAAAGATTGCTAGGCAGGACTGGCCCACAGATTATAATAAACTACAATGTCACAATAATCCAGTGATGCACCCCCGTCGCTCTGCCACCTCCTGATAAGTACTCACCTTGTAATCATAATCATGTCTCACAGGCGTTACTGGTTCACAGCTTGATATAACTTCACAAATATCCAGTGTTGGTGTAATATCACAATATTTCAGTGATGCACCCTCGTCGCTCTACCACCCCCTATAACTTCACACATATTCACTGTTGGTGTAATATCACAATATTTCAGTGATGCACCCTCGTCGCTCTACCACCCCCTATAACTTCACACATATTCACTGTTGTTGTAGTATCACAATATATCAGTGATGCACCCTCGTCGCTCTACCACCCCCTATAACTTCACACATATTCACTGTTGTTGTAGTATCACAATATATCAGTGATGCACCCTCGTCGCTCTACCACCCCCTATAACTTCACACATATTCACTGTTGTTGTAGTATCACAATATATCAGTGATGCACCCTCGTCGCTCTACCACCCCCTATAACTTCACACATATTCAGTGTTGGTGTAGTATCACAATATTTCAGTGATGCACCCTCGTCGCTCTACCACCCCCTATAACTTCACACATATTCAGTGTTGGTGTAATATCACAATATTTCAGTGATGCACCCTCGTCGCTCTACCACCCCCTATGCGCACGTCTCATTTAATGGTTTTATTCCACGCATTTTTTCTTACGGTTTTACTATGACATTTTTTCACAGTTCGGTCGCGCAGCAAAATCTCTATCCCCTCCAAGCCTGCCGTAAGGAACTTTCGTTCCAAAAAAAGGAAAAAAAATATAATAAAAAATACGAATGCGGGATTTGAACCGACGACCGCTGTGATGCGTCGAACGTTGGTCCCGTGGCAAAAATTTAACACACTGCGCCGTTTAGATCGATAGTGGAAAGGCGAAAATTGTGTTTATATGCACTCTTGTCAGATTATGTTCGTTAAGGAATTTCTTGATTCGGTCGCCGCGCTCAAAGCCCGCGATAAAATCTATGCAATAGCTTAAAAATACGTACCTGGTCGGGCGCGTGCCGGGGGTGAGGTCTCCTCTCACACGTGGCGGCGCATCCCACGCCCACTCCCACGCCCACGCCCGTCATCGCTACGGAAATATAATCACATTTCAAACGTTATGATCCATACCAATACAGCTTATAATCGTTTGGCAGCGAAGCGATAGCTGGTTCATATAAACGGGTTCAGCAGAAATGAATAGGGGTGATGAAGGGCTACAGTAAACGAAATTCTATTTAGTCCGTCAGTTAGATGATCAAAAAATAATGGACACGTATTTTTTCTTTGGGCAATCAACCAAAAAATGACAAAGTTTGGGAGTAGGGCCTCGTGACGTCACTTTTGAGTGAATTTTCTCTTAGAAGTGTACTCAAACGTGACGTCATGCGACTTTTCAAATCAATATATCTCTGCAAAGTTTATATTATGTGAAAAAAGAAAAAATACGTGTCCAATACTTTTTGACAATCTACCTGATAAATAAAGAAAAAAAAAGTCATCATCCCTATTTCCCCCGATAAGTACAAATGCTCGTATTTAACACACAAACATTTGCCCTACCGGAATTCGAACACGGGACCTCTGAGTAAGCGACTTCTTGAAAAAACCATCACTAGCATTAAAACAGACAGCGGGATCGCGATCATATACATTGGTTTTTGCCAATTCCCCATATTTGGACACTATTGTTATAGATAAGTACAGGCAAATAACACTCTAAATTATTTCTGATTGAAAAACGTATTTCTTTAAGTTAGTAATAGTTATTTATTATACAAGAGTGGAAAGTTCCTTTTTAACCGCGTGCTCGATTTGGATGACCGAGCAAGCGAAGGATTCTAAAGTTGAATCACGAGCGCAGCGAGTGATTCTAAATTAGAATCCTGAGCGTCAGCGAGGGAAACAAACGAGCACAAGGTGAAAAATCTTTCCACTCGAGTGCAATACGTAACTTTTCATCCCACCTCAGCGAGGAAATGACAAAATGAAAAAGAAAACAATTTATAATGACAAAATATTTAAGCAATAAAACGTGAAAAACTAGAATGGCGCGAAGCACGCAAATAAAACAAAGAAACCAAGAAGGTTCCAAATTTAAATTTTTTCACAATTTAAAAAGTTCTAATCATAAATTTGGCACCACAGAGGTTACATTAAATAGGTTTAATGACGTTTTGAATTTACAATTATATTGAGTACTCATTATATGTGATGTTCTAAATTCAAATCTACTTTGCCGCTCAAGCGAATAAAATAGAATTTTCCAGCCAGATTTCGAAGCGCAAAATTACACTTTCCGAGGTGGTGGGATGAAAAATAAAATAAAAATGTAACTATGAACAATAATTATTTGTAAAGTGTATGTTACCTTCAATGGCGCTGCCTTGCAGCTTAAGAAGGGTTAGAAAGAATTCGACGCGGCCCTCAGCGCCGCGGCAGCATAATTGGTCAGTGTATTCGCCCGGATAGCGAAGGGCGCGGCGACAACGACTAACTAGAGCCGAGCTCCGATTTTTACGATTACAGATTTTAAGTTCATCCCGTAGGTAATAATACAATGACACGATAGACGGAATACGTTCGTTCAATGAAACTAACATACGGTTTCTGAAAAAATGCTTAGCGATAGGCTTGTTGTTGTGAAAATATATCGAATTATCGATATATCGATATTTTTTGTTCGATATATCGATATTTTTTGCCGATATTTTTTGATTCGATATATCGATACATCGATACAAAATAACGAATATCGAAATTCGTATCAAAAACGATATATTTTTAATTATTAGCGGCATATCACGATCTAACTAAATTCGTATCTGGAAAAATCGTAACTGGATCTCAGATTAATGATATTCAACATATCTATGATCTGTGCTGTATTTAGTATTGTCTATGTCATCATTGGAAAATAGAGTCAGTCTATTTTTAGGGAGATAATTTTCGTTCCATTATTATTCCGCGTGTAATATTTCGTGAGCTGCTGTACGATATTTTTGGGAAAATTGGTCCGATATATCGATAAATCGATGTTTTTTTCGCGATATATCGAAGCCGATATTGATATTTACTTAGCGACAAAATCTGTGTTTTCTGAAAAGACGGGCACCCGGTGGCAGCACTGAGCCGCAAAGTCTACTCATCCGTCAAATCGCGTATGTCTTCATAGTCATCATCATCATCAGCCTATTAATGTCCCCATTGCTGGGGCACAGGCCTTCCCTATGGATGGAATAGGGAGATTGGGCCATGACCCACCACGCGGGCCCAGTGCGGATTGGTGGGTGCTAACGACTGCAGATGCAGCCGGGACCAACGGCTTAACGTGCCTTCCGAAGCACGGAGGAGCTCGAGATAGAAGATTTTTGGTCACCCATCCAATGACCGACCACTGCGAAAGTTGCTTAACTTCAACGATCGCAGCCGAACGCGCTAACCACCTGCGCCATCGAGCTCCTCATGTCTTCATAGTGTATGGATCAATTTAAGAGCCCTTTCACATTTTTTGCAAAAAAACGTAATGTTTGAGCGCCTTATTTACCCCCATAGAAAAGATTTTGACTATTTCCAATAGATGTTAACAGTAGAATTATTCTTCCTATTGTAAGTTAATGTAGAATATTTGAAAATACTATTTTCCTTTTTTTTACTGATCGTTCTACCGCAGCTAGTTTACAGAAATAACGATAATATGCACAACTTCAAACGCCTGAATCTCTCAATAATGTTCAATAAATTAGATTAAATTAATTACTACGACATCAGAAATATGTTTTTGTTGTAACATAATGTATTAGAATTTTGATTTTCTATCTCATTAATTATAAAAAAAAGACATCTAACCTCCGTGAGTTTTCCCAAAGAATAATGCAGGATTACCTCATATTTTAAAAATTGATTTAAATAGAATTACTATCAAAAATTTTCATAAAACTAATCTACCATCATTGAACTACTGCAATATGTATATATTTTTATAATTAGTTCATAAATAATTATTTTATAAGACTCGAAACATCACCCATAAAATGCAATATATACTAGTGCAAATCTACCTACTCGCCGATCAGTACGGCAGCGGCGTTATTTTGTAAAGGGGCTCTTAAGTGCTCGTTCAATGAGGGCTACCGTTTTCTGTCTCACCAGATGGCGCCACTGTTGAGTGAGGTCCTAAATTGTAACTTTTAAAGTTTATTAATACGCACATGAAATCAAAGGTTACATTTAGATCGTATTTTAACACAAAAGAACCATATCCTAAACATAATAGGTCATGCCACAGTGACGCGCAGTTCCGTTTTATTCGGAAAAAATGGGAACATAATCATTTTTCTAAGCTCAAATTTTTAATAACTGACATTCATTGCCACATAACTCATATTTGCCATAATTAAGCCGAATTGTTACCAATTATTCACAACATTATTTTAATAAGAAATAAACCCGCGTAGACAACCAACAAGCAATAACATTTGACATTTCGGAGACCTCACGCTACACTAGCGCCTCTAGCGGTGGATTCATAAGCGATAGCCCTCATTAATTCGCCCCAAAAACTTCATACAAAATACCTCATGTGGCAGTGGCGCCAACAGATGACGTAAATTTTCATAAACACTAACACTGCCTTCAAATTGACAAGCATGTCGGTTAAACAGGTAATGATTTGACGATGTTTTGACGATGTCCAAATTAGGTCCCTCCAGAATATCAGCGTTGCAGCGGCAATCCATTTTTGCCGTTGCAACATTATGCTGAGGTGGGGCCTAGTTGACGATGTACCTTTTGTTTTATGTTTGTTGTGTATTTATTGTAATTGTTAATGTATGTCGTCAATAAATGTTTTTCTTTCTTCTTCTTTCTTTCTTTCTTTCATTTGTTAGTACACCTTATGAACTATGTCAGTAAACATATTACGGCAGACTTTCATTCAATATAAAGTCCGTGACTCACGTCTGTAGTCGCATCGTCGACAGCTTGCGACGGATGCAGGCGAGGCGCGAGACACGCATGCCTCGTCGCTACTGCACGACGCGCCGCTGCCTAAACGATACGATGGAAAGGATAGGAGATAAAACAGAACGAAAAAACGAAATAAAAAAAAAGCGAGTGTGCTTATAACCACACAACTGAAGTGAAACTTCTTTAGCAGATAGGGCAGATGTTTGTGTGACGAATACGAGCATTTGTACTCCAGTCATGGATGTTTAATATGTATTTCATATAGATATACTTATATATGTACAATATATGTATTCTATCCGTTACCCTAGGATCCCATAACACAAGCCTTTACAGTGCTTACTTTGGGGCTAGGCTAATTGGTGTGTGTTGAAAATCTATAAAACTCAAAGGTGACCGACTGACTGACATAGTGATCTATCAACGCACAGCCCAAACCACTGGACGGATCGGGCTGAAATTTGGCATGCAGGTAGATGTTATGACGTAGGCATCCGCTAAGAAAGGATTTTGATCAATTCTACCCCCAAGGGGTTGAAATAGGGAATGAAAGTTTGTATGAAACTTTATCAATTTTAAACCGATCGGGCTGAGACTTTGCATGCAGGTAAACATATTTCAATAGTTAACATCAAGTAAACATGTAGGTAAGCACTAGATTAATGTATTTTGTGACGGGTATTGTTCATTAATTACCGATGAGTCATCGGTGACACTAATCGTAACGCATAACTCGTAACGCATTCGCCAGTTTACACCCCAAATCAAGCGTGCCTATAGAAGTTTCACTTCAAAAAAATATGGAAGAATAAAAATGAGAAGAAATTATATTGGTAATGTAAAAAAATAAATGATTTCTTTATTTGCAGAATGAGATAAAACACATTTAACATAGAACAGAACGGAACGTAAAACAGAACGAAAAATACATAAAGACGTAATGGAATAAGAGGGAGAAGAAAATATATTGATAATTTAAAAAAACAAATGATATTTAGTATGAGGATATAAAACAAATTAAACATAAACCGCCTTATTACAAAACGTAAACAAAAGATAAACCTGGAGGTCTACTCTATTTCAGCGAAAAACGAATTTTCTATCGTAATTTCGCACGTTTCTTACTCTGCTTCTTTTTCATTTCGTAAATTCGTTCGTCCGAAAATAGTTTGACAATTAAATAGGGGTGATGACGGGGTACAGTAAACGAAATTCTATTTAGTCCGTCAGTTAGATGATCAAAATATAATGGACACGTATTTTTTCTTTGGGCAATCAACCAAAAAATGACAAAGTTATAGCGCGTCAAAGTTTGGGAGTAGGGGCTCGTTGGGAGTAGGGGCTCGTGACGACACTTTTGAGTGAATTTTCACTTATAAGTGTACTCAAACGTGACGTCATGCGACTTTTCAAATCAATATATCTCTGCAATGTTTATATTATGTGAAAAAAGAAAAAATATGTGTCCAATACTTTTTGATAATCTACCTGATAAACGAAGAAACAAAAAATAGTCATCATCCCTATTCTCGAAGCCAGCTCTAATTCACAAAACTTTCGAACGAGAAGTTGTGTTTGACAGATATAATCATTCGAAATTTTAAACCTCAAATTGACGAAATTAAAAGTGTTACCTTTTCATTTTCGTTTTGAGATTGTTGTTTTAATTAAGCCTAAAATGCTTGCAAGAGGCAATCAAGGCGGCTTAGCTCGAGAAACATTTTGTAACATGTAAATTTAACAAATAAACCATTTTTTTATTATTTATTGTAATTCCAATACTTCAAATTATTAAACGACAAATTTAGGTTGACATATAATAGATTGTATCAACATAAATAAGAAAACTAGAAAAAGAAAGAAAGAAAGACTGTCAAAGAAGGTTCTTTCAATGTCATCAAAAATTTTGCCGTAAACTACCTATATTGTTTCCAAGTAAAAAACGTAATCTCAAAAGTAGAGATAAAAAGAACTCACAAACATGACTCATTCCATTCGTGCACGAAAACTAGGCATGCGTCCGATATATCAAAACAAATCCAAAATCCGATTTCAAACACAAATCGATACCGAACGATTTCTCAACAAGAAAATCCGATTTCAGAAATCTAACCGAACCAAAACGTATGTAAATCGGATTCGAAATTCGTGCTTTCGTTTTTGTGCATTTCGTGCTCGGAAGTCCGATTTCGATTTGCTGTTTACGGAAATCTACTGCTCTTCTCTGAGGCGGGATTATTTATCACTGAAAAGATATGTCGTCTAAAAACATCAAAAGTCGAGCAACTTACATTTTTGGACGCTAACCTGAAGTAATTAGGTTTGATTTTGTAAATGGTTTGAAAAATAATAAAAACAAACAGAAAAACAAAAAAAAATACTAAAAAATATGTAAAAAGAAATCATTGTATAAAAGCCGATTTTTAAATGCGCCGCAAAAGTTTTACTCTTAACCGTAAACATAAATTTTCTGCTAGTCCTAAGCCTAGATTTAAAGCATGAAGGAAAATCGCGAAAATCTACGAGTATCCTTGCTTCCTACAATTAATTGTTTGTGATTGTCGTTAGCTAATAAAACCAAATCATAACACAAACTAGTGAATTGGCTAAGTTCGGCACATCTGAAATCGGATATCTAAAAACGGATTTTAAAATCGATTTTGAAATCTGAAATCCGATAAATATCCGTTTGCGTTCAAAACCAAAAACGCCCATGTCTAACGAAAACTGTTTGTGGTTCCGAACTTAATGTGCCTCTTGGAAAAAGAAATAGAGTAGAGGCAGTGGCGAAATTTCGTTTGTTACCGAAATTTCGTTTCGGAGAAAGAGAGTAAAGCTACTGGACTAAAACTCTGTCACTTTCGTTTGTTAAAACGAAGACAGAGACAACATGTAGGCACGTAGTGTCGGCGGTCGAGCGAGGCGGGGCGTGATACTGGGAAATAAGGACCCTATATGTTTGAAAATGGGTCTCTGAAATACGTACCTTTGGTGTACCCGCTCAATCTCAAGTTACGAGAAGATTTTCCACAGGACTAAATGATTTTAGTTGCACTTTGTATATACGTGCTAGTCGCGCAACTTCGCTAGCGCGATGCAGCACTCACCCACGTATATAGGCACGTAGTGTCGGCGCGGCGGTCGAGCGAGACGGAGCGCGATACTGGGAAATTAGTACCCCTATACTATGTTTATGTTTTAAAATGGGTCTCTGAAATATGTACCTTTAGTGTATCACTTCAATATCTAGTTACGAGAATAAGAGATGATTTTCCACCGGATTGAGTGACTTCAGTCGCACTCTGTATATACGTGCTAATCGCGCAACTTCGCTAGCGCGATGCAGCACTCACCCACGTAGTAAGGCACGTAATGTCGGCGGTCGAGCGAGACGGAGCGCGATACTGGGAAATAAGGACCCTTTACTATATGTTTGAAAATGGATCTCTGAAATACGTACCTTTAGTGTACCCGCTCAACCTCAAGTTACGAGAAGATTTTCCACCGGACTAAGTGACTTTAATCGCGCTCTGTATATACGTTGCTAGCCGCACAACTTCGCTAGCGCGATGCAGCACTCACCCACGTAGTGTCGGCGGTCGAGCGAGATGGAGCGCGATACTGGGAAATTAGTACCCATATACTACGTTTATGCTTTAAAGTGGGTCTCTGCTCTGAAATACGTACCTTTAGTGTACCAGCTCAATCTCTAGTTACGAGAAAAAGAGAAGACTTTCCACCGGACCGAGTGAGTTAGGTCCAAGGTTGCCAACCATAGCATTTTATCCTGGTACTTCTGCAACTAAAATCTCATAATCTTGCTTTCGAACCTCGCACACGATTTGCCCCCCAAAGAATTGTAAATTATAAGCCAACGGGTCAACTAACCATAGACTGTAAAGATATGTTTTTTGTTTGGATACTTACGGTTTTTGCACCAACTTGTTGGCTACAATGAAATAAAATCTTCTCAATTTATCTGATAAAATCTCGTACATTGTCATACCTCGTACGGAAGACCAGGAATCTTGTATTTGTACGAGAATTCTCGTACGGTTGGCAACCTCGTCTTTTTTTGCTGTTGGTCGCAGATGACCTTTACAGCGTCACCGAGTTTGGGGACGGCGAGATCCTAAGGGGACCTCAAGCCAGTGGGGAGTGCCTCTACAGGTATTCCAGGCGGATGGCATCTCCCCACGGGGGGAGGAGTCTCCTCTCCATCTGGAGCCTCTAGACCACTAAAACCTGAGGGCGTCTCTGAGACTCGAACCTCGGCTCTAGTTAGCCGCTGTCGTGGGGGAAGCAACTCTGGTTTGGTCGCGCTCTGTATATATATGCTCGGCGCGCAACTTCGCTAGCGCGATGCAGCACTCACCCACGTAGGTAGGCACGTAGTGTCGGCGGTCGAGCGAGGCGGGGCGAGGGCGCGCGGGCTCGTACTCGGCGGGCGGGCCCCGCGACAACGTCAGCGTCGACGACATCAGCCCCGCGTCCGTACTGCCCGCTGATACTGGGATAACGAGAAGGTTTCAGCTAAGTACATGACAGTGGATTTCGGATATAGCGACGATGCAGGGACCACTCTATTTACGTCGTTATATTCGAAAGTCGTTACAGGCAAAGGTAAAAAGATACAGACACGTACACATATATAATGTATATTCATTTATAAGTAAGTTCCACCTTTTCTTAAAACATTGAATCTGCGTCTAGCAACCATACTTATTCAAAAATTTACTAAAGAAATCAGAAATCAATATATCTTAATTCAAATTGGATGTATAGTACAATTCTTTTAATTTATTAATTCGATCACGAGTGCTATAGTTTTTGTAAACATTTTAACACTTGACATTGGCTAAATGCACAAACCGTGCGAAGCCGTTTAGAAAAAAAAATATAAACTAGCTGACCTAGCTAACTTAACGTATAATCGGTTATTTAACGGTTTCTACCGAGCAGTCTTTCTCGTGTCTCTCTCACTACCTACTGGACATTGGCGAAATTTCTGTGCAAAACGGAGAACGCCACAGAAAGAAAAAAAAAATATGTATCGCCATAAATGAACCTAACATTATTTTTCCGGTCTAAAAAAATAACCTGTCTCAATGCAAGTAATACACAAACCCCGTTATTAATTAACAAGGAATAAGCTTGGACTAGTTACGCCATGTTTTGTTCATGTCACTCAAATGCCATTCAATAAACATTAATAGGGTATTGACAGTATTAAAAATAAAGTGCCAATTGTTAGCATCTGTGTTTGGAATGAATATTGGCAGGGGTGTTTTACTAATTTTACAAAAAATATTCCTAATTTTACTAAAAACCCACGAAAAAGATAATAGTTTTCTTATCTATTGTCACGTGACCCAAAACGCTTGGGATTGGCGGTACCTAAAATGACGTCACACGCAAGTAAACTTCCGGTTATAGTGACATTACATTGTATCGTTTGACGTTTTAATCACAGTCATGTGACGTCACACACTAGTAAGACGCCATATTGTCCAGAGAAACGTTTTCGCGGCAACTTGAAAATGGTGTTTTTGATTTGGTTATTTTTACTGAAATACACAACAGAATGATGAATATCTACTTTTTGCGGACTCCATAAACATTATTCAATAACGTGAGATCGTTTTCTAAAACTTGTCAAATACCCTATTCATATGTATCATAATTATCTCTTATCTATTAGACAAGTCCGTCCGTCCGTCCGTCCGTCCATGGTGCTGTTTCAGCGGCCAAACCGTAAGAGATAGATATAGAGAATGTTCAAGTTATAAGTTAAGAATAGTCTGATAAGACTACAAACCGGATGTGAGTAACGTAGCACTTCCGGTTTTCGAGAAATCACGTGATTTCTATTTCAAACGAAACCACACAAAATCTCCGAAGTTCTCAATTAATTAAATACATTTTTTTTTTGTGAACATTTGGTTCACTGGTTTGCTAGTTACTATTTATTATTATTTTGTCATTGCCGTGCTATGATTCTTGTGGTTGAAATAAATGAATTATTACTATTATTATTAAACAGAGACAAAACATGCAGTATATAATCCAAGCGTAGTCTTTGTTCATTATCAAGTGGATATATGTGTTCCAAATTTCATCCAAATACATTCAGTTGTTTTTGCAAGATTGAGTTACAAATATACAAACTTCCACATTTATAATATCACTAGCTGTGCCCCGCGGTGTTGCCCGTAGTTTATAAGGGATATTTTCCCGCAGTAAAATGTATGTTTGAATCCAGGGTGTCAGCTAACTCCTTAGCCAAATTTTATTAAAACCGCTCCAGCTGTTTAGACGTGAAGAAGTAACAAACATACATACACACGCACAAACTTTCGCCTTCATAATATTAGTGTGATAGTAGGAAATAATAATCATAATCATCGTCAGCCTATTAATGTCCCCACTACTGGGGCACAGGCCTTCCCTCTGGGTGGAATAGGGAGACTGGGCCATGACCCACCACGCGGGCCCAGTGCGGATTGGTGGGTGCTAACGACGGCAGATGCAGCCGGGACCAACGGCTTAACGTACCTTCCGAAGCACGGAGGAGCTCGAGATAGTAAATTTTTGGTCACCCATCCAATGACCGACCACTGCGAAAGTTGCTTAACTTCAACGATCGCTGCCGAACGCGCTAACCACTTGCGCCATCGAGCTCACCAATCCTCAAAATCATAATACTTAAACAATACTTTATTTTTTTCGTATCTATCTGTGAGTGAGAGGGGTATAGTGTTAATTCATATTGTTCTTATACTTATTATACAACATATATAAAACTCAAAGGTGACTGACTGACTGACATAGTGATCTATCAACGCACAGCCCAAACCACTGGACGGATCGGGCTGAAATTTGGCATGCAGGTAGATGTTATGACGTAGACATCCGCTAAGAAAGGGTATTGATCAATTCTACCCCCAAGGGGATAAAATAGGGAATGAAAGTTTGTATGAAACTTTGTCAATTTTAAACCGATCGGGCTGAGACTTTGCATACAGGTATAAGAAGAATCATAGATGAATGTCATTGTGCATAATACAAGCCTGAGAACAAAATCTGTAGTCTACACTTCAGCTCTACACCGAAGCGAAGCGAGGGCGGGCCGCTAGTACTACATATCCTTACTGGCACTCGAGTGTATCCCCTTGTCCATGTGTTTGAGCTCCATCTGGTCGTGGTGGATCCACAGGTCCGGGGGTTTGATGCCCGTCGACGCTGAAGACTTCTGGTATGTGCTGTGACGGACAGACAAACAGATATTTTACTTAATAGGTACTAACTATAATGTCACGTAAACAATAGGCATAGGGTGTATTCCGAAATGTACATCAGTATACTGGCCAGTGGTAATGACGTCACTGGTATGCTACCATATTTTTACCGGGAAAACGAATATGACGTATGACCGAGCATGCGTGAGATGCATTCGAATTTTATTTCTTTTTTATTTAAAGAACAACAATGGCATCCGAACAAAAAGAATCCCTTTTATTTGATGAGGTGAATAGAAAATCTTCTTTATTCGCACTATTTTTAATATTTCGTCGATTTATGACGTCAGTGCACTGGCCAATATATTTCGGAACAATTCACCAGTGTAGCGTCGATCCGTGACGTCATTAGCACTGGCCAGTATACTGGTATATATTACGGAATACACCCATAGAGAATGGCCTAATCATTCCCTGTAAAGTAAAATAATATGAAGTACGAGCGAGCCGAAGCGATTGTTGGCTGTTTTGTCTCTTTCCAGTGGATTGTCAATTTGTTAAGCCAAGTCTATTTTTCAAGAGAAACTTCTTTTCGGTCGGTGTGTTAATGGAAAAACCCAATGGAAGAGATGAAACGGAAATGCGTCACGATCGTCATATATCTTTATATATATAATTCTTCTGTGAGTGTGTATGTCACTGAACTTCTCTTAAACGACTGGACCGATTTTGATGAAATTTTTTGTGTGTGTTCAAGGGGATCTGAGAATGGTTTAGATTCACAATTTTGTCCGCTGGACAACCCCTATTTTTTTAGGGCGGTACGAAGTTCGCTGGGTCAGCTAGTCTTTATATATATAATTCTTCTGTGAGTGTGTATGTCACTGAACTTCTCTTAAACGACTGGACCGATTTTGATGAAATTTTTTGTGTGTGTGCAAGGGGATCTGAGAATGGTTTAGATTCACAATTTTGTCCACTGTACTACCCCTATTTTTTTAGGGCGGTACGAAGTTCGCTGGGTCAGCTAGTGACTATGTAATACAGGGTGTGAAAAAACCTATGACAAAGACTTAAACTACGCATTCTGTACACCCAAACAAGTCATATTACAAAATATTATATGTGGGAATCATATTTTGTATTATTAAGTTAAAAAAAACAGTACGCGATGTATAGCGCGGCGCGCTACTGTGTCGCTACGCAAACAATGTGCCTGTGTGTATGTGTGTGTAAGTGCATCGATAAAAAAGTTTCAAAATAACGTTTTGAAAATATCAATGTATGAATCTTGAAAAAGAATTGTGACTTTCACCTTCAATGAAACTTCCGGTTAAAGTGACATTACATTGTATCGTTTGACGTTTTCATAACAGTCTTGTGACGTCACACACTAGTAAGACGCCATATTGTCCAGTGAAACGTTTTCGCGGCAACTTGAAAATGGAGTTCTTGATTTGTTTATTTTTACTGAAATACACAACAGAATGATGAATATCCACTTTTTACGGTATCCATAAACATTAGTCAATAACGTGAGATCGTTTTCTAAACCTTGTCAAATACCCTATTCAAATACGTACATCTCTAATACATACATTACACTACATGAATGCAATAAATGATTTGATTGATTGATGACCATATGAAGAATGTTTAAAAATTGGCTGGCTCATGTTTCGTGTCTGGGTACACCATGACACGAGAATTTTATAGATTCGATATGTAACAGTATGTGTGTTCTATCCGTTACCCTAGTATACCATAACACAAACCTTACTTTGGGGCTAGGCTAATTGGTGTGAGTTATAGTAATATAAGTTATTTACGGGATTGTTACCATGTACCTTGTTTTTAGCGAGTTTCCGATATTACGGCACTGTTGCAAGCGCCATGATCACGGAGCAACCGAAACTCGCTAAAAATAAGGTACATGATAACAATAATATTATAAAACTAATATAAAACTCAAAGGTGACTGACTGACATAGTGATCTATCAACGCACAGCCCAAACCACTGGACGGATCGGGCTGAAATTTGGCATGCAGGTAGATGTTATGACGTAGGCATCCACTAAGAAAGGAATTTGTTCAATCCTACCCCCAAGGGGATAAAATAGGGAATGAAAGTTTGTATGAAACTTTGTCAATTTTAAACCGATCAGGCTGAGACTTTGCATGCAGGTATAAGAAGAATCATAGATGAATGTCATTGTGTATAATACAAGCCTGAGAACAAAAGCTGTAGTCTACACTTCAGCTCTACACCGAAGCGAAGCGAGGGCGGGCCGCTAGTAACTTATATTACTATAATGTTAGTGACCATGAAAGTTTAAAACAATAAATTGGTGTGAGTGTTGGAAATATTTATATATTTACTAGCTGACCCAGCGAACTTCGTACCGCCCTAAAAAAATAGGGGTTGTCCAGCGGACAAAATTGTGAATCTAAACCATTCTCAGATCCCCTTGAACACACACAAAAAATTTCATCAAAATCGGTCCAGTCGTTTAAGAGAAGTTCAGTGACATACACACTCACAGAAGAATTATATATATAAAGATTTATTGGCACGAATAGGCTAGTTTACTCATGTCGAATTGTATTAAATAAATGTTTATTTCTTAAAGTGTTTAGTCTAAGGAACCTTAATATATCGATTTCACTTCATAAAAGCAGAAGATTGCTGTAGAAATTTAATTTTAAAAAATATTTTTTAGTCTATATTTTTTAAACACTAAAAACGCTGTTCGCCACATTCGCCATGATTTTGACGTCTCTTGTGGTAAACAACTAAATGTCATTCGCGTGTTACTGTAGGTGGATTCTTTCGTCTGACTAAATTTATCTTAAAACACTTTTAACTTTAGGAAAGAAAAAAAACAGTAAACTTAGTTTTTTTTGACTAAACAAATTATGGATGCCGGCTTTGTGAAAGCAGAAAGCACAAATCTGCCAAGAATTGACGCATTGATGGTTGGTGAATTTGTTGCACTAAACTCCGATTTCTGCTCTGCGGAGCAGAGAAACGACAAGGCATCTATGTAAGTACAGTGCATTTAGTATTACAATGTACTAATAAACATAAAACTGATACAACATATGAATAAGTGTAATAAAGTTGCGTAGGTTAATTTCTTTCCGCACTTTAATCCACAACTTTCCTGGAGTCTTCAAGGATGTGTTTTTATATTCTCGTACAATACAGTAATGATAATTACTTTATTTTTCGTGGTATTTATTAGAAATCATGTTTTTTTTTATTATAAACTCAGTTAAAAGTAATTTTCTACGTGTTTACGAGTTTTTGTTTACCACAGTTCACGTCATAGCATAGACAATCTATATACTAAAATGGCCGACAGCGTTTTTGTATGTCCATGAAAAGTCTATTTTAAAATTAGAGATTTGTAGCTTTCTAGGTTTAAAAAAAATACAATACATTTTTTTTCGGTCTAAAAGAACATTTATTAACCATTTAAAACCTTTTTCCAAAAAGGGTCAACTAGCCTATTGTTATATTTACCTGGTGTCCGGCGACAGTGGCGGTGTCCGTCGACAGCACAGCGACAGCGCCAGCGCGGCCGCCAGCGCCAGCACTGCGCACGCGCCGCCAGCACTCGCCCACAGCCACGCCGATGTAGCTGCCGCCAGACCCCCGCCCGACCCAGTGTCTACACCATTCATTTTATATATGATTATTTAAAAGATTATATTCTGCTTGCATGACATTATTAAATGTACTATTTATTTATGGGAAGTCGCTGGTACCTGCCATACAGTTTATACTAGTGCAGATACCAACGCTCCAATGAAATGTAATTGTTGTCTAACTAAGTAAAAAAATATAAATTTAAATATATATATAATGTACAACACGTGAAATGAAATGAATAAATTATTATTATTATTTAAATGTAAAGAAAATGAAAGCCACGCCGATGTAGCCGTCGCCAGACCCCCGCCCGACCCAGTGTCTACACCATTCAGTTTATTTAAATCTAAAGAAAATGATAGCCACGCCGATGTAGCCGTCGCGAGACCCCCGCCCGACCCAATGTCTACACCATTCACTTTATTTAAATGTAAAGAAAATGAAAGCCACGCCGATGTAGCCGTCGCGAGACCCCCGCCCGACCCAGTGTCTACACCATTCATTTTATTTAAATCTAAAGAAAATGAAAGCCACGCCGATGTAGCCGTCGCCAGACCCCCGCCCGACCCAGTGTCTACACCATTCAGTTTATTTAAATCTAAAGAAAATGAAAGCCACGCCGATGTAGCCGTCGCGAGACCCCCGCCCGACCCAGTGTCTACACCATTCATTTTATTTAAATCTAAAGAAAATGAAAGCCTCGCCGATGTAGCCGTCGCCAGACCCCCGCCCGACCCAGTGTCTACACCATTCATTTTATTACCAACAACATATTTATAATTTTTATTATTTTTAAAGCATGTAACTGCTTGATGTTTAAATCTAAAAAAATATAACTAGAAAAAAATCCACGCGGACCAGGCAGTAGACGGGACTCGAACCCGTACCCTTCGCAATCCGGGCGAATGCACTGACCGATTATGCTACCGCGGCCCTGATGGCCGCCTCGGAATTCCTCAAGCCATTCTTCATCTCTTCGCATTGTAGGCAACCCGCAAATGTTTAATACTTGTAAAAGTATTCATTTGACACGTACACTATTACGTAGAGCGGAGCCTCGACCGATTACTATACAAACTACAAAATACCATAACAGGTATGGCACTCTAAGCCACAAATATCATAACTGGTAGCCATACCAGTTACGATATTTGTGTGCCAACTCTAAGTATCGTAACAGGTACGGCATGACAACCCATCATTATCGCTACAGGTATAGCACGCTAAGTCACAAATATCATAACTAGTATGGCATTCTAAGCAACAAATAACGTAACTGGTATGGCACACTAAGTCATAAATATCGTAACAGGTATAGCACGCTAAGTCACAAATATCATAACAAGTATGTTACTCACCCAGCGGCGTAGTATAAACGACGGGCGTGGAGAACGGCCCCAGCCCCCTATTGTTCCGGGCCTGCACTTTGAACAAGTACGTGGAGCGGGGCCTGAGCCGGTCTACCCTGGCGCGTCCCCGGTCCCCCGTGACGGATAGTGCGGCCCATTCTTCGCCACCGGTATTGTCGCCGGTGCGTTGGATCGCGTACATCACTACGTATCCTAAACGAAAAAGTCAAATGAAATGAAATGAATGAAATGAAAAGTCATTTATTCAGTCTAGGCTGTTACAAGCACTTGTGAAGGTCAAGAAGCTACGCCATCGGTTCGCAAAACTACGGCGGGAGACCTTGTACTGAGAAGAACCGGCAAGAAACTCAGCAAGGGCTGCTTTTTTCTCCCCGTATTGATATATACAGAGTCGTCAAGTTGAAAAATGACTTCAGAAATACTTCTGAAGTCACCTTCCATTACATTATTTAGGATATAGATATATAGTTACAATAAATTTTATATTTAGTACTAGCTGACCCAGCGAACTTCGTACCGCCCTAAAAAAATAGGGGTTGTCCAGCGGACAAAATTGTGAATCTAAACCATTCTCAGATCCTCTTGAACACACACAAAAAAATTCATCAAAATCGGTCCAGTCGTTTAAGAGAAGTTCAGTGACATACACACTCACAGAAGAATTATATATATAAAGATATAGGAAGCGGCATTAGATAGGTACCATATTACTGTTACAAAAACTGACTCATACCCATCAAATAACAAATTACAAGAAACACTATGTCCATGCATTATGATCATTTAGATAATCATTAACTTTATAATAGCCCTTATTCATAAGAGAATTCTTGATCTGAGATTTAAATTTGGTAAGTGGAAGCTCAATCAGATCTTGGGGAACTTTGTTAAACAAAGTCTTCTCTTATTTGTTTCTTAAGTTTTCACGCACACCACTCATTAAATGGTACACGCTGAAACGGATTATAAATGCGTCTTTATCAAGCGAAACTTCAAAAGGTGAACGGGAGCTGAGTGGGGCATATATGGATGCATTATATTTTGAAGCTTTGGGCTTACCCTATTCTGAAGCCATGGGCACGCCCCTGATGTGTGGGAGACTAAGCAATTTGCGTATCTGATGTGCGCTAAAAAACCGACATAGCTTAGAAAAGCACGAATGTAGTGAAAACTTAGCGAACGCATTCGCAAATGTCGTCCCACATATGCGGGTTGGCGCATTCGTGCTAACAAATGTGAGTGATCTGATCAGGATAATAATTTTAATTTTTTGGTTTCCTGACGTGGCTGAAACACAAACCGTGCGAGTCAAAAAAATCCTGCTTGGCGCGATTTCATCAAGCGTGTTTAAAGAAAAAGCTGGATCAATGCATTTTGCGAGAAACTCGCCAACAAACATATGAAAGTGTCACACTCACCCCGTATTTTAATGTCAATAAAAAAAAAGAAAAAAATATCGATATATCGATAATATCGAGTTAAAATGGTCGATATATCGGATATCGATATTTTCCTGACTTCGATATAAATATCGATATAATATCGATATTTCAAAAGACTTTGCATCCCTAATTATAATTCTATAATTATCTGAAATAAATGATTATTATATAATTTGATTCCGCTATGACGGGACTTTCAGTGTTACCGGTTCCCCGCCTAAGGAGAAATCAGTGCGCGCGCACATTTTCTTTCCCTCTTTCTCTTATAGCTAGTAAATGAAATATGTATATGTACATCTTTATATATATAATTCTTCTGTGAGTGTGTATGTCACTGAACTTCTCTTAAAAGACTGGACCGATTTTGATGAAAATTTTTGTATGTGTTCAAGGGGATCTGAGAATGGTTTAGATTCACAAAGACGTGTAGACAGGACAACGTCTGTCGGGTCCGCTAGTATATGTATATATTGTACATATCTTTATATATATAATTCTTCTGTGAGTGTGTATGTCACTGAACTTCTCTTAAACGACTGGACCGATTTTGATGAAATTTTTTGTGTGTGTTCAAGAGGATCTGAGAATGGTTTAGATTCACAATTTTGTCCGCTGGACAAACCCTATTTTTTAGGGCGGTACGAAGTTCGCTGGGTCAGCTAGTAAATATATATATATCGGAGGATGTGACGAGTTGAGTTTCTTGTTGAATGCCAATCGCGAAAAGGCTATTGTTTACACTTTAAATAAATTTCTATAATCTTAATTTAATTTGATTTAGTTAATTACAATTTTTGTATTGTTCAGTAACTTAACAATTTAATAAAAGTCTCTTATAAATCATCTTATTTCGCGTCCAATCAGAGCAGAGCACGTGCCTCGAGTGGGGTCGAGGCGCCATCTTGATTTTCACAAGTGGGAGGTAGTTTTTGCGCGTATTAAAAGGCGAGGAACTGATCGTAGCGGTTCATTACTAGAATGGTGATACGGTAGTTCAGTGAAGTCAGATTGGTACCTTGAACCCGCTGCTCGGTTGTTACGTTATTTAAGTGTCCTTAGTGTAAAGTTAAGTGTGTGTGTAACATTTTTATTTTGTTTTGTTAAATAAACGTAATTAAAATTGTACGAACAGTGATTGAGTAATTGTTTGGTTTTGTGCCTGTATCAAGCCCCAATGACGCCCGCTAAGCCCGTGAACGCTAATGACAAAGTGAATAGTCGCTCTCCGACATATATATACATACAGATGCAGTTAAGGAAGTTTCACTTCAATCGTGTGGTCATAAGCACACTCGTTTTTGAAGTTATACTTCTTTAGGCGCGTTATGAAAAAATGATGAGAGTGAAATTTTAAGATGCGCGCGCATCACAGTAACACGAAATTTTAACAGCATGAAGTTGGTCGCTTTAGCGACCAACTTCATGCTGTTACATTTGTGTTTACCGCACATTAAGAAAATCTACCAACAAAACAGAAATAGAATCTCTATTTAGTGGGTGCTAACGACTGCATTGTGAAGGCCTATCAAAAGTATTTATTAATCTGGAACAACGGAACCAAAGCGCGATTCAGGAGGCTACAGCGCCATCTCTTGGCCATTGGTGTAGTAGAACCAAAAACCACATCTTTATTTTTTGTAATAAAGTAACAGTTATAGGTATTCATATTTATAATATTTATCCACATGTTTCTAGTTTGTATATTCGGAATACGTGTTTGAGTTTCATACAAGTGCAAATCACATAATTATGTTCTAATAAATTATATTCAGTAGCGATTTTAATTGAATATTTTGATTATTTATTTATTTTTTCAAATTAAAACTGAACTTTATTGACTGTGTCCTTTTCCAGACTTTTTATTAATTTATTGTAATTAATTATTTGCATGCAATTAAAAATTAATTTTAAACGATGCGAAAGAAGGATAACTTCTCACGCGCCTACATAAGTACACGCCACCCATTTTATTATATTACTTTTTTGACGTTTCGCATCTTTTTCAGGCTGCGTCATCAGAATTGTAATTATTATATCATAATCATCATAATTATTATATTTGTAGTGGATTGTTGAATGGAACGCCAAGCCGAAACCGACTTGGGTGTATTCAGCGAATGGGTCATTTTGTGTTAAAACTGATGCTATCACTTTTGTTTGCTAAAAAGAAGACGGAGACTACATTCGGTTTAAACCAAGACCAACTTTAGTCTGGGTTTAGGAACACGGTGTAGAAATAGTTCTGCAATAAGAGATCGTAGTAAGTCTCCTGTTCTTTCTATCTTCTTGTCTATCCGTTGAATTTCTTTCTATTCTTCTTTCTTATCTCTTCTAGAGAGTGATGGACCTCATGCAAGTATAGGCTAGTTGACACTTTTTGGAAATATGTTTTAAATGTTAAATTAGACCGAAAAAAATGTATTGTAATTTTTTTTTACCTAGACAGCTACAAAACTTTAATTTTAAAATAGATATTTCATGGACATACAAAAACGGTGTCGACCATTTTAGTCTATAGATTATCTATGGTATGACGGGAACAATAGTAAACAAACACTCGCAAGCACGTAGGATATAACCTATCTGAATTTACATTACAAAACCATGATTTCTAATAGATTCATGATAAATATAGTAATTATCATGATTGTATTATACGAGAATAGAGAAACACATCGTTAAAAACTCCAGAAATGTTGTGGTTTAAATTTTTAAGGTTATGGAATACCTGCTAAGTCAAAGAGTTTTGTTGTTTCTGCTTTCACAAATCCAGTTGGCGTCCAGCATTAATTTAGTGAAGAAAACCAATAAACGGAATCTTTTCTTCAAGATATAAGAGTTTTTAGATATATTTTAGAAAGAAACCACAGTAACACGACAATGACATTTAATTGTTTTGCTATTATGTTGACGTCACAATCATGGTGGACAGCGTTTTTAGTGTTTAAAAAGCATAGACTAAAAAACTATTTTACAAATTAAATTACTACAGCCAGCTTCCAATTTTATGAAGTGAATCGATGTATTTAGGTTCCTCATACCAAAAATTATAAGAAATAAACATTTGTACAGTGCAATTTGACATGAGTCAACTAGCCTATTGCTCAGTCTATTATTGAAGTGAAACTTCTTTTCGAATGCGATTTAAATGGAGAAATCCCATGGAAAAGATGAAGCGAAAATGCGTCAGGAGCGTCACACCACTATACAGAGTGGAAATTTTGAATGCCATCCCCAGGGGAAGTACTCTAAATACTGGAGGTAGATAATTTTACTCAAAGGAAACATTCCTTTATTTTTAAAAAGAAACACAACTGCATTCTCAGTTTTTCGAAAATTTGCTTGCCACACCCGGGAATCGAACTAGCGAAAATTTGGAGAAATGACATCCTGTATTTTTATGTCATCAATCGATAGAGTTAATAATCATAGGGATTATATCTTACTAAGAAACTTAGTACATTAAATGGAAGGAATAGCGTGTATTCAGAGTACTTCCCCTGGGGGTGGCATTCAAAATTTCCACCCTGTATATACAGGGTGTTACAGAATTCCGAAATAAAATTTGTAGGTATGTATTCCGAAATAAAAAATTGTAGGTATCTGAGCGGGGCGCAGGGGCGCCTGGGGGAGAGAAGGGGGTCTGTTTAGGTAGTAGTAATCGTACGCATTTATAGGGTTGTCATAGGCAGGTGTAAAACGATATTTTTATTAATTTAATTAGAAAATAAAAGTGGTCCGAAAGGCGTCAAACTTTCGTAGGTAATTCTATACAAGGAACACAACCAAACCCTAAAGTTTTATTTCGGACTTTTGTCACACCCTGTATAAGCGTATGTGTATGTGCGTGTATATGTATGTGTGTGTGTGTGCGCGCGCGCTATCCCAATTACACTATGCACCACCTAAAGTTAGATTATTTAAGAAAAAGAAGTTTCACTTCAGATATGTCCGTGGTACGTTCATAAATATTGTACCGTATCCCCACTGACCTGTGATAGCTCCGTTCGGCTTGGCCGGTGCCGCCCACACCAGATCCACGGAGCGGGCCGGGGAGGAGGGCGCGGGAGGGGGCGCCACCCGCAGGTCGCGCGGGGGGGAGGCGGGGGGCGCCTCCAGGGTGGTGTTGGACACCAGCATGGACCATTGGGACTCGCGACCTCCTAACCACAACAAATGTCACATCAAAACCAGACACAGCTTGAAATAAATGAAGCGAACGTATGTCTGTCTTTATGGCAAAGTATGTTAGTCCATCTGTCTGTTTAGCTGTCTATAAGTCTGCCTGTTTGGCTGTGTATTTGTCTGTCTGTTTGGTTGGCTATTAGTCTGTCTATTTAGCCGTTTATTTGTCTGTCTGCTTGTCTATCTGTTGATGGTCTATTTGGCTGTAAACCCTCCGGGGAGAGACGGGGGCAGCTTCCAATCTGGTGTTGAAAACCAGCATCGACAATTGGGACTCGCGACCTCCTAACCACATCAAATGTTACTTAAATATTAATATTATTGTGGGTTACCTACAATGCGAAGAGATGGCACTGCACACACATGCATACATTTAAACTTTAAATCTAAAGAAAAGTTTACTAGAAAAAAATTCACGCGGACCAGGCAGCAGACGGGACTCGAGCCTGCACCCTTCCCTATCTGCAGCCATTATGTTACCGCAGCCCTGACGGCCGTGTCGAATTTTCTCTAGCCTTAGGCTGCAAAGCTGTGCCATCTCTTCGTTTCATTGTTTAAATTTTAAACAAATATTATATCAAAACCAGACTAGATAGATCTGGATAAATGAAGCGAAAGTATGTCTGTCTTTATGCTAAAATATGTTAGTCCATCTGTCTGTTTGGCCGTCTATTTGTCTGTCTGTCTGTCTATCTGTAGACGGTCTGTTTGGCTGTCAACCCTTGATGGAGAAACGGGGGGGGGGCAGCTTCCAATGTGATATTGGAAATCAACATGGACTATTGGGACTCGCGACCTCCTAACCACAACAAATGTCACATCAAAACCAGACATGGCTTGAAATAAATGAAGCGAACGTATGTCTGTCTTTATGGCAAAGTATGTTAGTCCATCTGTCTGTTTGGCCGTCTATTTGTCTGTCTGTCTGTCTATCTGTTAACGGTCTGTTTGGCTATCAACCCGCGGGGGAGAGACGGGGGCAGCTTCCAATCTGATGTTGAAAACCAACATGGACCATTGGGACTCGCGACCTCCTAACCACAACAAATGTCACATCAAAACCAGACATGGCTTGAAATAAATGAAGCGAACGTATGTCTGTCTTTATGGCAAAGTATGTTAGTCCATCTGTCTGTTTGGCCGTCTATTTGTCTGTCTGTCTGTCTATCTGTTAACGGTCTGTTTGGCTATCAACCCGCGGGGGAGAGACGGGGGCAGCTTCCAATCTGATGTTGAAAACCAACATGGACCATTGGGACTCGCGACCTCCTAACCACAAACAAATGTCACATCAAAACCAGACATGGCTTGAAATAAATGAAGCGAACGTATGTCTGTCTTTATGGCAAAGTATGTTAGTCCATCTGTCTGTTTGGCCGTCTATTTGTCTGTCTGTCTGTCTATCTGTTAACGGTCTGTTTGGCTATCAACCCGCGGGGGAGAGACGGGGGCAGCTTCCAATCTGATGTTGAAAACCAACATGGACCATTGGGACTCGTGACCTCCTAACCACAACAAATATTACTTCAATATTAATATTATTGTGGGCTGCCTACAATGCGAAGAGATGGCGCTGTCTTGCAGCTTAGGCTACAGAAAATTCGACCCGGCCGTCAGGGCTACGGTAGCATAATGGTCAGTGCATTCATTTGCCCGGATAGCGAAGGGTGCGGGCTCGAGTCCAGTCTGCTGCCTGGTCCGCGTAAATTTTTTTCTAGTAAACTTTTCTTTAGATTTAAACAAATATTATATCAAAACCAGGCATAGATCAGGATAAATGAAGCGAACGTATGTCTGTCTTTATGCCAAGGATGTAACAAAAAATTTATGGTTTTCGCAATTTTTCCTTCATCTGTACTATAAGACGTTACTTCGTACCAAATTTCAAGATTCTAAGTTCACGGGAAGTACCCTGTAGGTTTTGATTCCCGTGCAAGTTTCGCAAATTTGCGGCATAAACGGCTGTATCTTTTGATTGCTCTGGCTTAGAAGTTTGATTTTTTCACAGCTCCAAGGGACAGTAGACATGAGTATTAGATATGAATTTCAGTTTGATACCTCCACGCGTTACTGAGAAAAACGGTCTTGACTTGACAGACGGACGGACAACACGGTGATCCTATAAGGGTTCCGTATTTTCCTTTTGAGCTACGGAACCCTAAAAGAGGGTAAATAAACAAAAATTAAACACTAAATTCCCATTCCTCTTACAACCTGGGATCCTTTAAAAGAGGCGTGAAGAAGCAACATGCAGGCCGGCAGGGTGAGGATGGCTGATGTGGTAGGTAGAACTACTGTATCAGCTATCTTCGCGTCTGGACTTTACCTTCACTTAACATCAGGTGGGGTGGAGCCATTTGTCGGACCTATCTATAAAAAAATAAAAAAAATAAAAATCCAATAACAAAAGTATTAAGCACGTTACCTCTGATAAGTTTGACGGCGAACTCGTAGTGCGTATTGGGCTTTAGCTCATCGATCATACAGTTGAGGTCGGTCGCGTTGTATGTACGCGGCCTAGAGCCGACTGTAGCCCAACGGACCACGTAGCGACGCCCGTCTGTCGCAGTCTATGGAACAATACATTTATTTATTTATTTATTGCATGTCACATTACATTCAAGATGGTACATTAATATTATAGTACAGTCAATCTGTCGAAAAAAATATCGTTTCAGTGAAAAAAAAAACCTAAAGGATAAGTCTTGTTTTTTCTGTTGCCAAATGACGTCAGTAAGCCACCTTGGCGATGGGCATGTTCAACTCGTAGGCGTTTTTTGAAAAACTCAAAAAAACCGTCAAAAATTTTTTGAAACGCATTTTTCTTGTTTTGTATGCATTTAAGAAACTTTTTTTTCGACCATAATTGTAGAGGGCGTTGAGTGCTACAATTTATGTCATTGTTACAATCTCGTACAACAAAAAATGCGCATTGTAGGTGGCGCTAAAGTCTCAAAAAAGTGTTTTTTCACTTTTTCACCCTGAAAATATCATTTTAATGGAAAACTTTAAATGGCGAAGTTGTTTCGTACATAATTACCAACAACTTTTGTATAAACAATTTTTTTGTATTACTTACCGTTTTCAAGTTATAAATTGCGCAGGTATGAAAAATCCAATAGAGCGGTTTTGGGCAGTTCAAGTACACATTTGCAGTGCACATTTCAATGTACGTTTTTACTATTTTTTTTACACTATCTGTTTTTCAATCATGAAAAAAAAATAAAAAATAGTAAAACGTACATTGAAATGTGCACTGCAAATGTGTACTTGAACTGCCCAAAACCGCTCTATTGGATTTTTCATACCTGCGCAATTTATAACTTGAAAACGGTAAGTAATACAAAAAAATTGTTTATACAAAAGTTGTTGGTAATTATGTACGAAACAACTTCGCCATTTAAAGTTTTCCATTAAAATGATATTTTCAGGGTGAAAAAGTGAAAAAACACTTTTTTGAGACTTTAGCGCCACCTACAATGCGCATTTTTTGTTGTACGAAATTGCAACAATGACATAAATTGTAGCACTCAACGCCCTCTACAATTATGGTCGAAAAAAAGTTTCTTAAATGCATACAAAACAAGAAAAATGCGTTTCAAAAAATTTTTGACGGTTTTTTTGAGTTTTTCAAAAAACGCCTACGAGTTGAACATGCCCATCGCCAAGGTGGCTTACTGACGTCATTTGGCAACAGAAAAACCAAGACTTACCCTTTAGGTTTTTTTTTCACGACTCAACCTACAGATTGACTGTACTATTATGCAGGGTAAATATGTGACGCCCTGCATGGGCATAGCAAATATAAAGCCAGAGAGCTCGGTAAATTACATTATTATACTTTGTTCACATTTCATTTTTAGAAAACAAACAATCAAAAATTTTATAAAATAGTTTTTTTTCTTTTTAAAAAAAACAATGTCAATAAACAATAATAATAATAATTTAATTTTTACACTACAAACAATTAAATTTTATAAACTAGATTTAACAATGTCAATAAGCTATAATAATAATGAAAATGTCAGCTTTAAAAATTAATTACATTTGTCCTCAAAAAAAAAAACTTTCAAACTATAATTACATTTTTGGATTAAAATATGATTTTTATTGATTATTTAATTTGGCAGATATTTTTATGTTCTTTTTATAATTAGGTACATGATTATTAATTTTTATTGTCATAATAGCATTAGGACCATCCGAAACTAATCTTATTTTATAAGCTGCTTCTGTTAAATATACATCTGTACCACGGCGAGTGTTCTGTGGAGTTATTCTCTCTTATCCCACCTTCCCCTTTCCTTCAGAGGCCCACGCGCGCTGGCTTACGTTGTCACCGTCTAACTGTGGCCACAATTAAACGCGTACAAAGAAATTTGGTGACTCATTTCTTTGTCGCACTATCCGCAAATGGAATGCTCTGTCCGCTCACGTGTTCCCTCCCTCTTACAACCTGGGATCCTTTAAAAGAGGCGTGAAGAAGCAACTTGCAGGCCGGCAGGGTGAGGATAGGCAGATAATTTACTCAATGGTAAGGTGTCTAGTTGGAATTTTGATTCGCGAACGCATCTTGTAATATCGTTCGTCAACATTTATCGATACAAGTAAGTATCGATATTTTTCATTCGATACCGAGTAGGCATCGAATCTTTATGACCGATACAGTATCGAGTAAAATTATCGATACTTAGATGGTATCGTTTCACCCCTAGTACTGATCGGCGAGTAGTTAAGCACTTATATATATTGCATTTTACGGGCGAGCGTCGCCATTCCAGAAATCGGTTTTAAGTGCGCCAAAAAATTTTTCACATCAAAATACGGTATAGTATTATCTAATATATAATATTCTCGTGTCGCGGTGTTTGTGGTTAAACTCCTCCGAAACGGCTTTCCCGATTCTCATGAAATTTTGTGTGCATATTGGGTAGGTCTGAGAATCGGACAACATCTATTTTTCATCCCCCTAAATGTTAAGGGTAATCCCCCCCCCCATTTTTTTTTCAATTTTAGATATATGTTTTTTTTTAATTTTTTTATGATACATCATACAAAATTACATACAACCCAAAATTTTTACCCTTCTACCACCAACCCCTATTTTTTTATGGCGGTACGAAGTTCGCTGGGTCAGCTAGTCTAATATATAAAAATCTCGTGTCACGGTGTGCGTAATTGAACAACTCCGAAACGGCTCGACCGATTTTCGTGAAATTTAATATGCATATTCAGTAGGTCTGAGAATCGGACAACATCTATTTTTCATCGCCCTAAATGTTAAGGGTTTTAGGACAATTTTTTTGTTTTTTTTATTTTTTTATGATTCATCATACAAAAATGCAACCCTGAATTTTCACCCTTCTACCACCAACCTCTATTTTTTTATGGCGGTCCGAAGTTCCCTGGGACAGCTAGTAACCTATCGTTATCAGCCTCTTGATGTCCCCACTGCTGGGGCACAGGCCTTCCCTATCGATGGAATAGGGAGATTGGGCCATGACCCACCACGCGAGCCCAGTGCGGATTGGTGGGTGCTAACGACTACAGATGCAGCCGGGACCAACGGCTTAACGTGCCTTCCGAAGCACGGAGGAACTCGAGATAGAAATTTTTGGTCACCCATCCAATGACCGACCACTGCGAAAGTTGCTTTATTACAACGATCGCAGCCGAACGCGCTAACCACCTGCGCCATCGAGCTCCTCAACCTATATTATAGGTTAATAGTAACCTATATTATAGGTTCATTTACTGATAAGAATTCAACATGAACTCACCTGTCCCTTAGGTAAGGTCGGATCTGTCCAGTACACCACGGCTGTTGTCCCGCTCAGCATTATCACCTGGCGGGAAACGGAAATACATCATGTCAATGGCTCTAATTTTGTTGAGTAAAATACATAAAATCATGGACAGTGTTTTTAATAAGGATCAATCACATAATAGCAAATCTGATTATTACTAGGTAAATCGTAAGCGCAACGAATTTACGGAGCATTTTATTTTTTAAATTATTAATATCTACATGTGTAAGAGTCATTTTGTAATTAAAAGTAAGATATGTTTTATATATATATATATATATTTATGTTATAGGGGGCATACGAGCAGACGGCTCACACGATGGTAAGTGATCACCGTCGCCCATGGACACTTGCAACACCAGGAGTATCACAAATGCGATGCCGGCCTTTAAGGAAGGAGTACGCTCTTTTTTTGAAGGTTTTTGGGTCGTATCGGTCCGGAAACACTGCTGGCGACAACATATTCCACAGTTTTGTCGTACGTGGTAAAAAATTTCGACAAAAACGCACGGTTGTGGATAGCCACGCATCAAGATGATGGGGATGAAATTTTTGTCGTGATGTACGATGGCGAAATGCAGCAGCTGGAATTAGTCCGAACAATTCCTCAGAACACTCCCCGTGATAAATGCGATAGAAGATGCAGAGCGAAGCATTATACATTTAATGAGTTTTTTTTTTATTTGAACTTCTATATTATCGCATGATTATTAATTTATTTCATGTGTTTATTTTTTACCAACATTTGTACGTTTAAGTTATACTTTCTTACGTTTTTTTTAAGCATTTAATTGCTAGATGTTTAAAATGCAAAGAAAAGTTTACTAGAAAAAAATCCACGGAGACCAAGCAGCAGGCGGGATTCGAACCCGCACTTTTCGCTATCCGGGCGAATGCACTGACCATTATGCTACCGCGGCCCTGATGGCCGTGTCGAACTTTCTCTAGCCTTAGGCTGCAAGGCAGCGCCATCTCTTCGCATTGTAGGTAACCCACAATGTCCTATACCTTTACAAGTATTAAACATTTGAAAGAAGAAATAGCAATTATAGTTATGTTTTTATTTTTAAGCATTTAACTGCTAGATGTTTAAATCTAAAGAAAATCTTTTAAGCTAAGCATAGATTTTATCGCGGGCTTTGAGCGCGTGGACCGAATCAAGAAATTCCGTAACGAAAATCAAAGAGTATCAAAAAATCTGCTAGTAGGTGTTATAGTGCTTACAATTATTGACAATTTTTGCCTTGACGTCATATCCATAAGTCTGCAGCTTTGGCGTCCACAGGCCTTGGAAGTTTCCATACAAAATGTATGGGATTTTTTAAGTAGTTGAGGGTAAGTTTAGCATCTATGTGATTCGAAACAGAAAATAAACTACCAATAATAATGTTTGATACTTAATACAAAGACCTAAACTTAAAATAAAAAACGCACTATTCGATTTTTTTTGTATAGAGAATTATTTGATATATTTGTCTTCCATTGAGACAAGCGTTAGAAAAAATTACTAATAGGTTAAAATGTGATTATAGCGTGTGCGTAATATTGTCTGACGTCACAAACGTATATCTACCGCTTTGATTTTTCCAGCTCAAGGATGTTGAGTGAGCGACAAACGGGAGCGAAATGACTGTCGCAAACAGACCCACGTATATTTATAACACGTATGCAGGTCTCATTCTATGCTGTCAGTACACCGATTGTGTGTCAGTTAATAGCGTGCGCGCATTAACCTCTACCTTGCTCTCTGTCTTCTCTATGTTTGTGTCACATTGTGAAACAATTCTGAAAAGAACTTTTTGTAGGGCTTTGAAAAAAGCCGTTTGATGTATAATTGCGATGATCAATTTTCAATTCGTCACAAAGGTAAATCTACTGCTATGGATTCTTAAGCTCAAGGATGTGATTGAGCACCTCTTGAAGAACCCTGACTGAGTTAATGAAGTCAAATCGTATTTGTTTGACAAAAAGGAGAGAGATATTATGCAGTAAGATCATGCTCTGCCCTTGCTACTTCACTGGATTAGTCAAAATGGAAGTACCTGACGCTGAGGGCTTGTTTGACTGATATCGAGGGAACTGCGCAACTTCCTTCATACCACAAAATACTCAATGTCGAAATGAATTGCTATTCAGATAAATCTGATATCGAGGTTACAGAAATTGGTGCAAGAGTAAAGCTACAAGCGTTGCTGGATTTGACTGCACGAAGGATAATGCAAGTTGTTGGTCCTGTTGTTCTACCAACAAGTGAAATGAAGATGACCAGCAAATGGGGCAAGGTAGAGACCTTGCTCTCTGTCTTCTCTATCCGCTATAATTATAAACTGGCCTACAAACTATGTGTGTGTCACATTATGAAACAAAGACTATTTATGTTAGCTCTTTAGGGCTTTGAAAAAAGCCGTTTGATGTATAATGGCGATGATCAAGCCAAGGGATCTGCCATTACTGGAGCTTCTGAAGCAACTACTTCGATTTAAATAAAGCCATCTTCTTGGACTAAAAAATAAATAAAGCCATCTTCTTGGACTTCCCATATTTTGGCCTGATATGAGATATATAAGGACGTCCAGGTGGCAGCTTTATTGCGAAGAAATTGCATTTTTTTTTTACAATAGATGTAAGATAAACTTTTTAATGTAATATAAATTGTCATGTTTGTGTACGATAGCGCAATAAATAAATATTGTATTCTACCACATAAATGATAGTACTTGTATACTGATAATTAAAGCAAGTCGTGCAAAATTATTCCTTAACCATTCCAAAATATCAAAAATGCACTACGTTAATATTCCAGTTTTCACTTCTGCCGCTACTCCCGAAGTGCAACCCGGCGTTTTTTTTCATTATGTTTATACGTAACTTTGTCACTATTTTCTCTCCATAGTTGTATTAAGAATATTTTTGGTAACACCATGTTTTTCACTCACTCTGATTCCACTAGCCCTTTTACGAAATTGCGCCGCTGCCGTACTGATCGGCGCGTAGGTAGATTTGCACTAGTATATATTGCATGTTACGGGTGATGTTGAGAGTCTTATAAAATAATTATTAATGAACTAATTATAAAAATATATACATATTTCAGTAGTTCAATGATGGTAGATTAGTTTTATGAAAGTTTTTGATAGTAATTCTATTTAATTCAATATCAAATTACGAGGTAAACCTGCGTTATTTTTTGGGAAAACTCACGGAGGTTAGATGTTTTTTTTTGATAATTAATGAAATGGAAAATCAAAATTCTAATACATTATGTTACAACAAAACATATTTCTCATGTCGTTGTAATTAATTTGATCTAATTTATTGCACATTATTGAGAGATTGAGGCGTTCGAAGTTGTGCATATTATCGTTTTTTCCGTAAACTAGCTGCAGTAGAACGATCAGTACAAAAAAAGGAAAATAGTATTTACAAATATTCTACATTAACTTACAATAGGAAGAATAAATCTACTGTCACCTTCTATTGGAAATAGTCAAAATCTTTTCTAAGGGGGTAAACGAGGCGCTCAAAAATTACGATTTTTTGAAAAAAATGTGAAAGGGCTCTTAACACTAGTAACATTTCCACAGACTCACCTTCAACCCCACAGGCGGCAACAGCTCCGGCTGCATCTCAGCGACCTCGTCATCCTCATCGAACTCGTCAGCCTCGTCAGCATCGTCGAGCTCATCACCGTTGTCATGTAAGGGCGCGGCCCTAGTTCGTACTGTGGCGTATACGGCGGGCCCGAGACCAAGGGCGTTGGAACCGCGTAACGAGATCACGTATTCAGCGTTCGATTCTAATAAACAAATTACAATTACAAGTGCTTTATTTCCATATCTTATTATTACATTACTAACGAACCAGTGAACCAAATGTTCACCAAAACCTTTAAAAAAAATGTATTTAATTAATTGAGAACTTCGGAGATTTTGTGTGATTTCGTTTGAAATTCGTGATTTCTCGAAAACCGGAAGTGCTACGTTACTCAAATCCGGTTTGTAGTCTTATCAGACTATTCTTAACTTATAACTAAAATATTCTCTTTATCTATCTCTTACGGTTTGACCGCTGAAACAGCACCACAGACAGACGGACGGACTTGTCTAATAGATAAGAGATGTATAACTATAAATATGAATAGGAAATAGGAATAGGCACAGCGCAGCTGGTTTTAAGCCCCTCGTCAAATTTTTGTGGTTAGTTATATAAAGGAGATTGCTCAAATTGGCCTAAATGTACAAAAAATATTGACATATACGGTAATTCTTGGCGTAATTTATACTTTATTTTACAGTCATTAGATTTCAACGGACACCTTTTTTATAATATACTAGCAAACCCGGCGAACTACGTTTCACCACCAGATGGCTTCGTTTTATGTAACATTTCGTTTGGTGATTAAAAGAAGATTTTTTTTTTATTTTTCCTGAATTTTCTTTGCTATAAACCTCACGGAGCCCGAGACCTTTCCAACGAATGCAAAACCGTGGAAATCGGTTCGTGCGTTCTGGAGTTATAGCGTCAGGAAGGAAAACCTGACTTATTTTTATATAGTAGATTAATTTTAAAAGGGACGTTTAATTTTACCGGTTTGGAAAACATACGAATCATGTTTAATGGCTATGGGTGTAGTAACATTCAGCCAAAGACTGATCGAAGTTGTTTATATAACATAAAAACAAATCTATTTTGTAAAGACCGATAAAATAAAACATATTTTTTATTACACTGTGGTATTAATATCCACGACTATAATATCATTTTCACTACATGCAAATGTGCTAAGGCAAATATTATAGATGGTAGGCGAAATCATTAAGTCTATTGCCATACATTTTTCGCCAAACACCACCATAAACACATTATAAGATGTGATACACTAAAAATCTAAAATATGGTTATAATATAAACATAAAAAAATAATGAAGCTACTGAAAATATGGCTGTATAACCTAAATCTCTTTGGTTAACGAAACTTTAAAAATTCTCTCTAATCTGTGGCTCATTCACAATCATCACACAGTTTCTGTCACAGAGTACCTTATTATAACCGGAAATGCATAGATGTGATTTTAAAAGTTACTTTTGTGCATTAACTTCAAAAACAGACAACTATCTGTTAATCTACATGCTCTATATACCTGAATCTAATGCATAATTTCGGTACTTGGCTTAATTGCCTTAGTTTACTATATAACTTATTTGTTTTTTATTATTTTAATACCTATGTACCTATTTGCAAACATAACCTCAAAATCATTCAGTGTATATGGTTTATAGAAGTTCTCAGGGGTGTCCGTCAATAACATGCGTTTCTACAGTAATCTCTTATCTATTAGACAAGTCCGTCCGTCTGTCTGTCTGTGGTGCTGTTTCAGCGGCCAAACCGTAAGAGATAGATAATGAGAATATTTAAGTTATAAGTTAAGAATAGTCTGATAAGACTACAAACCGGATTTGAGTAACGTAGCACTTCCGGTTTTCGAGAAATCACGAATTTCAAACGAAACCACACAAAATCTCCGAAGTTCTCAATTAATTAAATACATTTTTTTTTAAATCATAGTTTATATATAATTTCGAATCTAGGGAGCAATTTTTCATGATTATTGGTCTTTAGGCCAAACATGTATGGAAGCTGAGCAATCTCCTTTCAATTCGATTATTAATGTTCATTTATTTAGTTATGATTCAAAGCTTAGTCAATTCAATGCTAAGTTATATTTAAAATGTCATTTTTTTACTAGTCACTCAATTATATAAATTGTAATTGAGTGACAGAAAATTGACGACCTCCGTGGCCGAGTGGTTTGTACGCCGGGTTTCATGGTGTCGCCGACTCGAGAGGTCCCGGGTTCGAATCCCGGTGGGGGCAGATATTTGTGTGATGAAAACGAGCATTTGTACTCCAGTCATGGATGTTTTAAATGTATTTCTATATATATATACTTATATACGGTATATGTATTCTATCCGTTATCCTAGTATCCTCATAACACAAGCCTTACAGTGCTTACTTTGGGGATAGGCGAATTGGTGTGTGTCGAAAATTTATTTATTTTATTATTATTTATAATTTTCACACACAATAAATGTTAAATATATTAATTACCTACAATGTCAATTGATTTAGTTGTCATTCAAAGCTTATTCAATTCAATGTTAGTAATATTTACAAACGATTTTTTTAAATGCACTTTACTGTTAGATGTTTAAATCTACAGAAAATATACTAGAAAAAAAATCACAGACAGGACTGCAAGGCAGCGCCATCTCTACACATTGTAGGTAACCCACACTGCCGGTTCTTCTCAGTACAAGGTCTCCCGCCGTAGATTTGCGAACCGATGGCGTAGCTTTTCGACATTCACAAGTGCTTGTAACAGCCTAGACTGAATAAATGATATTGAATTTTGAATTTTTTGAATTTTGCCTTGCAGCTGCTTGCTTGCAGTCATTAAAGCTTTTAAAAGTTAGCCTTTCTTTTTTTAAATCTTTGCACTTTTCTTTAAGGCCAAGATAGTGAAATCATTCAGCCTATGTTATTATTATTTTTTGATAATGTGTTAATTGTTATGGTTATTTTTTTGGTGTTCCACTTTTTTTTTGGTGTTTAAAAAAATGCGGCTGCAGCAGCCCTGGTGTTGCTGTAGTATTAAGCTGAGGAAGGGGCCTAGATGGCTTATTTTGTCTTGTTTTATTTATCTACTAGCGGACCCGACAGACGTTGTCCTGTCTAGTATGGTAGCGTCGTCTGTCGGATCCAATGTAAAAACATTCCAAAATCAACAACTACTAATAAATTAAAAATTAATTAAAAAAACATTGTCCAGCGGACAAAATTGTGAATCTAAACCATTCTCAGATCCCCTTGAACACACACAAAAAATTTCATCAAAATCGGTCCAGTCGTTTAAGAGAAGTTCAGTGATATACACACTCACAGAAGAATTATATATATAAAGATACTAATATTATATAGCTGCAGTTTGTTTGTTTGAAAGCGCTAATCTCTGGAACTACTGGTCCGATTTGAATGATTCTTTCAGTGTTGGGTAGTCCATTTATCGAGGAAGGCTATATTTTTTTTTAAATAAGGGGTTCCGTAATAAAATTGCTATTTTGTAACACAAGGTGTAAAATCGAAAACCTATTTTTGCGTGCGCTGCAAAAACTATTGACAATAGAACAAAATGATGTACTACGGGTTTGTAGATCCCATTAAAACCTACAAAAAAGTCCGCGAGAACATATATCTAGCTATCATGGTTTAATCACAATAACCGATTTTGTGTTCAAAATAATTATTAAATCGTCTGAAGAAAAAAAAACTACGTTAAATATGTATCGTAATTTATGTTATCAAGAGTATTTATGTAGAAGTAAAATACTTTTTGTTTCATCTCAATCGTATATTTCGTTTAAAAGTTATCACGTGTGTAAGATGTTAAGAGTTGTTACCTATTAATGAGTTTTGGGCCATAGAGATTTTTATCAACATAAAATCCTGTAATAATCTTTTTCGAAATATATTTGTTGATGATTGTAAGTATAAGATCTTTGAAGAGTATAATAAACGAGAAAAACGCGGGTGAAACCGCGGGGCACGGCTAGTGTTAGTATAACTATGTTGAAGGCTAATAAATTTATTTCTATTCTATTCTAAAAACAGTTAAACTACAATCTCACCCAATCCCCTGATGACGTGAGAATGTGTTCCGGGCGGCAGTTCCTTGGACACAGTATCCGGCACGCCCATGCCCCACCCCAGGACCCACCCCCCCTCTACTTCCTCCCCCTCTCCTGCAACGCCTTCTCCCTCCCCTTCGCCAGACCACCAGACAGAGATCCAGTCGCGGCCGGCGCGAGCTATGTGACGAATATGAATATAAAAATCAGTTGCAAGATTTCAACCTAAATTACATACATTAAAAAAGAAATAAAAGGTTTTTTAAAATAAATAAAAAAAAATTGTGTGTGTCAACTCCGACGCACGACTGGAGTTTACTCCTTAAGTTCGATAGTCCAACCAGACGCAAAAAGAGTTTATTTAACTTAAAAAAGATTGATACTGTATGAAAGGGTAAATTAACAAATTAATGAAAATAATATACATATATAAATATATATTGATTCATTTCATATACATTTATTATAACTAATCGACGAAATATTTTACATTAAACTTTTTACAATAGTCAATTTCAGATGTGCATAAAATTAAAGGTACGCTACGATACTGTGCTACGGTGTAGCACTACGGCTGCTACAGCGTAGACAGTAAAAACGTAACGAGATCATTCATCGATAGATTTCACTCCTCACATTTTTCTCATACCGGGCCACTTATATGTATATGCAAATCGATTCTTAAGGAGGAAACTCCAAAAATAAAAATAAAATATTGTCACAAACGCTCTCGAAACGGAACCGCGAAAGTGCTAGAGATCGAATTTGCCAGATCACCGCGGGTCGCGATAGAGGTCGAGTAATGCGGCTCATTCTAAAATGAGCCTTATGCAGTGCGACGTAAGGGTGAAAGTGCAACGACATCTGCACTTGTTTACAAGTTATGCGCGTTACCTGCGTAGGTATAAGTAGGTACTTCGTACTCGCGGGTGCTAGCTAATTCTCAATTTTACAGGTACTTTCTAGAATGCGTCGATCGGCGTATATAAGCGCGATTGGCGCCGCGCAGAGACATTTGAGTTTCAACAGCGATTTCGGAGCGAATCCAAAGGCGATCAAAATGCAACAAAAGTGTTCAAGTGAGATAGTTTAGAGACTTGTATAGTGAAATACAGTGTTTAGTGAGTGTTTTGTAATTAACATTGTGTGTTAATTGTGTGAACTGAGTGGTGAATAAAGAACTGTCAAGCGTAAACTGGCATATAATTTCGAACCCCATCCCGACACGTAACAATATGCTTTAATTTAAAGACATGGTCTCATATATGTTAGTAACAATTTTGTTAACCTACATTAGTATTTAATTACAATTTCAGTCATCATTAAAATAAATAAATATTTAAAATATGTGTTTAAGTGATGTATATTCAATTAGTAATTTTGAAACAGTAAATTAATAATAATTAATATTCAATCAAACTTCAATAAAAAAGCTTATAAAAAGAATTATTTTTTGCATTTTTTAGAGTATATGGACAAGAAAACTTGATGAAGACGGACCGAAGATCCTTGAAATGTGATTTTAATTAACAAAAAAAAAGCATGTTTGGGTCGGCGCTGTTTGCGTGTGTGTGTTTGTGTGTCAGTATACAGTTATAGGCGGTGGTTGTTGGGCACAGAGTCCGTATGTCTGAGTCTTCGTCGCTGTGTGTGTGTGTGTGTGTGTCAGTATATTGTGTGTGTGTGTCAGTATATATACTCACTAGTTACAGACTGTGGTTGTAGCGGTTGTGTGTGTGTCAGTATATTGTGTGTGTGTCAGTATATATACTCACTGGTTCCAGGCGGTGTTTTATGGGGGCACAGAGTCCCTATGTCTGGGTTGTCGCTGTGTGTGTGTCAGTATATTGTGTGTGTGTCAGTATATATACTCACTGGTTCCAGGTGGAGTTTTATGGGGGCACAGAGTCCCTATGTCTGGGTCGTCGCTGTGTGTGTGTCAGTATATTGTGTGTGTGTGTGTGTCAGTATATTGTGTGTGTGTCAGTATATATACTCACTGGTTAAAGGCGGTGGTTGTGGGGGCACAGAGTCCCTATGTCTGGGTCGTCGCTGTGTGTGTGTCAGTATATTGTGTGTGTGTGTGTCAGTATATTGTGTGTGTGTCAGTATATATACTCACTGGTTCCAGGTGGAGTTTTATGGGGGCACAGAGTCCCTATGTCTGGGTCGTCGCTGTGTGTGTGTCAGTATATTGTGTGTGTGTGTGTGTGTCAGTATATTGTGTGTGTGTCAGTATATATACTCACTGGTTAAAGGCGGTGGTTGTGGGGGCACAGAGTCCCTATGTCTGGGTCGTCGCTGTGTGTGTGTCAGTATATTGTGTGTGTGTGTGTCAGTATATTGTGTGTGTGTCAGTATATATACTCACTGGTTCCAGGTGGAGTTTTATGGGGGCACAGAGTCCCTATGTCTGGGTCGTCGCTGTGTGTGTGTCAGTATATTGTGTGTGTGTGTGTGTCAGTATATTGTGTGTGTGTCAGTATATATACTCACTGGTTAAAGGCGGTGGTTGTGGGGGCACAGAGTCCCTATGTCTGGGTCGTCGCTGTGTGTGTGTCAGTATATTGTGTGTGTGTGTGTGTCAGTATATTGTGTGTGTGTCAGTATATATACTCACTGGTTAAAGGCGGTGGTTGTGGGGGCACAGAGTCCCTATGTCTGGGTCGTCGCTGTGTGTGTGTCAGTATATTGTGTGTGTGTGTGTGTCAGTATATTGTGTGTGTGTCAGTATATATACTCACTGGTTAAAGGCGGTGGTTGTGGGGGCACAGAGTCCCTATGTCTGGGTCGTCGCTGTGTGTGTGTCAGTATATTGTGTGTGTGTGTGTGTGTCAGTATATATACTCACTGGTTAAAGGCGGTGGTTGTGGGGGCACAGAGTCCCTATGTCTGGGTCGTCGCTGTGTGTGTGTCAGTATATTGTGTGTGTGTGTGTGTCAGTATATATACTCACTGGTTAAAGGCGGTGGTTGTGGGGGCACAGAGTCCCTATGTCTGGGTCGTCGCTGTGTGTGTGTCAGTATATTGTGTGTGTGTGTGTGTCAGTATATTGTGTGTGTGTCAGTATATATACTCACTGGTTAAAGGCGGTGGTTGTGGGGGCACAGAGTCCCTATGTCTGGGTCGTCGCTGTGTGTGTGTCAGTATATTGTGTGTGTGTGTGTGTCAGTATATTGTGTGTGTGTCAGTATATATACTCACTGGTTAAAGGCGGTGGTTGTGGGGGCACAGAGTCCCTATGTCTGGGTCGTCGTGGGGTGCTGACCGACACCCATTCGCTGAAGGGGCCTGAGCCGTTAGCGTTTAGAGCGCAAACGCGGATCTATAAGAAAATATAGTCAGAGAAAAATAATGATCACCTCTAAGCTGAAAGTAGAACTTATTTTATCAACTTTATTAAAAATAAACATACATATAACAGCTGATTTACAATATAAGTATACCTGTCGATTAAATCAAAACGAAATCCGAAATATTGGCTCTGTTAAATTGTCAAATCGTTATTGTCACATAATTAAAGTTATTATTTTATTTCATTGAGATTCAATTATGAAAAATCCTCAAATCAACTAATAATAAAATTAAGGTACAAAAACCTTTTTAAAAACAAGCTTTTATTCAAATGCGCTAAAAAGAAAAAAAGAAAATTTAGTTAAAGTTTGTTTCTAAATAGATTTTCAAATTTTAGAAGTCCGCCATATTGGATTGAGAGTGACGTCACATTTTTTTCGAGTTACTCTCAGCAAGCCCTTTAATTTGATACCCATATTGTAGGAATGCATTAAAAATGATTGGTCCACCATATTGGATTTAGAATGACGTCACACTGTTAAGCATGCATTGTCATCCGAACTGAACGAGCATACCAAATTTCAGCTTAATCGGTTGAGGGCAAGTGCTTTAAAATTGAGTTGTAAGATTTGACCGTAACAAACATACATAGCAAGTTAAATAAAAGCTTGTAAAAATATATAAGAATATTGTATCTACATGAGAAACATGACACGATTTTGTATTGACACTAACAATATTTTTTATTGTACAATATACTCTTCAAAAACATGTTGCACGGTTTTGAATTTTCATATGATTTTCACTATTGTAATTAATTTATACTATACTATCATATAGAAAACTTAAATATTTTTTTATTTCTACCTGAGCAATGTTTAATATGGATAAATTATAATTTATAGCACAGTGTGACCTAAACCCGCACTTTACGCACGCTTTTCCGTGACCTAAGTTGCCTATTTCTGCACGGTGTGTAAATGAATTGACCAACTTCACTCATGTAGAATTAGTACATTACGATACGCGTAACTTAACTTTACTATGCCAATCAAGGAATAAACGTTCATGGATACATTGAAATTCTATTTTGTTGTAATGATCTTTGATTTTTTCCTTTTGAAATATACTTTCAAAATGGTAATCTGAACCGGAATTCTTTCTTTTCAGAGTTTGACTTGCAGTCTGTATTGCAATTCTTTGTGATTGCAATACATGAATTTTACTTTCAAAACACTAATCGCATCCCTCGGTCGGAACCCCCCCCCCCCCCCAAAAGAGCAAAAAGATTTATATACTAATCTACTTTGACAGAAATAAAATAAACATCAATTAATAAAACATAGTTTCTGCAAGTGATGTGCGTTGCTTAGGCATTTATTCATTCATTTTCATTTATTTCGACCAAACAAGGATCATATTATGTAATTGAATTTTTAATGTAATGATAACATTAAAAATTCAATTACATAAATATTAACCAAGAACACACTCATAATAATAATAATAATTTATGATGTGTTTATATTATTATGGAAAAAGGGAGACACATGTCCTAAACGGGAAGAAAATCGATGATGTTGGAAGATCTAAAAGAGTTGTATTATACTTCTTATTTGAAAGAAAGAAAGAAAGAAAGAAAAATAAATTTATTTGAGACAACACACACACAACAAACAGAACAAAACGCACATATTTATTTTTTGTCTCAAATCGGTCCCAACTCAGCATGTGTTGATGTTGCCATCAGCGCTGGTCTTCCGTTGGAACCGGTTTAGTGACGACACGAAACAATAACATTAATAAGTAATAAAATAAACATAACAAAATAAAAACAAAAACAACAACAATGTGAGTTCAGGGGGGCGCCACTATCGCCATGTCGGAGCGCAGGTTCCGAACGCGGCCCCGACTGACATTGCCATTCAGAGACAATCTTACTAATCTGTGTACCTATTGTACTTCTGATTATTTTTTCTTTTTTCTTTAAAAAATGTAATCTACTATTTAGACAATTTACAAAAAAAAATATTTTTTTAGTACAAGACGAACGGAAAGACAATTTACATACAAGAAATATTTGAATAAAGGCAATTTGACTTGGACTATATACCTGATAAGTAGTCCCCGGCGCCGCCGTCAACACAGCTCTAGTAGTCGCGGCGGGTGTTGTAGTCGAAGCTGGGAGTTGATGGCGCCTATTACTGGGCCCGCGGTACCGCACCTTGTAGCCCGTCAGCGGGCCATTCCGGGACCACGGGGAGGGGGGCTCCCAACGAACGACTATAGACTGGGGAGCGAACACCATTTTTTTATTTTGTTGCACTAAAAATACAGGTATGCAAATAACTTGTTTTGCCAAACTGAAGTCAGTTTGTTAGCAAATTTAGCAAATAATACGCTCTTCACACTTCTTACAAGCTTTTATTTAACTTGCTATGTATGTTTGTTACGGTCAAATCTTACAACTCAATTTTAAAGCACTTGCCCTCAACCGATTAAGCTGAAATTTGGTATGCTCGTTCAGTTCGGATGACAATGCATGCTTAACAGTGTGACGTCATTCTAAATCCAATATGGCGGCATACCCAAAATGGCGGACCAATCATTTTTAATGCATTCCTACAATATGGGTATCAAATTAAAGGGCTTGCTGAGAGTAACTCGAAAAAAATGTGACGTCACTCTCAATCCAATATGGCGGACTTCTAAAATTTGAAAATCTATTTAGAAACAAACTTTAACTAAATTTTCTTTTTTTCTTTTTAGCGCATTTGAATAAAAGCTTGTTTTTAAAAAGGTTTTTGTACCTTAATTTTATTTTTCTATATATAATTATATTTGTAATACCATGAACAAATATTAGGAAATACAGGGTCATTATGGTTATGAAGAAATTATTTTTCATCATCCTGTATTTCCATACATTAGTATAGAGATTATTTGCCAGGGGTAAGGACCTGGTGATCCGTAGCACAGGTTAACGCCTATTTCGGACACCAGCTTCTTACAACGTCTAATAATATTATTTAAGTGTTGCTTAACCTGTATTTTATGTGCCTTAATAGTTGTAAGAAGAAATAAAAAATTTATTATTATTATATCTAGTGGCCCGCCCTCGCTTCGCTTCGGTGTAGAGCTGTAGTGTAGGTAGAGTATAGTTTTTATTCTCAGGCTTGTATTCTACACAATGAACTTCTTTACATCTTTTTCTCACCTTTTAAACCTTCCCTAGACCTCCACGAACATTTCAATACCATGATAAGATAAATCCGTTCAGCCGTTCTCGAGTTTTACCGAGACTAACGAACAGCAATTGATTTATATATATATACTAGCTGACCCAGCGAACTTCGTACCGCCCTAAAAAAATAGGGGTTGTCCAGCGGACAAAATTGTGAATCTAAACCATTCTCAGATCCCCTTGAACACACACAAAAAATTTCATCAAAATCGGTCCAGTCGTTTAAGAGAAGTTCAGTGACATACACACTCACAGAAGAATTATATATATAAAGATATATATATACTAGCTGACCCAGCGAACTTCGTACCGCCCTAAAAAAATAGGGGTTGTCCAGCGGACAAAATTGTGAATCTAAACCATTCTCAGATCCCCTTGAACACACACACAAAATTTCATCAAAATCGGTCCAGTCGTTTAAGAGAAGTTCAGTGACATACACACTCACAGAAGAATTATATATATAAAGATAAAATACAATTCATTCTAATCACACCAGGTCTAGTAAGTACTAAATACAATACAAAAACAAAAAACACAAATTAACAAAATTTTAAGTACTTTTTAATCATGAGCAATTCTACTTGGATTAATTTTTTTGCCCTTGTCAGCGGGCCATTCCAGCCCCAAGGGGAGGGGGTCTTCAACCAACGACTTTGTACTGGGGACCGTATGGGTGGGTCAGTTGATTGTTAAGTAATCAGGGTATTATATATTTTATTTTAAGCATTATTCTACCTGAAACCTTGACCAAATTGAATCGGATCTAGTAAAAAAATATTTATCATATGGTTGCTTTTTAACAGCTGATAAGTCTCAGCCAGACTTAAACCTTATTACCACAAAAAAGTTGAACGCATTCAACGCGAGTTTAAGAAAAAATGTAATTAATACAAAATAAGCCGAAACATAGTTTAAAACTGTGGCTAACTTCTTGAAATTTAACAGGGAATATACAATTTAATCTAATGCTTAATCTATACTTATAATAAATCTGTAAAGATGTCAATTCTGTACATGAAATATATTTTTAAAATAACTATCAGGGGGTGATTAGTGATCGATACTGATGCCAAAAATGCAATCAGTAAAATTTTTGTCTGTCTGTCTGCCTGTGTGTATGTTCCTTATAGAAACAAAAACTACTCAACGGATTTTAACGAAACTTGGTACAATTATTCTTCATACTCCTGGGCAGGTTATAGTATACTTTTCATCACGCTACAATCAATAGCAGCAGAGTAGTGAAGGGAAATGTTGGGAAAACGGGAGGTTACTCCATTTTTTAAGCTTCCGTCGCGGGTGCAGCCTTAATGGTTAAAGTTACATAGAAATCATGTATGACGGAAATATTCTACATAAAATTGTCTAAAAAATATCCCGCAACAGCATATGTCTATCTTTTATGGTTGACTCACAATAACACGTGTAATTATATAAATAAAGTCATTCTTTATAGCACAAGCCCGAGAACAAAAGCTATAGTTTTCACTACAGCTCTACACCGAAGCGAAGCGAGGGCGGGCCACTAGTTAATAATAATATTCGTAGTAGTCGTTCAGAAGTTACAGATTTTAGAATATATGAAATAAAAAAAGTAATGGCTTAAATACGATCAGCTGCAAACACCTCCGTGACCAAGTGGTTCGACGACCTCAGTGGTCGAGTGGTTTGTACGCCGGGTTCCATGGTGTCGCCGACTCGAGAGGTCCCGGGTTCAAATTCCGGTGGGGGCAGATGTTTGTTTGATGAACACGAGTATTTGTACTCCAGTCATGGATGTTTTATATGTATTTCTATAAAAATATATTTATACATGTACAGTATATGTATTCTATCGGTTACCCTAGTATCCCATAACACAAGCCTTATAGTGCTTACTTTGGGGCTAGGCTAAAAAAAATTACAATTAAGGAAGTCGCATGTGTATTGTGCATACTCAAAGTTTACAAGGTAATGGATAAAACAGGATATACCTATCTATAAAAACACCTTATAACTATCAAATAAAGGCATAATTATAATATTATACTTACATTAGCCCCCGTAGCTACAGCAGTGACATTGACAGGTGGCGCTGAGGGTGCATCCCCGGGCGTCTTGAATCTGATTGGCTCGCTCCCCTCCACCGCTCCCTCCGCCCTCCCCTCTCCCTCTGACCTCCCCTCTCCCTCTCCCCCAACTATCACCCGTAGACTGTAAGTCCCGGCGGGGCGGAGTCCAGTCAAAGTAGCGTTGTAAGATTCCTGATTCGTGTCTATATCTACAAGTTGGGTCTGTTCAACGCCAGTGTCGATCTGAAATAGTAATTTTCTACGCTAAAAAAAGGAATTTACGGAGGTTCTTGTATGTTTACACATTGTTCGAAAGTTCAAAATTACGCACCATACAACAGAGCGTACGGTAAAACGCTTTACCACACGCTTCCATATGGCGCCGTGGGTATCCTTTTTGTTTTTTTTTTTATATTTGACGACCTCCGTGGTCGACTGGTTTGTACGCCGGGTTTCATGGTGTCGCCGACTCGAGAGGTTCCGGGTTCGAATCCCGGTGGGGGCAGATGTTTGTGTGATGAATTCGAGCATTTAAACTCCAGTCATGGATGTTTAATATGTATTTCTATATAACTATACTTATACTAGCTGACCCAGCGAACTTCGTACCGCCCTAAAAAAATAGGGGTTGTCCAGCGGACAAAATTGTGAATCTAAACCATTCTCAGATCCCCTTGAACACACACAAAAAATTTCATCAAAATCGGTCCAGTCGTTTAAGAGAAGTTCAGTGACATACACACTCACAGAAGAATTATATATATAAAGATATGTAGCAGTATGTGTATTCTATCCGTTACCTTAGCATCCCATAACACAAGCCTTACAGTGCTTACTTTGGGGCTAGGCTAATTGGTGTGAGTGTTGAAAATATTTATTTATATTTCTATCGAACCTCCTTGAAAGCGCTTTTAATTTATACCTTTGTCTCACTTTAATACTAAAAAGAAACTGCGCCATTGGAAATAGGCGCCATTTACTTATTACAAAAAGTTTGCTTCATTATAAAAAAACACGCCTTTTTACCAACTTACCGCACTAATATCATAAATAACTATTATTACAAACAAGTAGACAAGTTTGTAAATAACATTTCCGCACGAATGTCATACAACATTTTCAACATATTTGCAAGATAACAGTACCTATACGCAGTTTATGTAATGACGCAGTTTATGTGGCAGGTAGAACTGCTGTATCAGCTATCTTCGCGTCTGGACTTCACCCTCACTTAACATCAGGTGGGGTGGAGTCATTTGTCGGACCTATCTACAAAAAAGAAAAAATGATGTGGTGTCGTGGGACACCAGGTAGGAACGAAGTTCCTTCGGCTAACGTAGAATCGACACAAATTGCAAACTCGCTTGTGTATGCGACTGTCGCGCCTGCGCACGTCTCCTTTAACGGTTTTATTCCACGCACTTTTTTCCACGGATTTTTTCTTACGGTTTTACTATCACATTTTTTTCAGTTCGGTCGCGCAGCAAAATCCCTATCCCCTCCAAGCCTGCCGTAAGGAACTTCGTTCCAAAAAAAATGACCCAAACTTTTTATAAAAAGAAAATGGCGCGATTTTCCAAACGGCACCAAGTGCTAGTGATGCAGATTTGTAGTTTTTCGTTTTAGTATTAAAGCGAGACAAAGGTATGGATTTAAAGCGCTCTAAGCAGGTTTGACCGAAATTAAAAAATGAACCGTAAAGGATACGCATTGCGCCATGTGCGGTAAAACGTTTTACCGCACAGTCTGTTGTATGTCCCGTTATACGCTACATATTATAATTAGGATGTACATCTCATTAGTGTTTGGGTACTGAAAGAAATTTAAATTCAATAAATCATTTATTCAGTTTTGGCTGTTAAGGGCTCTTGTGAATGTCGAAAATCTTTTCGCAAAATTTAAAAACAAAATTCAATATCGTTTATTCAGTCTAGGCTGTTACAAGCACTTGTGAATGTCGAAAAGCTACGCTCGCAAATCTACGGCGGGAGACCTTGCACTGAGAAGAACCGGTAAGAAACTCAGCAAGGACTGTTTTTTTCCCCCTGTTTTATTTCATACAGTGTCATTCAATTGAAAATTGATATCAAACTTGCAAACATGTGTTGAGGTCAACTTCCATCACATAATGTCAAATATGTAACAATAAACATTCAATGAATTTACTAACAATAAGTGTAAATAAAAGTACCCAAAATAGCACGAAACAATCTTCAAAACAAATAGTGGTGATGACGGGGTACAGTAAACGAAATTCTATTTAGTCCGTCAGTTAGGTGATCAAAAAATAATGGACACATATTTTTTCTTTGGGCAATCAACCAAAAAAATACAAAGTTATAGCGCGTCAATGTTTGGGAGTAGGGGCTCGTGACGTCACTTTTGAGTGAATTTTCACTTATAAGTGTACTCAAACGTGACGTCATGCGACTTTTCAAATCAATATATCTCTGCAAAGTTTATATTATGTGAAAAAAGAAAAAATACGTGTCCAATGCTTTTTGATAATCTACCTGATAAACGAAGAAAAAAAAATTAGTCGTCATCCCTATTGAAGAAGTATATCGTAAGTTTACGCAAATCTATGTCTTATCTTTCTAATGATACTAGCTGACCCAGCGAACTTCGTACCGCCCTAAAAAAATAGGGGTTGTCCAGCGGACAAAATTGTGAATCTAAACCATTCTCAGATCCCCTTGAACACACACAAAAAATTTCATCAAAATCAATTATATATATAAAGATTCTTCTGTGAGTGTGTATGTCACTGAACTTCTTTTAAACGACTGGACCGATTTTGATGAAATTTTTTGTGTGTGTTCAAGGGGATCTGAGAACGGTTTAGATTAACAATTTTGTCCGCTGGACAATGTTTTTTTAATTAATTTTTAATTTATTAGTAGTTGTTGATTTTGGAATGTTTTACATTGGATCCGACAGACGGCGCTACCATCGCAGTGTCAAATTTTCAAATTAAAGACGTGTAGACAGGACAACGTCTGTCGGGTCCGCTAGTTATATATATAAAGATAACACTGAGTATACGAGAAGATGTTACTAGACATGACTTGATTCCTTACTCGTCTTGCATGAAAATTTCTTGTTAAAAAATTTTTTTTTTGTTTGTTAATGTAACTTAAATTTTCGTTTTTCATTTACAATCATATTTTCTAATCAATGTGGTATCTTGTAAATTTACTATATTGTGTCGCTGGAAGAGAGTGGGTACTTAAGTCACAGGGTTTTCCTATTTTAAGTACTCACAGATCCTTAGTTTTAAAATATCCTGAGCCTGTTATTTGTAAAACCATATTGTATAAAAAATTGGGGGAATAAATTATTATTATTATTATATTATCTCTTATCTATTAGACAAGTCCGTCCGTGGTGTTTCAGCGGCCAAACCGTAAGAGATAGATATAGAGAATGTTTAAGTTATAAGTTAAGAATAGTCTGATAAGACTACAAACCGGATGTGAGTAACGTAGCACTTCCGGTTTTCGAGAAATCACGTGATTTCTATTTCAAACGAAACCACACAAAATCTCCGAAGTTTTTTTTTTTTTTTTGGTGAACATTTGGTTCACTGGTTTGCTAGTATTATTATATTATACTCACGTCGGTATACATCAGCCTGTACTGCGTAGGGCGGGGCACAGGTAGGGCGGGCGGCGCCCAGGACACTCTCGCCGCCCGGGGAGATATACTGGCCGCCCAAACGTTCCGCGCCGCGCCCGACGTACTCTGATCACCGGGGGTGGACACTTCTATATCCTGGAAATATTTCAATACATCCATCAATCAATCTTTCACCATCATCCATCATCATCAGCCTATTAATGTCCCCACTGCTGGGGCACAGGCCTTCCCTATGGATGTAATAGGGAGATTGGGCCATGACCCACCACGCGGACCCAGTGCGGAAAGAACGATAATAGCGACTTTATTAAAAAAAAATGCAAATTATTAGCATTGCTGTTCTTGCTCGATTACTAAGTAAGTTGACAGTACTTTAGAATCAATTTTTATTCATATTCATCATCATCATCAGCCTATTAATGTCCCCACTGCTGGGGCACAGGCCTTCCCTATGGATGGAATAGGGAGATTGGGCCATGACCCACCACGCGAGCCCAGTGCGGATTTGTGGGTGGTAACGACTGCAGATGCAGCCGAGACCAACGGCTTAACGTGCCTTGCGAAGCACGGAGGAGCTCGAGATAGTAAATTTTTGGTCACCCATCCAATGACCGACCACTGCGAAAGTTGCTTAACTTCAACGATCGCAGCCGAACGCGCTAACCAATTGCTCCTCAATCAGTCCATCAATCAATCCATCAATTTATTTATCTATTTAAACTTTATTGCAAAATTACGAAACAAATGAAGGACATAATGCCATAAGGCATTCTCTACCAGTCGACCAGTAAGAGCGTGAGAAAAAATCTAATATTACGAGCGCGCAATAAAGACAAATTTAAGATAAACCTATGATACAAATACTCTTAACAGAATACATACATATTATACACATATATAGGTTTACATACATATACACACATAGATATTATCTTAATATATATAAATCTCGTGTCACAATGTTTGTCCTCAATGGACTCCTAAACCACTGAACCGATTATAATAAAATTCGCACACCATGTGCAGTTCGATCCAACTTGAGAGATAGGATAGTTTAAATCTCAAATTATAGTCGCAATTTTAATTTATTGCAAATTATTACTTTTGGGCGGTACGAAGTTCGCCGAGTCAGCTAGTTCACATATATATATACATACATATACACACATACATACACACATGCATATATACAATATACAATACATACATAAGTACACGATTATTTCAGTCAAAAATGAGATCGCTATTTAATGCTATTGAGATCAATCAATCGATCAATAAATACTTTATTGCGTTCTACAATGTTTTCTTAGATCTTAGTAGGTACATTTCTTTGATCATTGTAACCCTGAACAGGGCACAGCAAATAGAGACGCATTTCTAAGTCTGTTCTTTATTTTATAGTACCTAATAGGTTATCAAAATAGAATATAGGAAATAATTATTTATTAAAATTTCTAAAAATCTTTTAAAACAAATCTGTTGAATTAGAGGAGAACTAAATTAACTTTTTTTAAAAATATATTTTTAAATATTTATGTAATTTGAGTTGGTGGTAATTCAATACAACGCTTTTTGTTCTGTCGTTACTCAAGGTGTATACATTCACAAATTGTAATTTAGTTAATACGTATACAATTTATCAGTTGAAATACGATCATCTGTTTACCTAACGAATAAAAATATATTTAATATCAACATTATCAAATCATTTTAGCTCACTATTGGTATCGATTCTGAAAGGATTCCCTGAACTTAAAACTAAATTTAATATCTGTCTGTCCTTTTCATTCTGTATAGAGAATGACAAGGATACACTGCTGTCAAATTTCAGTTCAGGTTTAGAGAATCATGCCAGAATCGACACCATTATATTATTACTAGCTGACCCAGCGAACTTACCGCCATAAAAATAGGGGCAGGTGGTAGAAGAGAAAATTTAGGGTTGTATGTATTTTTTAAAACCTCATTATAAAAAATAAATTATGTCCAAAAAAAATTTAGGGGTGTGTAATGCAGTGTTCTATCAATTTCCTGGGATAACATTCCTCCTAACCCATATGAGAACATTACGTTACAATACCCAATAGTTTGAATTTTGGCGCGAAGGCGCATTGTAGGTTTCAGAACACTACGTTACAGGTGGACAACCATTATCACTTAAGGATACGAAAAATAGATAGTAGCCGATTCTCAGACCCACGGAATATGCATATAAAATTTCATAAAAATCGGTCAGGCCGTTTCGGAGGAGTACGGTAACTAACATTGTGGCACGAGAATTTTATATATAAGACTTGTGGCCCGCCCTCGCTTCGCTTCGGGGTAGAATTGATCAAAATCCTTTCTTAGCGGATGCCTATGTCATAACATCTACCTGCATGCCAAATTTCAGCCCGATCCGTCCAGTGGTTTGGGCTGTGCGTTGATAGATCACTATGTCAGTCAGTCACCTTTGAGTTTTATATATATAGACTAGCTGACCCAGCGAACTTCGTACCGCCATAAAAAAAAATAATTAAAAAAACTTTGTCCAGCGGACAAAATTGTGAATCTAAACCATTCTCAGATCCCCTTGAACACACACAAAAAATTTCATCAAAATCGGTCCAGTCGTTTAAGAGAAGTTCAGTGACATACACACTCACAGAAGAATTATATATATAAAGATATTAGCCGTTATCGCGGCTAACTAGAGGGGCGGGGAAAATATTCTATTGTATTGCAGTGTGTCGTATACTCACCGCAGTAGGCATAGACCGCGAGATGTCGCTGTGAGCAGTAACACGGAACAGGTACGTAGTGTTAGGCTGTAGGGATGCTACGTTCATCTCGCGTCGCCCGCCAGATCCCAGCGAGATCTGTTCCCTGGAAAATCAACGAAATTTATCGTTAGATCATTTTTCATCATCATTATCAGCCTATTAATGTCCCTACTGCTGGAGCATAGGTCTTCCCTATGGATGTAATAGGGATATTGGGCCATGACCCACCACGCAAACACAGTGAGGATTGGCGGGTGCTAACGACTGCAGATGCAGCCGGGACTAACGGCTCAACGTGCCTTCCGAAGCACGGAGGAACTCGAGGTAGAAGATTTTTGGTCACCCTTCCAATGACCGACCACTGCGAAAGTTGCTTTACTTCAACGATCGCAGCCGAACGCGCTATCGAGCTCCTCTTTCGTTGAATATCTTTAGTTGCATTTTTATCTTTTGGCGCGACTAGCGGCCGCCCGCGACTTCGTCCGCGTTAACTTTTACTATTTTTTCTAAATAAATGTTTTTTTGTAAAATAAAAGTAGCCTAAGTTACTCCTTATTATATCAGCTATCTGACAATAAAAGTTCCGTCAAAATCGGTCCAGCCATTTCAGTGATTAGCCGGAACAAACAAACTGACAAAAATTGTAAAAAAATGTTATTTCGGTGTATGTACCGTATATATGCATGTATTGTAGTAAAAAGCGGTTATTTCAATATTACAAACAGACACTCCAATTTTATTTATATGTATAGACTAGCTGACCCAGCGAACTTCGTACCGCCCTAAAAAAAATAGGGGTTGTCCAGCGGACAAAATTGTGAATCTAAACCATTCTGAGATCCCCTTGAACACACACAAAAAATTTCATCAAAATTGGTCCAGTCGTTTAAGAGAAGTTCAGTGACATACACACTCACAGAAGAATTATATATATAAAGACTAGCTGACCCAGCGAACTTCTTACCGCCCTAAAAAAATAGGGGTTGTCCAGCGGACAAAATTGTGAATCTAAACCATTCTCAGATCCCCTTGAACACACACAAAAAATTTCATCAAAATCGGTCCAGTCGTTTAAGAGAAGTTCAGTGACATACACACTCACAGAAGAATTATATATATATAAAGATAGATAACACTCGGTCATTAGCCCGAATACGAGTGCCAATGGAATTCGGGTAAACGGCTAAGTGTAAATGAACAGAGTCAAGTACGCCCGTATTAGGGTAGATTTCCTTTTGTTTACCTGACACTATCTTCCAGCCCATATTCCAGTGTAAATATTGTTTCGGCTGCCCGAATTCGAGTAATGCCTTACGCGCACCCGAATACCAGCTAACGACCAAATATAATTACGGCATTAGCATGAGGAGCTAGATGGCGCAAGTGGTTAGCGCGTTCGACTGCGATCGTTGAAGTTAAGCAACTTTGTCATTGGTTGGGGGACCAAAAATTTACTATCTCACGTTAAACCATTGGTCCCGGCTGCATTTGCGGTTGCTAGCACCCACCAATCCGCACTGGGATCGCGTCAGTTTTACCACTCACAATTGTCATTGATTGTGTTTAAGATGTAGCCAGGGAAAGAGTGATAGCTTGTTATCCCACCACCTTAGGCAAATTCCTAAAAACAGAGTTTTACTATCTGCACTAGAAACTTAACATCTAGCACAATCTGTGTCTTAAAATTCAACTCCCAGTCCAGCAGAATAATCATACAAATTCTAAATTATTATTAGTCAATTTTAACCCCTTACCTTTCGCTTCCTTTAACTTTGTAAATAACAGCGTATCCAGTAATCTCTTCTTTCTTAACGTCAGGCTCCTCCCAGCTCAACGTCACGAATCTGTGCTTCACGATTACAGCTCTTAAGTTCTTCGGCGGAGAGATGACAGTAGCATTCACCGACTTCAACTGATCTAAATCCAATCCTTTAGCAGCGTGAAACGAATTATCCGAATCATCGACTTGATTTGCATCGTAATTATAATCATATTCCAATTCGGGACCGGAAGTGAAAGCTGAAGATGTTTCGCCTAGAAAATCAGAATCTTCTAGACTATTATCTGTATTTTGGTCGTCGAAATGGTCTGAAGATATTAAACTATTGAAAATGTCTTGAGTGGTGGAGTTTTTGTAGGAAGGTGAAGTTTTCTTGTATGTAGACGATTTGTTCTTATGAAAAAATACGGAACTTTTTGATGCACTGCTGACATTTGAGTTGAGATCTGTTGACAAAAGTTAAGGAAACGAAAAACTAAAAAAAAGAAACTAAAAAGTGTACATAAGTAAATCATAAAACCAAAAAGTTAAAAAAAAAAGACGGGTTGCACTCCGGGAGTGCCGGCAGAAGTGAAAACTTAAATATTAACGTTGTGCATTTTTGATATTTTGGAATGCTTACGGAATAATTTTGCACGAATTGCTTTAATTATCAGTATAAAAGTACTATGATTTATGTGGTAGAATACAATATTTATTTATTGAGCTATCGTACACAAACATGACAATTTATATTACATTAAAAGAGTCTGTCTCTCAGAAAAATCAACTTACATGAATCACGTTTACGCGCACTTAGCGACATCTATTGTAAAAAAATAGCATTTTCTTCGCAATTAAGCTGCCACGTGGACGTTCTAGATAGAGACTTATTATTATAAAACTTACTATGTTTCGTCCAATATATTGAAAGTCAACAACCTTTCCAATTTTATTGTGTCATGATGCGATCAGCCCACGTGTTTAACCTGACGCGAATTTAACATTTTTTACCCATACAAAAAAAGTGTACAACGCCGCTAAAGAAGTTTTCACTTCAAAAATAACATAAGCAATATAATAATCAATAACAAAGCGACAGTCTCGTTTTTATTTAGATCAGTGATTCCCAAAGTGGTCTATATCGACCCCTAGGGGTCTATGACAACCTGCATGGGGTCTACGACAGCGAAAAAAAATCAATATCAGGTAAGTAGGGGGTCTACCCAACACAGAAAAACATGGCAAGGGGTCTACGACACAAAAAAGTTTGGGGAACACTGATTTAGATAAATACGACGTTTCTCGCAAAGTGGGAAAATAGAGTTTGCAGACCTATTTGATGCAAATGAATCTATTTCAAATATATATAACAACTGATTTGAATAAAATATAAATGTCGGGGTGTGTGTGTGTAGTTTTTCGATAAGTTCACTGTTTACCTAGCGAAGAGGTCGCGAGCACGGCGATTGATTTATTTTTAAGACAACGATTATAAAACTGAAGCACCCATCCCCATGGCCGGGTTTGGGATGGGTCTCACTATTGGCCGGCAGCACCAGTAGTCCCAAAGAAGCCAGTGCGGCACCTGTATCTAGTATGTAGTGTGTGTGATTTTGAAAGTGAAGCGCCCATTCCAATGGTCGGGTTTCGGATGGGTGACCACTCCCCATTCGCAGCAGCACCAGTAGTCTAGTAGAGGCCGCTAGATATAATTTTAAGCCTGCCATTATAAATGTGAAGCACCCATCCCCATGGTCGGGTTTGTGATGGGTGACCGCTCACCATTGGCCGGCAGCAACAGTAGTCTCTTAGAAGCCAGCGCGGCACCTGTATCTAGTATGTAGTGTGTGTGATTTTAAAAGTGAAGCACCCATTCCAATGGTCGGGTTTCGGTTGGGTGACCACTTTCCATTCGCAGCAGTACCAGTAGTCTAGTAGAGGCTGCTAGATATAATTTTTAGACTGCGATTATAAAAGTGAAGCGCCCATCCCCATGGTCGGGTTTGTGATGGGTGACCGCTCACCATTGGCCGGCAGCACCAGCAGCCTGGTGGAGGCCAGCGCGGCGCCCGCTGCGGAGACGGCCACGCACTGGAACATGCCCGCGTCCATGGGGAGCACGCCCTGGATGCGGAGCGACCAGCTGGAACCAAATAAATAGGGATGATGACTATTTTATTTTTATGCTTTTATTTATTTTTAAGCATTTAACTGCTAGATTTTTAAATCTAAAGAAAAGTTTACCAGAAAAAAAAATTTTTTGCTATTTCTTCTTTCAAATGTTTAATACTTGAAAAAGTATTCATGTGACATTGTGGGTTACCTACAATGCGAAGAGACGGCGCTGCCTTGCAGCTTAAGGCTAGGAAAATTTCGACGCGGCGAATAGGGCCGTGGTAGCATAATGGTCAGTGCATTCGCCCGGATTGCGAAGGGTGCGGGTTCGAGTCCCGTCCGCTGCTTGGCCCGCGTGGATTTTTTTTCTAGTAAACTTTTCTTTAATTTTTTTTTCTTCGTGTTTCAGGTAGACTGTCAAAAAGTATTGGACACGTATTTTTTCTTCTTACACATAATATAAACATTGCAGAGATGTATTGAATTGAAAAGTCGCATGACGTCACGTTTGAGTACACTTATAAGTGAAAATTCACTCAAAAGTGACGCCACGAGCCCCTACTCCCAAACTTTGACGCGCTATAACTTCGTCATTTTTTGGTTGATTGCCCAAAGAAAAAATGAGTGTCCATTATTTTTTGATCATCTAACTGACGGACTAAATAGAATTTCGTTTACTGTACCCCGTCATCACCCCTATTATGACGACCTCCGTGCCCGAGTGGTTTGTACGAGTCCGAAATGTCATTGTCAAATGTGTACTGATGTTTAGTTCCCGTTACGTACTTTGTGCCGCTGCTGTCCAAGTTTCCATACAAAATTTGAAATTGACATTTCGGTTTGCAAACTATTCGAATTCGATAATGGTTCGTGCTAGGGGTACAGTAGTTAACGTTAAAAATACGTTTAAAAATTGCAATACAATAATTATTAGATATACAAGGTGTCGACGATTGTGTCTCCATCAATTTGCACATGAAGGAAAACGAAACGTAACGGGTGAAAGAAGCCACGAAGAAGACCCGCGCATTCGAATTTTATATGGCGCACAATACGCATACAATTTTTCTATTTTATTCAATTTATTGTAATTTATACGAAATTAAACGTCTTATCAAGTATACGAGTTCATCATTAGATAGGAGACCTGACTGTCCCAAACACAAGGCATCAATGTTTTTCTGTAAATGCTTATTGAACCTCCACACTAGGCGTCTTTAGGTGATAAAATTAGTTAATTTCTGGAATTTTTGCGGGCTTCTAGTTTCTTTCTTTTTTGACGACCTCCTTGGCCGAGTGGTTTGTACGCCGGGTTTCATGGTGTCGCCGACTCGATAGGTCCCGGGTTCGAATCCCGGTGGGGGCAGATGTTTGTGTGATGAATACGAGCATTTGTACTCCCATCATGGATGTTTATATGTATTTACCTGCCCCCCCTTTCAAAGCAACATATAAAATTATATTTTAGTGCCATAAGCATGCAGTTTTCTCAAGGAACTGCACAACTCGGCATTTGTATGTTGTTTAATAAAAACCTAAAAAATGAATTTAAGCCTTTGCTTAAATTCATTTCTAAGCTTACCTATTTAGGTATGTATTTGATCGAAGTTTTGGGTCAAGCGATTACAGTGCCTCTAGTGGCTAAATTTTGCAGAATTCTTGTCCATTCCAAGCGTTTTGGGTCAGGTGACAACAGATAAGAAAACTATTATCTTTTTCCGTGGGTTTTAGTAAAATTATGAATATTTTTTTTGTAATAATATTAAAAACACCTGAAAATATATATATATAAACTAGCTGACCCAGCGAACTCCGTACCGCCATAAAAAAATTTAATTAAAAAAACATTGTCCAGCGGACAAAATTGTGAATCTAAACCATTTCCAAGATCCCCTTGAACACACACAAAAAATTTCATCAAAATCGGTCCAGTCGTTTAAGAGAAGTTCAGTGACATACACACTCACAGAAGAATTATATATATAAAGATATAATACACACAGATGCTAATGCTAAGCTTACAATTAGCACTTCATTTTTATTACTGTCAAATACCCTATGAGATCGTACATACCCATCTAGTAGCACTATATCGTGCTGGTTCGGGGTCAACGGCTCCCCGTCCTTGTACCACGAGACGGTGGGCGCGGGCCGGCCCCTCACGTTGCATGGTAGGAGGGCCACGCCTCGCGCCTGCGCAATCACTACACTGGCGGGGCTCGACGCGCGGGGGGAGACCTGTGTGAGGAAATAATAGGGATAAATTAATAAATATACCATAAAAAAGCCTTTGCTTATAGAAAACAAAACGACGGGTTGCACTCCGGGAGTGCGGGCAGAAGTGAAAACTTGAATATTAACGTTGTGCATTTTTGCTATTTTGGAATGTTTAGGGAATAATTTTGCACGAATTGCTTTAATTATCAGTATAAAAGTACTATCATGTATGTGGTAGAATACAATATTTATTTATTGCGCTATCGTACACAAACACGACAATTTATATTACATTAAAATGTTTATCTCTCAGAAAAATCAACTTACATTAATCACATTTAACCGCACCTAGCGACATCTATTGTAAAAAAACGCATTTTCTTCGCAATAAAGCTGCCACCTGGACGTCCTAAATACAGACATTAATATAATACGATAAAATAAAATGTAAATGTTTAGTCCAATATATTGAAAGTCAACAACCTTTCCAAATTTATTGTTTTCGTCTTACGAATATTCGATTAGGTCACGTGTCCTGACGCGAGTTTAACATTTTTTACCCACTACAAAAAAGTGTACAACGCCGCTAAAGATGACTTCAAAAATATATAAAACAAGCGATTTCGAAGATACAAAACCATGATAATAAATAAATTTAAGAAAAAAGTGAGTGTGCTCACTTTTCGGTAATACTCGGTTAGAACAAAATTAAAAAAAATAGGTGCGTGTACTTATGTAGGCGCGTGAGAAGTTATCCTTCTTTGGCATCGTTTAAAATTAGTTTTTAATTGAATGCAAATAATTAATTACAATAAATTAATAAAAATTCTGGAAAAGGACACAGTCAATAAAGTTCAGTTTTAATTTGAAAAAATAAATAAATAATCAAAATATTCAATTAAAATCGCTACTGAATATAATTTATTAGAACATATGTGATTTGCACTTGTATGTAACTCAAACACGTATTCCGAATATACAAACTAGAAACATGTGGATAAATATTATAAATATGAATACCTATAACTGTTACTTTATTACAAAAAATAAAGATGTGGTTTTTGGTTCTACTACACCAATGGTCAAGAGATGGCGCTGTAGTCTCCTGAATCGCGCTTTGGTTCCGTTGTTCCATATTAATAAATACTTTTGATAGGCCTTCACAATGCAGTCGTTAGCACTCACTAAATAGAGATTCTATTTCTATTTTGTTGGTAGATTTTCTTAATGTCCGGTAAACACAAAAGTAACGCATGAAGTTGGTCGCTAAAGCGACCAACTTCATGCTGTTAAAATTTTGTGTTACAGTGATGCGCGCGCATCTTAAAATTTCACTCTCATCATTTTTTCATAACGCGCCTAAAGAAGTATAACTTCAAAAAATTAAACGTTTTTTTTTACGTTTAGCATTAAGTTTAGATAAATGATAACGTAATTGTTGTATTAGAAATATAAAAACTAAATAAATTTATATAAAATAAAATTATTTACAAATAATTTCAGTTGTTGCGTCTGTCGTCAATTAACTTTGGGTGTATTCCGAATCAAACACCAGTACGCTGGCCAGTGGTAATGACGTCATGATTTCGACGCCATATTGACAACACTACTACTACACCAGTGCAATATGGCGTCGAAATCATGACGTCATTACCGCTGGCCAGCGTACTGGTTTATATTTCGGAATACACCCTTTATCTATCTCTTTTCCAAATATAAAAATAAATTGATTGCGAAAGGCGCGAGTAATAATAATCTGGTACAGCAGTGCTATGACAGCTAAAATAAAAAAATGGGTGCGCGTACTTATATAGGCGCGTGAGAAGTTATCCTTCTTTGGCATCGTTTAAAATTAGTTTTTAATTGCATGCAAATAATTAATTACAATAAATTAATAAAAAGTCTGGAAAAGGACACAGTCAATAAATAATTAAAATTTCACTCTCATCATTTTTTCATAACGCGCCTAAAGAAGTATAACTTCAATAAACATTAGAATAAGTACACAACTAAACACAGTAAGCTACGAAACGAAACTGAAATAAAAAACACCTCTTTCGCCCATCGTCCATCCACTAAGTCCGTCATCATCATCTTCAGCCTATTAATGTCCCCACTGCTGGGGCACAGGTCTTCCTTATTGATGAAATAGGGAGATTGGGTCATGACAGGTGTAGTGGCCTAACCCCCCCCCCCCCCCCCCCACGGTACTACAGTAGTACAGCCTCACCATCACAGTCAGCATGGCCACCGCGTCAGCGGAGTCGAGCGCGGAGTGAGCGCGACAGGTGTAGTAGCCTCCCCCCTCCCACGGTACTACAGTAGTACAGCCTCACCATCACAGTCAGCATGGCCAGTCGAGCGCGGAGTGAGCGCGACAGGTGTAGTAGCCTCCCCCCTCCCACGGTACTACAGTAGTACAGCCTCACCATCACAGTCAGCATGGCCAGTCGAGCGCGGAGTGAGCGCGACAGGTGTAGTAGCCTCCCCCCTCCCACGGTACTACAGTAGTACAGCCTCACCATCACAGTCAGCATGGCCACCGCGTCAGCGGAGTCGAGCGCGGAGTGAGCGCGACAGGTATAATATCCGGCGTCGGTGCCTCTCGCTCGAGTGCTCAGCGAGCCCCAGCCCACGCGGAAACGACGCCAGTCCAACGCGCTAAAAACAAACATCTTATCTATAATACAAAAATTGGTAACGCCGAATTTTGTAATGTTTTATTGAGTGAAATAAAACATTACAAAATAATTGAATTAATATTATTGCTTACTTGCTAATGCTATCTACGTAAATAGCGGATTGAGACATGACCTTACTACGTTTCCGATAGTTAAACACTACAACACTACAGCTCAACACCGAAGCGAAGCGAAAGCGGGCCACTAGTCTTAATATATAAATTACGCGTCACGTTCCTCGTACGCGAAAAATTACAAATTTAAAAAATAATTAACTTATAGCTTCAACCGATAGATGGCACTGCTAAGATTTTTTAAGTTTTTTTTTTATCTTTTTTAAAAAACTATCTCAGATCTACTATCTATTTTTAATACCCTTAAATGATAAGTGTTGTCAACCCCTAACATTTTTTAAAAAAATAGTTTTTTTTTTATTTTTTTTATACTGTGGCATTAAAAAATACATACAATCCTAAATTTGTGATGAAATGGTGATGTGTGCTACCTCGACCTGAATGCAGATCTACTCAACAAGCTTGATCGATTTCAGAATAACTGCATTCGATTCGTTTTTAATCTTAGAAAATATGACCATGTGTCCGCATACCGATCTCTCTTAAAATGGATGCCCATTAGGCAACGCAGATGTATGCGGGCTCTGACCACTTTGTTCACTTTGCTGGATTCTCCAAATGCCCCCCCTTATCTCACTTCTCAGTTTCAGTACATATGTACCTCTCATACTAAAAATCTTAAATCTTCTTTCAATCGTTTACTAGTCGTTCCATCTCACAATTCCGATATCATTCACTCTTCCTTCTTCGTCAAAACTATACTTTTGTGGAACGAACTCCCGCTAGACATTAGAATGTTCCCCAACAAACATTCCTTTAAAACCAAGCTGCGAACCTTTTTATTGGAACAGGCGTTTCGTTGAGTAGTTTGTCGTCATGTATGTATTATATGAAGTATGTATGTATATATGTGTATGTATATGTTTAGTTTTATTATATTTATTATCTATACTTATAATAAATCTGTAGAGAGGTCAATTCTGTACATGAAACATATTTTCAAAAAAACTATCAGGGGGTGATTAGTGATCGATACTGATGCCAAAAATGCAATCAGTAAAATTTTTGTCTGTCTGTCTGTCTGTATGTTCCTTATAGAAACAAAAACTACTCGACGGATTTTAACGAAACTTGGTACAATTATTCTTCATACTCCTGGGCAGGTTATAGTATACTTTTCATCACGCTACAATCAATAGGAGCAGAGTAGTGAAGGGAAATGTTGGGAAAACGGGAGATCTCAATTTTTTAAGCTTCAGTCACATGTGCAGCCTTAATGGTTAAAGTTACATAGAAATCATGTATGACGGAAATATTCTACATAAAATTGTCTAAAAAATATCCTGCAACAGCATATGTTTATCTTTTATGGTTGACTCACAATAACACGTGTAATTATATAAATAAAGTCATTGTTTATAACACAAGCCTGAGAACAAAAACTATAGTTTACACTACAGCTCTACACCGAAGCGAAGCGAAGGCCGGCCACTAGTGAGTAATATTTCTTTAAATGTGATCTCCACCTCAGTTGTGCACCCTACCACTAAAATCTCCACAACACCCTATGGTTGACTGGTAGAGAATGCCTACGGCATTAAGTCCGCCATTGTACAGTATGTGCATGAAGAATAAAATAAATAAATAAATTTTCACCCTTCCACCACTTGCCCCTATTTTAATGGCGATGCGAAGTTCGCTGGGTCAGCTAGTATTCTTAAAGAACAAGACAACTTCTGCCACGTTAGCTTGTATAAACTTTTATCTCTAAAAACAACTACGGCTCAAACTTACCCCCATCGCTTTCTACTTAATTTTATAGTAGCTGTGCCCCGCGGTGTTACCAGCGGTTTATTAGGAAAATGTTCCCGCAGTAAAAAGTAGCCTATGTGTTAATCCAGGGTGTCAGCTAACTCCATAGCAAATTTATTAAATAGGAGAAGTAACAAACATACACACTCACATACATACACACTTTCGCCTTTATAATATTAGTGTGAAGTGTGATTTTCGAAAGTAAATCGTCCAGAGCCAAATCTCGAATTTTACAATTTTTACACACAATTTTCAGCGTTAGCTACCCTATTTGTTGTCCCTATCGCACGGTATTTGTCAATGAGCAACAGCAATAGTTTCTTCAAATACCTATTTCTCAAATACCTCTCAGCTCGCGTCCGCTCTTAACATTCAAAATTTAAGGTTTTGGTAATTGAAAATGGTACTACTCACTTGAGATCTATTTCTACTCCATCTTTGAGCCACGTGATCTCTGGCTTGGGGTTGCCAACTGCCGCGCAATCGAACGTCACCGACGCACCTGAAAATGTTGCCAACAGAAAAAAAGTTAAACGTTTTTTTTTACATTTAGCATTAAGTTTAGATAAATGATAACGTAATTGTTGTATTAGAAATATAAAACTAAATAAATTTATATAAAATAAAATTATTTACAAATAATTTCAGTTGTTGCGTCTGACTGCATAATTAACTTTGGGTGTATTCCGAATCAAACACCAGTACGCTGGCCAGTGGTAATGACGTCATGATTTCGACGCTATATTGACAACACTACTACTACACCAGCGCAATATGGCGTCGAAATCATGACGTCATTACCGCTGGCCAGCGTACTGGTTTATATTTCGGAATACATCCTTTATCTATCTCTTTTCCAAATATAAAAATAAATTGATTGATAAAGGCGCGAGTAATACTATGGTACCGCAGTGCTATGACAGCTAAATATTTTTTTTTTTTTTTTTTTTTTTTATTGCTTATTTATTTCCGATTAAGCGGTCATGTTAGGCAGAAAATATAATGCCTAATAAAGTTAAGAGTTAGACCGTACGTAGTTTACCATCACAAACACACAAAAATAAATACATTTCGATTAACAATATTGTCATTATGATTTTAGATGTAAGTACTAGAAAAAATCAGATTCTGAGTATCAATTAATAAAATCTAAAATAATTGTAAAGAAAATTTTACTAGAATAAAATCCACTCAGACGTATCTGGGCGAATGCACTGTACCTCTAGCACGAACCATTATCGAATTCGAATAGTTTGCAAACCGAAATGTCAATGTCAAATTTTGTATGGAAACTTGAACAGCAGCGGCACAAAGTACGTAACGAGAACTAAAAATCAGTACACATTTGACAATGACATTTCGCAATCGCAAACGATACGAATTCGATATTGGTTCGTGCTGGGGGTACTGATCATTATGCTACCGCGCGCCTGATAGCCGTGTCCAATTTTCTCTAGCATTGCTTAGGCTGCAGGGCAACGCCATCTCTTCATCAATGTCTAAATCTAAAGAAAATTTTACTGGAAGAAAAACGACGCGTCAGTCAAATCGCGGCGACAGACTCTTCAGTTTTTGTTTAATAAAACATCTAATAGTTAAATACAAAAAAGAAAAATATTATGCAGCCTAGGCTGTTACAAGCTCTTGTGAACGTCGACTTCATGTCAATATTATTGTGGGCAGTGCCGTCTTTGACCTATTGGAGGCCCTTTTTTTTGTGACGCAGGCAAAAACTCTCGTTTACAGACGACGGCGCCTTTAAGTGGCACACCGCCGAACGGACCTCACACCTGGCTCCCGCAAGTCTTACGAGCCCCCGCACTGGCTGCCCACTGAGGACCCCGTAACTCTTACGGGCGCTTTACGGCATAATATCCGCTAAAAAACCCTGCGAATACCCTCTAAGCTGCTTAGTGCGAAACCGCGGGATCCCAGTTTAAGGATTCTTCCGCGTCTGACCTATTGGAGGCCCTCGGCATATTAGGATAATGGGGCCCCTATGACTTCCGTTTGGTGATTTAACAGGAACTAGGGACTCTGTATTTGATCTGAGGGGGGCCCTATCGATCGCGGGGCCCTAGGCACTTGCCCAAAGTGCCCACTGGGAAAGACGGGTCTGATTGTGAGTATTTATTATCACAATTCTAAGTAGAATCATTAGTACCTTCTATGACGGTGCAACTTTGAGGCGTGGCTACAAAACGCGGCGGATATTCCGCCATCAAGTCCGTGCTTATACGCAACTCGATCTCCTCGCCCAGTCTACATAAAAAAAAGAATTATAATATTAATACGTGAAGGAAAAATCTATATATATAAAACTCAAAGGGACTGACTGACTGACATAGTGATCTATCAACGCACAGCCCAAACAACTGGACGGATCGGGCTGAAATTTGGCATGCAGGTAGATGTTATGACGTAGGCATCCGCTAAAAGGATTTTAATCAATTCAACCCCCAAGGGGATAAAATAGGAAATGAAAGTTTGTATGTTTTTTTTTTTTTAATTTTAAACCGATCGGGCTGAGACTTTGCATGCAGGTATAAGAAGAATGATAGATGAATGTCATTGTGTATAATACGAGCCTGAGAACAAAAACTGTAATCTACACTTCAGCTCTACACCGAAGCGAAGCGAGGGCGGGCCAATAAAAGGTGAAATAAAAGTGGTTTTTGATGTATTGTCACGTGACTAAAAACGCATGGGATTGGCGGAACCTAAAATGACGTCACACATAATAATAATCTTTATTTAGACCAAAATATAGTTAAGTAGAGTCTGTGCGGAACGAGAATGGGATTTAGATTGCAGGGCGCTGTAGTGCTTTTCTACCGTATTTGTAAGGTTTTACCCCTTTTAGACATGATTAAATACAAAAAACCGCAAGAAATCACAACAACAAACAAATCCGTATCAATACAAAACTTTGACGTTTTACAGATTGCTGGGTTTGATTGACAAATAAAAATCTTAATGTTGGTTTCGTTTTTCGCCACGCACATTCTCTTTCCGCACAGACTCTAACAATGTCTTATCAACTATGGACATCATATATCGCTGCCGAACTAGGATTTTCATCCTGTATTACAGCATACAGAGCGCCTCAATTGTCAGGTTTAGCCACTGAAGTTCATGTTCAATGCTGATATTACAAGAAATACCTATTTAATTTTGATTTTAGTAAAATAAAAAAGTCTGTGTATTTGTGTGCCTGTAGATTTATGTGTATTTGTATGTGTGTGTATTCTGTGTATCTGTGTGTCTCTGTATTTGTAGACTGTGTTTTTGTGTATTTATGTGTTTGTGTATTTGTGTGTCTATTTGTGGCATCGTAGCTCCTTAATGATGGACCGATTTGGACGCGACTTTTAAACCGATAAAAATTAATTATTATAAAGAAAAGTAAAATATTTATTATTTTAATGATACTCACGTATGCGTGGTGGGTCTATGGGCCAGTGCCACTCGACACCGGTATATCCCCGCGTCTCCCACTCGCGAAGGTTCCAATTCCAATGACCCACTGGGTAGTATGGTCACTCGGCCCGCCTCCATGGGTATAGGGGCGCCGTTACGGAGCCATGTCACCTGTACCACAACGCAGAAATGAAATGAAATGAAAATTCAACCTGACTTGATCAAGTCAAGTAAGGTTTATAGTTTTTGACGTGATTACTTCTTATGAGAGGGCTTCGTTACGTAACGCGTTACGGCGCCAGTCTGTCTGGCTTCCCTTCGCCGCACAACAACATGAAAATTTCAACTGTCTAGCTATCACGGTTCATTAGACACAGCCTGGTGACACACAGACGGACAGTAGAATCTTATCAAAATCAAAAATCATTTATTCATAGCGGTAGCATAATTGGTCAGTGCATTCGCCCGGATTGCGAAGGGTGCGGGTTCGAGTCCCGTCTGCTGCCTGGTCCGCGTGGATTTTTTTCTAGTTATATTTTCTTTAGATTTAAACATCAAGCAGTAACATGCTTTAAAAATAATAAAAATTATAATCATTTATTCAGTCTAGGCTGTTACAAGCACTTGTGAAGGTCAAGAAGCTACGCCATCGGTTCGCAAAACTACGGCGGGAGACCTTGTACTGAGAAGAACCGGCAAAAAACTCAGCAAGGGCTGCTTTTTTCTCCCTGTATTGATATATACAGAGTCGTCAAGTTGAAAAATGACTTCAGACATACTTCTGAAAGAAATTTGACAAATGTTGATGATGTTACATTTTCATAAGCCGAGCTTTAATTTAAAAGACTTATACCCGCCCTGCAGTGTTGCCAGGACCAATTTAAAAATTGTGTGTGTCAGCTCCGACGCACGACTGGAGTTTACTCCTTAAGTTCGATAGTCTAACCAGACGTAAAAAAAGTTTATTTAAGTTAAAAAAGATTGATACTGTATGAAAGGGTAAATTAATGAAAATAATATACATATATAAATATATATTTATTCATTTCATAAATAAAAAAAAAATTAATAAATAACAACATTTCATATACATTTATTATAACTAATCGACGAAATATTTTACATTAAACTTTTTACAATAGTCAATTTCAGATGTGCATAAATATATCATTAGGAACGTTGATAAATTATGTAATTATTATTATCAGACTATTATCATTTTTTTAGATATTAATTAAATCAACATTGTCTACATTATTAATTACAGTGACAAGTGGTTTATGGTTATTAATGTCAATCCGTCATCTTTGTTTGTCAAAGTTGCGCGACATAGGATGCGCACCAAAAACGTAACGAGGTCATTCATCGATAGATTTTACTCTTCACATTTTTCTCATACCGGGCCCCTTATATATGCAAATCGATTCTTAAGGAGTAAACTCCAAAAAACCGGGAGGCGTTACAGGAAATAAACAGAAGATGTATGGAAAGAGCTGTAAGACAAAATAGTAGAAGCAGGGGTGTATTGTTTTACAGATTTCTATGGTTTCTTTCGCCCTTCAAAGCTCGTCTTTTTTTGGTAACATGAACATATTTTTGTATATCTAAGGTAACATTCTTAATGGTGGAACCGGAAAAGCACAGCACAAGTGGTTCGTGTGACGCATTTACCGTAACATTTAAAAAAGAAAATTGTATTCTAAGAAAAACAGTAGATTTCTGTAAGTACTCCGGCGGTAATGCAGAGAATTGAAGAGCTAGATTCTGATTTAAGTTTTTTCTCACAGTCTTAATAAATAAATATTATTAAAAAATTGTTGTTTTTTTTCTCAATCTTAGTAAATATTTTAATAAAAAAACTGATGTTTTTTCTCACTTAATCTTAGTTAGAAGTTTTATTAAATAAAATATTTTTTTTGCTCACTCTACCTATTTAGTTTGAATTGACAGCTATGACGTCAAAATATGGCGCCCAGTCGGTCCAATTCTTAGTTGAATCGCATTATACGTACCGCGATCTGCACCCCTAGCACGAACCATTATCGAATTCGAATAGTTTTCAAACCGAAATGTCAATGTCAAATTTTGTATGGAAACTTGAACAGCAGCGGCACAAAGTACGTAACGAGAACTAAAAATCAGTACACATTTGACAATGACGACCTCCGTGGCCGAGTGGTTTGTACGCCGGGTTTCATTGGTGTCGCCGACTCGAGAGGTCCCGGGTTCGAATCCCGGTGGGGGCAGATGTTTGTGTGATGAACACGAGCATTTGTACTCCAGTCATGGATGTTTAATATGTATTTCTATATAAATATACTTATATATGTACTGTATATGTATTCTATCCGTTACCCTAGCTTCCCATAACACAAGCCTTACAGTGCTTACTTTGGGGCTAGGCTAATTGGTGTGAGTGTTGAAAATATTTATATTTATATTTATTTATTTAATGACATTTCGGACTCGCAAACGATACGAATTCGATATTGGTTCGTGCTAAGGGTACTGTACTTACGTTGAGCATCAGCGTAGGCGGCGCGTGGTGCGTTTTGAGCGCGTTCGGAACGCGGCGGTCGGGCGGCGCGGTCACCAGGCGGACGGCTACGCGCGGCGGCGGCACTACTCCGCACGGGACCAACGTAGGGCCGCCCGCCACCCCCGACACCACGAGGGGGCCGGGGGACAGGGGAGGCAACTCTATGGACGATGGAAAACAACATTTTGTTAAAAAAAAGAAATTATCTGGTGTCGTGGGACACCAGGTAGGAACGAAGTTGAGTATATACTATGCATTGGCGGGGTGGAGTGGTAATAGAAAGAGAAGGGATGAGAGAACGAAAAGAAAGAGGGAGAAAGAGAAAGGTATTATACACTACTCGCTTGTGTATGCGACTGTCGCAGACGTCTCATTTAACGGTTTTATTCCACGCACTACGAGTAAGAGTCTACCACAATCTGCTGTCTATATAGTAGTCTCGTAAATCTACCACAACTCCTCACCCGCTAAGAACACACTCACCGTTTAGCTACTGTCCTGAGTCTACTACAATCTGTTTTCCGGCTTTCAGGCCCGTATTGCAAAATGACAACTGACAAGTGTTGATCTTTACTTGAGTACAGTTAGAATGGGATGCCGCTATGTGCTATAGCGACATCTCTTTCTAACTATGCTTAAGACTAGAGTAATTACTGAGAATCTTTCTATAATACGGGCCTAAGTCTGCCACAATCTGACACAATCTGCCACAACTCCTCACCCGCTAGAAACACATTCGCCGTTAAGGAGATGCTGACCAGTAATCTCCTGAGTCTACTACAAATTGTAGCAGAAATAGCAGTAACCTCCTAAGTCTTCTACAGCCTGCCACAACTCCTCATACGCTAGCAACAAGCTCACTGTTGAGCTGCTGTCCAGTAATCTCAGCAGATTGTAGTAGACTCAGGAGTCTAACACAATCTGCTGTGTATATAGCAGTCTCGTAAATCTACCACAACTCCTCACCCACCAAGAACACGGAGATTTTGGTAGACTCAAGAGTCTAACACAATCTGCTGTGTATATAGCAGTCTCGTAAATCTACCACAACTCCTCACCCACCAAGAACACGGAGATTTTGGTAGACTCAAGAGTCTAACACAATCTGCTGTGTATATAGCAGTCTCGTAAATCTACCACAACTCCTCACCCACCAAGAACACGGAGATTTTGGTAGAGTCAAGAGTCTAACACAATCTGCTGTGTATATAGCAGTCTCGTAAATCTACCACAACTCCTCACCCACCAAGAACACGGAGATTTTGGTACACTCAAGAGTCTAACTCTGTATGGCTGATTTCCCCCCGGAGGGGTAATTACCCCCAGGTTCGGAACCCAGGGTCTAGAAGCTACGTATCGGTTCGTAAATCTACGGCGGGAGACCTTGTACTGAGATAAACCGGCAAGAAACTCAGTATATCACTCTGTTCTATTATTTACAGAGTCGTCAAATTGAAAAAAATCTTCAGAGGTGATTCATGAAGTCACCTTTCATTACATAATGATTAAATATTAATTGTTTACCTGCATTTAGATTGTTGTGCCATATAGTATAAATACAAATAGTGCTATTTATATTAAGTGTGACTAAACATTAACTTCAATATTAAAGAAGTTAGGGCAGACTCATCTCCGCTGGCAGCAACCGTTCACGAGCATGACGAATGAACCAGCCATCGCTTCGCTCAACCATATTTTAGGGAACGTAACGACCCGCCTCACACGACACCACCGAAGATACTATTGCGTATATATTATATATAGCGACATCTCTTTCTAACTATGCTTAAGACTAGATTAATTACTAAGAATCTTTCTATAATACGGGCCTAAGTCTGCCACAGTCTGCCACAACTCCTCACCCGCTAAGAACACGCTTACTGTTGAGCTACTGTCCAGTAATATCCTGAGTCTAACACAATTTGCTGTCTATATAGTAGTCTCCTAAAGCTACCACAATCTGTCAGAACTCCTCACCCGCTAGCAACACGTTCGCCTTTGAAGAGATACTATCCAGTAATCTCCTGAGTCTACTACAAATTGTAGCAGAATTAGTAGCAATCTCCTAAGTCTGCCACAACTTCTCACTCGCTAGCAACAAGCTCACCGTTGAACTGCTGTCCAGTAATCTCAGCAGATTGTAGTAGACTCAGGAGTCTGTCTGTCTATATAGTAGTCTCCTAAAGCTACCACAATCTGCCAGAACTCCTCACCCGCTAGCAACACGTGGGATGCCGCTATGTGCTAAATATAGCGACATCTCTTTCTAACTATGCTTAAGACTATACTAATTACCGAGAATCATTCTATAATACGGGCCAAGTCTGCCACAATCTGCCAAAAGTCCTCACCCGCTAGCAACACGCTGGCCGGCCGGGAGAGGATGGTACCCACGCCGCGCACGCTGGCCACGCACTGATACTGCCCCGACAGCTGCCGAGACATGCGCTCGATCACCAGCGAGCCGTTGAGGAGCTGCTTCCTGGAAACCATCATATCAGAGCTTTTAATCTATACATCTATATATATAAAACTCAAAGGTGATTGACTGACATAGTGATCTATCAACGCACATCCCAAACCACTGGACGGACCGGGCTGAAATTTGGCATGCATGTAGATGTTGTGACGTAGGCATCCGCTAAGAAAGGATTTTGATCAATTCTACCCCCAAGGGGATAAAATAGGGAATGAATGAAAGATTGTATGAAAATTTTGTCAATTTTAAACCGATTGGGCTGAGATTTTGCATGCAGGTATAAGAAGAATCATAGATGAATGTCATTGTGTATAATACAAGCCTGAGAACAAAAACTGTAGTCTACACTTCAGCTCTACACCGAAGCGAAGCGAGGGCGGGCCGCTAGTATGAATATATGTATATAAGGTACATACACCAAAATAACATTTTTTTTAATTTTGTCTATCTGTCTGTTTGTTCCCGCTAATCTCTGAAATGGCTGGACCAATTTTTGACGGGACTTTTATTGGCAGGTAGCTGATGTAATAAGTAACTTAGGCTACTTTTATGCAATACCTGTGTTACAGGTCATATAAGGTGGGAAAAATGTAACATAAGATGTGAGAGTCTCATGACTGAAATAGGTATGCAATACCTGTGTTACAGGTCATATAAGGTGGAAAAATCTTACATAAGATGTGAGAGTCTGATGCCTGAAATAGATATGCAATACCTGCGTTACAGGTCATATAAAGTGGAAATAATGTAACATAAGATGTGAGAGTCTGATGCCTGAAATAGGTATGCAATACCTGTGTTATAGGTCATATAAGGTGGAAATAATGTTACATAAGATGTGAGAGGCTGATGCCTGAAATAGGTATGCCATACCTGCGTTACAGGTCATATAAGGTGGAAATAATGTTACATAAGATGTGAGAGGCTGATGCCTGAAATAGGTATGCAATACCTGCGTTACAGGTCATATAAGGTGGAAATAATGTTACATAAGATCTGAGAGTCTCATGACTGAAATAGGTATGCAATACCTGTGTTACAGGTCATATAAGGTGGAAATAATGTTACATAAGATCTGAGAGTCTCATGACTGAAATAGGTATGCAATACCTGTGTTACAGGTCATATAAGGTGGAAATAATCTTACATAAGATGTGAGAGTCTGATGCCTGAAATAGGTATGCAATACCTGTGTTATAGGTCATATAAGGTGGAAATAATGTTACATAAGATGTGAGAATGTGATGCCTGAAATTGGTATTCAATACCTGTGTTACAGGTCATATAAGGTGGAAATAATCTTACATAAGATGTGAGAGTCTGATGCCTGAAATAGGTATTCAATACCTGTGTTAGAGGTCATATAAGGTGGAAATAATGTTATATAAGATGTGAGAGTGTGATGCCTGAAATAGGTATGCAATACCTGTGTTACAATTGTCTGAAATATCTTTATTTGATCATACCTGTGTTGATCATTGGACGTGTGAGCTTGATCTCTGGTGGGTATCCCGCTCGCACTGTATCGCCAGCTCAGGCTGACGGGATGGACGGACGCGGCTGAGCAGGACAGCATGACGCTGTCTCCCTCCAGCACCACTTCGTCGTTGGGCTCCACCAGGAACCGAACGCCCGGGTCCGGCTGGAGCTCCTCGCCGCCTGGAAATAGAAATAAGATGATTAAATATAGGCGATCACAGACATACTAAAGTTAAGAGTTAAAGGTTCTATATATGCTCAACTGTTTTTTTTATATTTATTTTTCTATTTATTTATTTAATCATTGATACATCATTTTATCATATTTTAATACCTTGCCAACCTGTAACATTAGGTTGTTGGACAAACAAATAATATTAAACTAGGTACTTCAAACATGTATATCTAAGCTATCTAAAAGTAACTATCTGTTGCCAATACATAATTTGCGCATCTAGCAAAAGGGTTTTGTTATGCTTCCAATATGAAAAAAAGAAATTTTGACTTAGATAGTTTACTGTGAAGTCACTGTGAAGATTAACAATGTAATATGAAAATAATGTAATTTGAAACAATCTATAAGTCGAAGGGTGCGGGTTCGAGTTATTTTTCTAGTTATGCTTTCTATAGATTTAAACATTTGCTATTTCTTCTTTCAAATGTTTAATACTTGTAAAAGTATTCATTTGACATTGTGGGTTACCTGCAATGCGAAGAAATGGCGCTGCCTTACAGCTTAAGAATAGCTAGAAGAATTTCGACGCGGCCGTTAGGGCCGCGGTAGCATTATTGGTCAGTGCATTCGCCCGAATTGCGAAGGGTTCGAGTCCCGTCTGCTGCCTGGTCCGCGTGGATTTTTTCTAGTTATAATTTCTTTAGATTTAAACATCAAGCAGTTACATGCTTAAAAAATAAAATTTTAACTAATCTATAAGTACTTATTTATACATAGTTTTTGCTTATACAAAATAATAATAACAATAACATGTGTCCTCAATTCTGTAAAATTTCTTTCAAGGATTAGTACAGTCAATCTGTCGAAAAAAATATCGTTTCAGTGAAAAACAAACCTAAAGGGTAAGTCCTGTTTTTTCTGTTGCCAAATGACGTCAGTAAGCCACCTTGGCGATGGGCATGTTCAACTCGTAGGCGTTTTTTGAAAAACTCAAAAAAACCGTCAAAAATTTTTTGAAACGCATTTTTCTTGTTTTGTATGCATTTTAGAAACTTTTTTTTTTGACCATAATTGTAGAGGGCGTTGAGCACTACAATTTATGTCATTGTTGCAATCTCGTACAACAAAAAATGCGCATTGTAGGTGGCGCTAAAGTCTCAAAAAGGTGTTTTTTCACTTTTTCACCCTGAAAATATCATTTTAATGGAAAACTTAAAATGGCAAAGTTGTTTCGTACATAATTACCAACAACTTTTGTATAAACAATTTTTTTGTATTACTTACCGTTTTCAAGTTATAAATTGCGCAGGTATGAAAAATCCAATAGAGCGGTTTTGGGCAGTTCACGTACACATTTGCAGTGCACATTTCAATGTACGTTTTACTATTTTTTATTAATTTTCATGATTGAAAAACAAAAAAAAAAATAAAAAAAATAGTTTTATTTTTATTTTTTTTCATGATTGAAAAAAAAATAGTAAAAACGTACATTGAAATGTGCACTGCAAATGTGTACTTGAACTTCCCAAAACCGCTCTATTGGATTTTTCATACCTGCGCAATTTATAACTTGAAAACGGTAAGTAATACAAAAAAATTGTTTATACAAAAGTTGTTGGTAATTATGTACGAAACAACTTTGCCATTTAAAGTTTTCCATTAAAATGATATTTTCAGGGTGAAAAAGTGAAAAAACCCTTTTTTGAGACTTTAGCGCCACCTAAAATGCGCATTTTTTGTTGAACGAGATTGCAACAATGACATAAATTGTAGTACTCAACGCCCTCTACAATTATGGTCAAAAAAAAGTTTCTAAAATGCATACAAAACAAGAAAAATGCGTTTCAAAAAATTTTTGACGGTTTTTTTGAATTTTTCAAAAAACGCCTACGAGTTGAACATGCCCATCGCCAAGGTGGCTTACTGACGTCATTTGGCAACAGAAAAAACAAGACTTATCCTTTAGGTTTTTTTTTCACCACTCAACCCACAGATTGACTGTACTAGATCTCTTTAATATTTGTAAGCTTACATTCTTATTTTTTCTTACCAAATCGAATTTGTCAATTACCTATTCGACCTTATTTAAACAGTTTCTTTGAGTCTTAATTTGTTTAGAATTTTTAGAATTTGTTTGAAAAAAAAAACGTGTCCCCAAATGCCGTTTAAAAGCTCATTAGAAGTATTATTAATAGCTCCATTGGCTCCAAAGGAATCCTTTATTAAGTTATTGTTGGGACTTCCAAAAGGCGGTCCGAGTGCTTTTACATCGAATAAAAGCGGCTGAAGGTCGCCAACAAAGGAATGCTTGCGGGGTATCCTTTGTGCCCCTTATTTTGCTAACCAGATGATGTATTGTGATCCAAACCTTATGCCGGCTCAAGGTATCAATAGGAAGGAAAATTAAAGGTCGTATTTGCTCACATATTCTTTTTTTGCGAGCAATACGTCGGGATAAATGCGAGTCAAATATCGAGTTTGTTCAAGTTTGATATCTATTGGCAAATATTTATATTTTAGACTAGTGGCCCGCCCTCGCTTCGCTTCGGTGTAGAGCTGTAGTGTAAACTATAGTTTTTGTTCTCAGGCTTGTGCTATAAAGAATGACTTTATTTATATAATTACACGTGTTATTGTGAGTCAACCATAAAAGACATATGCTGTTGCGTGATATTTTTTAGACAATTTTATGTAGAATATTTCCGTCATACATGATTTCTATGTAACTTTAACCATTAAGGCTGCACCCGCGACGGAAGCTTAAAAAGTGGAGTAACTTCTCCCGTTTTCCCAACATTTCCCTTCACTACTCTGCTGCTATTGGTTGTAGCGTGATGAAAAGTATACTATAACCTGCCCAGGAGTATGAAGAACAATTGTACCAAGTTTCGTTAAAATCCGTTGAGTAGTTTTTGTTTCTATAAGGAACATACACACAGACAGACAGACAAAAATTTTACTGATTGCATTTTTGGCATCAGTATCGATCACTAATCACCCCCTGATAGTTATTTTAAAAATATATTTCATGTACAGAATTGTGTATAGAAGATAATGTGCAGGTTTAATAAGCATTTACAAAAAAAGCAAAACATAGAGGCCCAGTATATCTGTTTATTATTATTGTATTGCAATTTTTAAACGCATTTTTAACGTTAACTACTGTTGTCCCTATCGTATGGTATTTGGAGGCAACAGCAATTAGATTTTTCAAATACCTATTTCCCAAATGTCTCTCAGCTCGCGTCCGCTCTTAAGTGAGCGAGCACTGGCGTATTCCGAAATATACATCAGTATACTGGCCAGTGGTAATGACGTCACAAATCCGACGCCATTTTGTACTGGTATGCTACCATATTTTTACCGGGAAAACGAAATTGACGTATGACCGAGCGTGCGTGAGATGCATTCGAATTTTATTTCTTTTTTATTTAATGAACAATAATAGCATCCGTACGAAAAGAATTCCTTTTAATTGATGAGGTGAATAAAAATTCTTCTTTATTCGCATTATTTTTAATATTTCGTCGATTTACGACGTCAGTGCACTGGCCAATATATTTCGGAACAATTCACCAGTATAGCCTCGATTCATGACGTCATTAGCACTGGCCAGTATACTGGTATATATTACGGAATACACCCAGAAACTCCTTTTTTTTTAATCAGAAATCAGAAATCAATATATCTTTATTCAAATTGGATCTATAGTACAACACTTTTGAATCGTCCAAACATTTTTTTTCCCTACCACTCGTTATTGGACATATTTTTTAGCTGCGGAGAAAAACGAGCGAAAAAAACTCCACAACATTAAAAGCATAATGTAACAACATTTACAAATCATTATGTTGTTACAACGTCAATACAATCATGATTTATTTAATATAGAAAACCTGTTGGAATGATTGGAACAGTTCAAACCCAAGCATTTTTGTCTGTAATATAATCAGACACTTTGTAATAAGCTTTTTTAATAAGTGCTTTTGACGTGACAACGTCTTAAATTAGGTTGCGGCTGGGAGTCACTTATGAAAAAGTGTAACGCTCGGTAACGTTACGATGAGTCTCTCGTGTTAAGTTTAAGTTTACATGTACAATGTTTTAGTAAACAAAATATATTTCTATAGTTAAAATTTGTGCAATTCTTATTTTCATTCAATTCCTTGTTCCTATTGTGCAATTTAATTATATTCATATCAATAAATATTCTACCGAGAAAAAGACGTTGTCACGTAAAATCTTCGCCCGTAAAACCGACTTTACAGGCAACCATTTTTTTTTATACTATCTTTGAATTTATTTATGCTTAACTCTTGGATATTGCTTGGGACTTTATTGTATAAGCGAACACAAAGACCTTTAAATGAATTATTGATTTTGTGAAGCCTAGTAGCAGGTAAAGTTAGTTTATTTTTGTTTCTTGTATTAAGTGTGTGGACATCACTGTTTTTAAGAAACAAATTAATCACTCGCCCATTGTTTTGCGTTCAAACGTAATTAGGCGCTGGCTGAAAATCAGTGCTGCTGTGGTATTGCGAAAGTACTTCCACAGTAGCATAGCTGAGACAGCAACCTGTTGGCCCTGCACAGCAACACCTTAACTTAGTTTTCTTATTTTTTTTCTTTGTTGTTATGTTTTTCTATTCTGTTTTGTTTTGTAATGTAATGTATCATCATCATCGCTCGGCGTCTCAGCTTTAGTTAGCGTCCGCCTAGCGTTTCAGCTGGAGTTAGCGTCCGCCTGGCGTCTCAGTTGGAGTTAGCGTCCGCCTGGCGTTTCAGTTGGAGTTAGCGTCCGCCTGGCGTCTCAGTTGGAGTTAGCGTCCGCCTGGCGTCTCAGTTGGAGTTAGCGTCCGCCTGGCGTCTCAGTTGGAGTTAGCGTCCGCCTGGCGTATCAGTTGCAGTTAGCGTCCGCCTGGCGTATCAGCTGGAGTTAGCGTCCGCCTGGCGTATCAGCTGGAGTTAGCGTCCGTCTGGCGTATCAGCTGGAATTAGTGTCTTCCTAGCGTCTCCTGACACTCGAGCCGCCAGACCCAAGCCTCAACATCCTCTACTAC